GTAGACAGATGCCATTCACAATAACAACAAAAAACGTTTTGCAATTTACCTGAAGACGGAGAACGGCTGATTCAGCGAAAGAAAAACTCAAAGGCAAGTTTTTGAAAAACATAGAACATAATTTGTTTACGCGCGGGCAGTTGGCAGCATACATGAACTCCGACCGATGACTCAACTGAAGGCAAATGGAAAACAATGTTTTTCTCTTTTGATTATGTTATAAAAGAAATGGTAAACGTTGCAGCTGTGCAACCATGGAGTTATGGATGCACTTGGGAGGTTTGCTAAGCACTCAAGAATCTAGAGTCGCACTCGGCTATCGCCTCGTGCGACTCTTACGCTTCTTTCGTGCTTAGCAACCTCCCGCGTGCATCCATAACTCCATGGTTGCACGCAGCACGTTTACCATTTCTTAAGTATATGTATATATATATATGTATATGTATATGTATATGTATATGTATATGTATATGTATATGTATATGTATATATATATGTATATGTATATGTATATGTATATGTATATGTATATGTATTTGATCGAAATATAGGTGGATTGAAAGGAAACTGTTTTCTGTCTTCATTTGTGATTGCTGCGGAGCGACCGAAGGGAGCGAGCAGCAACATAATCAGGATTTAAAGGAAATATATAAGGGACGAGGAATTCTCGAATTCATCACTTTTTACCACAATGCATTGCATTTAACCACACTTTTAACCACAATGCATTGCATTTAACCAGAGTGCATTGCGCCACGAACAACTCAAATAAAAACACGGGGAACTTCGGTGAGTGAGAGAGTGCATCGTTCGCTGCTGAGACTTAGAGTTTTCTTTGTGGCAAATTTTCTACAGCACGGTTAGAGGTCTTACCAAATTTTAAGACACACAGGAGTCTTTCAGATGAGTACGATAGTACGATCGTTAACTTGGGGATTGGATTTCAATTCAAGAGCCTTTGACTCGTCCAGGTGTTAAACCTGACTAGAAGATGAGCATTTGCTCTTCGACTCCGCAACACGGGGGATATACAAATTCCAGCTTGCTAGAAGGTGATGTGAAAGTGAGAAAATGTCATGCAGTGCTATTCTTAAGAAACTGTATGAGGCGAAAATGGTTGTGATTTTGACCATTCGCTTCAAAATAACAGCGGAAATCGAGACAACAAAACATATGTTTTGTGTCCAACTTTGCAGACGAGGACATGTATCGGCGTTTTGAAAAGCATAATTATGTTCTTTCATTCATGAAATGCGTTTACATTGTTTTTTCACTGTTAATAGCTCGGTTAATGCGGCTGGCGATAATCTTGCCGGCGGAAGTTTCATGGAAAAGCAATAAATCAAGACTTTTCTTGATGATTCCGTAATCAGTCTCTGTGGTGTAGTGGTTAGGTGCAGTCGCGTCGAGCCGAAGGTTCAGGGTTCGAGTCCTGCCGAATTCTATATTCCTTCTTTCTTTTTTTTTTCCGTTTTTTCTGTTGTTGTTTTCTATAAATATATAGCTAAATAACTGTTACTTAATAAAGTGCAACAAACAGCAAGAAAAGTATTGTGTTTCCAGAGAAAATATCGTGCACCGTATATTAAATATATGGATAAACAATCTGAATTTCTATTATTTCCTACAATTTACTGTGGGAAAACCAGAGTTATAACCACTTGATCATTTTCTAAACAACGTTCCCCCGAGTTCTTTCTATAGACTGATAGTAATTATTCTAGTACTTAATTCCAGCATGTAAATAGGACATTCAACATCATTTTCGATTCTTTTAGTCTCACTGCCTAACTAATGCCAGTATCAACATAATGTGCCGCAGCATTACTATCTTTTAGATACCCTAGTTAAGATATATTTGTGTTTATGAGGACGGGAGAGAGAGATGCTTGGGACAATTTTATAAAATATATATATATATATATATATGCTTGGGACAATTTTATATATATATGCTCTTAATATATATATATATATATATATATATTAAGAGTGGTACAAAAAAAAAACAGTTTACTTGTAAAAACCTTTGTGTTTTTTATATCTTAACATACTTATAAAAATTGTAGAGGGTAATTGAAAATGAAGAAAAAGAAAATGTGTCCTGCATAGCAGTCTTTCAAATTTCCTTTTAGCCGACAGGGAGTCGGGCAGAGGCATGGGGCGAAGGCAACCCCAAAAATTAGGAGCAGGGGGAGGAGCTTCTTTAGCCGGCCTTTTGCATGTATTGGAATGTACAATGTAATTAGCGTGGTACACCAAAAAATCGGTTTACTTATAAAACTCTTTGTCGATGTACTATGAAAAAAAGTACAGGAAAATTGCAAATGAAAAGAATGGGGTTTAGCGATAAAGGGTCACATCGAATCAAGGAATGAGTTGAAACTAACATAGTTCACTTGACAATTGTATGTCAGGCTTATAAGTGGAAAACACCTTACCTAAATGACATTAGTTACTGTTACGGAAAATCATATTTTAGAGTCAGCTTTGTATAAAGCTATGATTTTGCATACATTCTTGGGAACAGCAAAAATGACTTAGAACAAACCTTCTAAGTATAGTGTTCATTCGGTGCAATAACGTATAAATAAAAGGTTCTGGAAGAAAAGACACCTTATTTTATACCACTGAGGACAAGCAAAAAGGTCATATGGGTACCTCAGTTAAAAATATTTAAATAACTCTATTAATTAATACCAGTTCTAATTTAAAGGAAAAAGTTATGAGAATAAAATAAAAGTTGTCTGTACCATGAAGCATGCCTTCACTGTTTAGACTGAGAGTCCTAAAGCTTTTTTAGCATGTATTCGAATATCTTATGACGATAAGTCCGCCACCCACACCACTATGCGCCGTACTGTATACATTCAGCGGCTGGTCAGCGGTCACCTTTATGAGGTAAACATGGCGATCAGCTCCTGATCATCGTTCTTGTTCTTGTCGATCAGAAAATCAAAATACCAGCGTGATATGGCCTCGAAGATGACGCAGTTATGTTGTTCGATTCGTATTTCACATTCGATTCGAAGCTTGGGTGGCACAGGTTATTTGTTACGGTGGAATCGACAAGGGAAACTCGAACACTAGTGGTCACTAGTTGTAGTGTTTGAATTGTTGGAAGAAATGGTCGCATGGGGATGTAGGAATGGTAGGTTTAACGAACAGTTTCAAATTTTGCCCCTTGAATTGAAAGTGAAGTTCATTTGAATGCTTTCGTATGTATTTCTGACTGTTTTAGATCTACCTGCTCGATTTATATCTGCTACGCTTCATGTTGACAAGTCCCTCAAAATGGCGGCAAAACTTGGAGATTGCCGAAAATTAGGTAAGTTCACGGAGTTATAAAGTTTTAGTAAAGGTCGGGCCGCAAATTTTTTTTCTGTAGTTACCTTTTCTATGGCACCTACTTCCTAGCTATATTAGTTGGATCAGTTAAGAACGCCTCACTTTTTCAAAAAGGTACCTTGAATTTGATCGGTTTTCGCGTGTGTGACTTAAGCGAACCGATAAGGTGTCGTTCAAGTCTTCCTGTTTGCTTGATTGAAACGTGATGTTCACGAAAGTCGCCTCGATGGATAAGATAGAGTTAGTATACATGGCTGTGGTATTTGTTTTTTGCTGAGTCCCGTAGTTTGTTGTAAATTGTCCGGCAAAGTTGCGTCAAATTAACGTCTTGAAAAGTGTCACGACAGGCCTTCGCTCGAGTGAAATTTAATTTCCGTAAAACTCTGAAAAATAAAGAGATCCGATCAAACGGATTGTGGTTTTAGTATAGGTAGATGAATGTCTTACAACACACAAGAAATGAGCTAAATCTGTGTCTCAAGGAAACTCGACCGGACCGCTCTTACAGAGACACTCTCTTAAAACTGAACGTTCCTAATACGCATAATACTTAATGATATTGTGCCACCTTTAAAACTAATTTCGTATATGTAGTTTTGACAATGATTGTTGTTGCAACTTCCAAGATATACGAGACTCGACTTAATGTCTTTTGATGGAATTACTGCAACCTTGCGTGTAGTTTGATTGTCCATGGAAGTATTTTTTAAGGAAGGAATGGTGTACAAATCGTGCCTCCTAGTTTAAGTATTTGTTTAATATTTAAAGGGTACGTTGGTTTCCACGGTGATTTGCATTGACTTGAAATTGTTGAAAAACACGGCTACAATGCCCTATGTGTAAGTATCTGATAAATACTTAATATACACGTAAATGGGTCACGCATGAAAACTTAAAAGCACTGAGTGGTATAGATATTTGCCTTTCACCGCATCATTCCGGTGGCTATATTATGAAAAATAAAAAATAAAAAAACAAAAGAAAACGACATCACCTGCCAAAGCCCTAACAATAAATATTTATCATAATCTTTCTTAAGGAAGTTGTCATAGTCATCTATGGTAATTCTTCCTTCTTCCTTACTTTGGTTTTGACTAATGAAAACTAGAGACACGAAAGAGGACGGGTAATTTGACGATCAGTAACTGACTCTTATCGACACTGAGCTCTCTGTAAGTGGAATAAAATTTCAATTAGTTTATCCACAGTTTGCAAAAATCCTACCTTACTTACTTAAAAAAATTCCATTTTTATCAAGACGTAGGCTTAAACAAGGGCGCGTCTGTTTTCGAAATGTTTTATTAATGAATACTGAACAGCACAAAACAGGTAATATTAAAAAAGGAGATATTGAGCCCAACACCAGTTCCACGGTAACTAGTTAGGTGAACTTTCATGGCGTCTATAAATTCGTTTCTTTTACTGGCATGGATTACTTGGCTTATTTTTTGCACTTCTTTATGTAGTGGTAAGTTTTGTTCTCATCTGCAGGCAATATTTTTGAGCTTTTATTTTTTTTTCGTATTTCAATAATCCGACGAACTTGTATCACGTACAAAACTCTTAATCTAAATAATAGCCTGTAAACCATAAAATATACAATAATTGTAAATTTCCCTTTAGTTAAATGGGTGCGTTTTTCAGTGTAAAATGTTCAGGCTTTTCCTCGCAGAAAATAAGTACTAGTTGTTGCAAACAGGAAGACAGTTTTTCATTCACTCAAATTTACTCATTATAATATAGTATCACCACTGAAAGCAATTTCCAAAAAAGAAGTTAAGATTCTATCTATATATGTTTAAGTTCTTTCAAATGAGAAGAAAACTGACTGATAAAGGCCTTTAAAAATCTTCATTCTTTAGAGAAAAAAACTGCAGAGCTATTATGTTTTATTGAAGACAAAATAACTACATAAATTTACAAAATACAGCTGCAGAAATATATGGTGATACAGCATTTGGATGGCTGAGGTGTAAAATTCGTTGTAATATAATCTGGCAATTTTCTAGAGCGAATTTGTGGCGATGGGCTCATGGTCTATGTTTTACTTTTTATGTCAGTTTTGTCGATAGAATACAACCGTATCATAATATTCAAGGAACCCATACCAGACAGAGTTCTTCCAGATCACGTGATTAGAACTGAAAAGGTTCTCAATGAAGGGGGCTGCAGGGTGAAATGTTTTTTGGAACCAAAATGCGTGTCTATTAACGTGGGTCCTGCAGGTGCTCATACAAGAACATGCGAACTTAACAATGCCACTGACGAGAGCCCTTCACTGTCCTCTCTGAAAAAGATGGAACATTACATTCACTTTGCTATTGAGGTATGTTAAAACTGGCTTTTGGCTCGTACGTACTGAATGATGACGATAACGATTCAGGACATACATCTAATAACGATGATGATCATGACATTTTCGTTGCATATGATGATGATGACGATGCTGATGATTATGGTGATGTTGATGATGATAATGATGATGACCATATTACTAATGCTGCTGCAGATAATGATGAATGATGGTGACAATATTGATGACAATGATGGTGATGGAGGCGATGAAGATGATGATTATGGTTTGGATGATGATGATTTTTGTTGTTGTTGCTGATGATGATGATGATGATTATGATGTTGATTTTGGCACTGTTGTTGTTATGGATGATAATGGTGATGATAATGATGGTGACAATGCTGATGATAACAGATGTATCATAATTCTGTTCTTGGTATTGTTATTAATGATGATGACGATAGTTATGATTTTGATGATGATGTTGACGATGTGATGTTGGAAATAGCGATTCCAAGAAGCGATATAAATGAGATGTGCTGATAACGATGGTAATGGAGATTGTGATAAAGGTGCTGTAGGATATAGACTGTGGAACCCACATTGCGGATTAACTTTTGAGATGTAGTATCAGATTTAAGGCTGCAAATTAACAAAACATCTAATATGGTATCTTTTTAACTCAGAACTTTTGCCGAATTAACGATGATCCCTGCCCAGGAGAAAACGAATTATGTGAAGCTGGGTTCACAGAAAAACGCTACAGATGTGTCTGTCGCGATGGGTTCAAGTTTGTAAACGACAACTGTACAGGTAATATGCAGAAGTTAGATGCATTACACAATTCAACTTATATTCTTCGAAGGCTCGAGAGCTAAGTTTGTAGTTCATTACACCCTTGCAAATATAGAGTAATTTCACATGACGTCACGGCGGCGATATTGATGTTCAAAAACAATATAAACGGCGGCCATGTTGGTATTCCGAACAATTCTTCTGGAAGTTGAATTCTTTTCTTGTTTGAACACTTCCTTTTGCTCGCTTAAATTTGCCTAAATGCTGGCCACGTGCATGAAAACCTTCAATGGGAAGAAAGCTGTTACCTTGCTTTTCATCCTCTTTCTACACCCGTAAGTAAATGGCGCCGACGAGTTTACAAGAGGGAGCTTTAAAAAGGTCGTTTTTAAGCTACGGACCGCAAGAGGAAGTGGCGTTTCGTATTCCTAGGCGTTTGTTCTGTCCAAATGTTTAGACAAAATCGTGTCTTTAAGAGTAAACACACTTGGCGATACAAATTTGGTAGGCTACACTTTCGGTTGACATGGTTCAATTAAAAACGTCTTTGCTTGCTTAAGCTACCTAAGGGAAGTAAGGTGCAGGGATTAAGTTCCTTTCATAAGGGGAGGTTACCCTTTTCTACTGTAGCCTGCGCGCGAAATGGGTCTCTGGTCTGGTTGTCACGTTTATTTTGTGCCTTTGAGATATTACCTTGAATCTGAGTCTGTTAATCAGGCTCAGAGATTGGCCATTTTGAGACTGATTTCACGAGAAATTGGGTCGGGGTTTTTTGAACTGCATTGTGGGAACGTCTTGCGAACGAATTTTTACTCACACTCCTGTGCGAGCTTGCAAAAGTCAAGAGGAAACGTCACTGTTTACAGGCACTGAGTGAAACAAAAGAACTTTCCACTTTTGTTACAAGAACTAATGCATATTTAACATATCAATAGGTGACGTCAGCGTGAGTATCGCTAAATAACTATTAAAGAAGCGATAGTGTCCCACAATGCAGTTAAACACAACATCGAAACAGACTCTTTGGCAAACTCACAATAGCCACTGATACAAATTACGATGGATTGACTCTTATTTTCTGTAGATCTAAAAATAGTTTTTCTACTTCATTTTTAAAATCGCCATTCTTATTCAATGTTGACAGATATTGATGAATGCGCTAAGGATTTGCACACCTGCAAGCTAGGTATGCCGGGGGGCATGAAATGCATAAATGAGCCTGGTTCCTTTCGTTGTGAATGTCTCCCTGGTTTTGTTAAAGAAGGTACCATCTGTAAAGGTTAGTATTTTTAAGGGGAATATTCTAACAGCTCCGATGCCTTCTTAAAAATAATGACCGAGCGCGTAGGGCGAGGTTATGATTGATTTTTTAAGAAAGACATTATCCGGTTTAGTGGACCTTTCTATTGTTTTAGAACGAGCAGGTCATTATTGTGGGCACTGAAATGGAAGAGTGGGTTATTATTCCTAATAATGACCTCCTGTTCCACCTGTCTTCCGTGACCAGCTCCTTCGATCCATTTGTTGAAAATAATAACCTTTTCATAACAATGGAAAAGTGCATTAAACATACCATGTTGAATGATTCAATAACCTTTTTATTATTCATTATAACTACTCCCAGTCACAACGTTATTACTTTTGAGTATAAATTTTTGGCATCATTTTTAGTTCCTACGCAGTTTAGAGAACGAACAGATGTTTTGTTTTGAAAGTTACCCTCGCAGACCGTAACCATTAACATGTTTTTGCGTGTTGTTTAGATGTTGACGAATGTGAGTCCTCCAGTTTGAATAACTGTTCACCTAACGAGAAATGTGTGAATGAACATGGTTCATTCCGTTGTGAGTGCATTAATATTGGACCGTGTAAAGGTCAGTGAATATTACTAGAGGTTGCTAATCAGATAACTTGTAACAAGGCTTTGTGTAACATGCATCGTTCTGTTTACCGTGCGTTATTAGGGAGCTTTAGCCTGCGTAGCATGGCGGTTTTGGTTGGGCGCGCTAAATAATGAAGGCGAGCGAGGGCAGAGAAACTGCAATGAGATTGAGGCAGAAGCAACTTGATTATTTTTCTGGCGGCTTGGCTGCTCAGTCGTGCTCCCGAAGCCGCCATGCTACGCAGGCTAAGGGAGCTTAAGTAGCGACGAAGGCGAAAAAGGCAACGTCAAAAAACAATTGTTTTGTGAGCAAAACAACAGCTTTGCACGTGCATCACACTTTCTTAGTACATTTCTTTGACGTTTACTGCACGACTACAAATTGCCTGCATTTGACAAATTAAGCGGGTGCAAATAGACGCGATAAAGTTTAAAAGGACGTAAATTGATTTTTTTTAGCGACGTTTTCCCTGCCGTCGTCGTCTTCGCCGGTTACATAAGTTTTCTATTCGGAGATCACAAACATTATGAGGTGTCAGCCTTCTTCTCGCCACCTAAACCAGCTTAATACCTCAGAAGAATTTGCCACAGAAAAGAAGTCTTACGAACCCGACAAAACGGTTTACCCTGTTTGTTTGATGTTGATCAGTTTAATTATATCCCAGAATGCCATGATGCTCTCGGTGTAGAAAGCGGTGCAATCTCTGATAGGCAAATGAGTGCTTCTTCGCAGTGGGATGAAAATTACGCTGCCTCTCAGGGAAGGCTCTACGTTGAAGCTGTTTCAGGCAAAAGCGGTTCATGGTCAGCAAAAGATAATAATGTATCTCAGTGGCTTCAAGTTGATTTGGGTAATCCGCACACCAAGGTTACTGCCCTAGCAACACAAGGCAGAAGTGACTACTCTCAGTGGGTAACGAAATACAAAGTGCAGTATAGCGGAGATGGCGTCAGTTTTCAATATTTCATGGAGGAACAATCCAGCCAAATAAGGGTAAGATGGTGTTCACCCTAGACGTACAGATATGGAATTTTTAAATTAAGTGTTACCTACATACCTACCTACCTACCTACCTACCTACCTACCTGCCTACCCACCTACCTACCTACCTACCTCCCTGCCCACCTACCTACCTACCCACCTACCTATCTACCTACCTACCTACCTACCTACCTCCAAACCTTGCACGTTTTTCGTCATTTTTTAAAAAAGGATAGCAACAGGCCATTTCCGAGTTGCCCCAAGCCTCTGTTTTAAAGCGAGGCTAAGTGCAAAGCCATTGATATGAAAATGCTTTTTTATCCTTATGCAAATAAAATTCATTTTGAAAAGTGAGACTATTTGGAACTCCGAAGCGGCATTTCTCATTTTTTCACCGCCGTTACGGAATTTTAATTTTGTTCTTCCAACAAAAAATGTCTCCTTTGTTTTTTATCTCTCGCTCTAGATCTCTGTCACCCTTTTTCTCATTGAGTTTCGCTGGCCTGCCGCCTACTCTCTCTTTTTCTCTGTCTTTCTGTTGCTCTATATTCCAAATTTGTGGACATGACAATTAATCTAAGCTTAATGCTTTAGACAACACTGATACAGATACGATTTGCGCTTTCCGTTTTCGTCTTTATTGACTCTTTATCTGCCTCTGTTTTACAAGACGTAGGTGGCTATGTGATTTCCCGCCAAAATAACCTCGAGTTGCATTTTGGTTGCCATACCTGTTAGTCGAGTTATGTTACATTGGTATGCCTGTGGTGCGGACAAACGGTCTCTCGGGCGGTCGGTGTAAGGTCACGTGATTACCAATGATTTTCTCGGCTGGTTACATTACCATATTTTCTTACCAATGGTGCTCCGCTGTGCGCGCTTCGCACGCGAGAGCTCCGCTGTTAGGAAAGCCAATTGGGCTGACCCCAGTGACATATTTTCCCAGTGAAAAGTTTTATCCACCGTTTGAACAACTAGTATAGGCAGAGGGAGAGGGAAATGAGATAGACAAGGTGGAGCAAAGTGTCTTGTCTTAGAAAACGACGCAACGGCAAGTGTTGAATTCCCGAGGGGATAGGTACTTCCTATAATGGCCCATACGGGGAGGCCCCGCCCAAAAGCGGCACCCTTCTTAGGCTTCAGGTCTATAAAAGGTAGATAGGGATTTCACTAGTTGAAGTATATGAAAGGGAAGGGAAGTCTGTTTTTGTAATCTGTAAAAGGACCCAGAAGGGGTAATGGATGCACTTTATGGTTTTGGAAAAGTCGAGGAAACTTTCTGGTTTTGTGATTTATACATATTTAAAAGCCAGTGCATTATTTAACAGTTAAAAGAGATGCAAAGTGCTAAACAAGGTATGTGAAAGGGGTACCATTTCTCAATAAGAAGGTATTCCAAAAGGGTATCCTTTCTGTCAAAAATGGTATGTTGAAGGGTAAAGGTATTAGCCTCACCGTCGTAATGTTTGTTTGTTAATCGTCCAGCACCACGTCTCCACGCTCTTTTTGTATTCAGTAATTTTTATTAATAAGCGTCATATTCATTAACAGATGTTTTTCAGCAATTTCGTCTTCTTTTTTTAAAATTTTGTTAGGAGTTTGTTGGAAACACAGACCGGGACACTGTGGTCTACCACAAACTCAGTCGTGCCATCAGGGTACGGTACATCCGTTTTCGACCAGTAGCCTGGCACAAACACATATCCATGAGGGTGGAGATCTATGGGTGCAAAGGTAAAATTTGCAATTCACTCCGGTTATGAAAACACTGACCAACTGTTGCTTGAGAAAAAGGGGAGTGTTGCAACAATAACGCCCTTCCTAATTCATTCCCAAAACAAAAAACGCAAAATAAAACAAATGCAGTCAATGCTTGCCTTGTTTTAGGCCTTAAAAATATATTAACTTTCAATTGTTTCCTCCTGAATAGGGTCATAAGTAACTCTCGTGGAACACACCTATCCTAGAAAGGAAGAAGTAACCCTTAGGTGGTAGTGGGAACCACAAAATGGATTAGACAGTATAGAGCTTTACAATGTAGTGCGTTGCTACTACTGTAATACTTTATTTTAGCTTTTCTAGTCCCTGATGAAGACTTTTGTGTAGTCGAAATATTGGGCAAATAAATTTGTAAATTACCAACCCTTAGCTGTCCGATCAGCCTTGCCTTCAATTTTAAGTGAACCTACTCTATCAGCCAACAAATTGTTAACGTTATAGCCCAGTAAAGTCATAAATCGCCCCATGTAAGGAAATCTGGATTACGGACTCCGGGGAATTTTTTGCTAGTGGTATCCTGGGCTTTGGAATCCGGAATTACTACTCAACGAATCCGGGATCTCACTGACGATTGGAATCCCGAATCCAAATTCCACTGACAAGAATCCGCAATCCAGTACCCGGAATCCAAATCCAATCCAAAATTTACTGTATACGCTTTTAATTGATACATTTAGAATGTGCAGATGATCTGGGAATGGAAAACAATCGTATTAGCGATGGTCAAATCAGTGCCTCTTCAGAGCTGAGTCCCAATCACAAAGCAAACCAAGGCAGACTCTACTATACTACAGATGGAGGCAAAGGGGGAGCCTGGTCAGCTAAAACAACCGATAAAAATCAATGGCTTCAAATTGATCTCGATGGCCTGTACGCTACCGTAACAGCAGTAGCAACGCAAGGCAGACATGACGAGGATGAATGGGTTACGGAATACATGTTGCAGTACAGTAATGAGACTTCGAATTTCCAGCACTACAGAGAACCAGGACAAACTTCGAATGAGGCATGAGAAATTAAATAGATATATAAACCTTATTCTTTTTTGGCCAGGAAAGCCTGTTTGTCATGTTTACATGTTGTTGCGGTTTTAATCGTCTTAACTCATTTCCAGTTTTCAACAAAAATGACAGTACACGAATTTTACATCTAAAAAAGAGGCCTGAGTGGAGATGCTCAGAAGGCTCCGGAGGATCATATGCTCTGCCACGTAACCAAATGCTCAAACCCCTAACCCTCCCCGTACCCTCCCCTTTACCTACCGAGCGTCATTAATTCGCTTTTCTCGTTGAGAAACTTCTTGAAATTATTCAAGAGTACATCATCCGTTGAGGGTCTCACAGGATACTTCATAAGACCCTTGAAAATACCCACGTTAGAATTATTCCTACCATTTTCCTATCCTTCAACTCGTGAGATACCTATACTTTTAAAATACCTTTAGCCGGCCAGCAAAGTATCCCTGTATATAGTCCGTTTTCGATTGTAACCCTCCCCCCAAACACACACACACACACACACCACGAGTTGCCAACTCAAGGTTAGGTCAAGACAAAGGTGAGTTGTAAAGTGAATAATATGTACTCCTAATAATCTGTTTATTTCCTCCGGTTAGATCTTTGAAGGGAATGATGATCGTGACACCGTAGTTCTTTATAGCTTGAGTACGCCATTCAAGGCGCGTTACATCCGTTTTCGACCAACTGGTTGGCAAGGCAACATTTCAATGAGAGTAGAGCTTTATGGATGCAAAGGTAATTTAGAGGGTACATGTTTTCAAGTCTGAAAGCAACGGTCCAGTTCATTTCTTTTTAGGACTGTTGTTGACAGTGACTGACGTTTCGACAACCTGTGCGGTAATCACCTCTGATCACCTTCAGAGTCAAAGCGAGTTGTATCACGTCAGAACTCCTAACCGTTGTTAATTTATTTCCGTCCCTATGACATTCTCGTTAAAACTGACTCGTAGTAGAATGATGACAGCCTTTTTCTCGCCAAGATGGCGCTTATTCAAGCGTGCGCACTGCTAACCTTTTGACTTCTTCCGCCAGTGGTATACGTAAAGTCTTACACTTCATCGTTGCTATTCTTATTTTAAATTATAGAGTTCTTAATTATAATTTAATAGTGAAGATTTTACCGGGCAAGTGTAAGTGTATATGAAATATATGTATCGCACCTTGTCGGCAACATGACTGATTTACCATTCGAGTTAAAAAATAAATAAATAAATAAATTCATACTACAAAGTTGTATCTTTTTCTTTCTTTCTTTGTTTGTTTTTTAATTTTCCTTTCAGAGAACTGGAAAAAGATTAACAATGAATCAGTCTGCTACAATGCTAAAAACTCGCATGGAAAGTTTCGCATCACCAAACAGGGACTCATCCACACGTTTAAACTTGTTCACCGAAGAGGATCATTAAAGTGTGCACAACACATACCCGCAACCTTTTGGGGCTGCCCAGACCCCAGTTATGATCATCAAACACTGTCTACTGTAATAATATACGAGAACGAAAGTGTTCTCCCGCTGGCAGAATACAGACAAGATCACAAGTGTGCAAAATACTCGTATAAGATCGAGGGTATAGATGTTAACTCGAGGGAACTCCTGTTTAACCATCTTCCGTCTCCAATATCCGTGTCCAATGGACAGGTATTCAAAATTTGGTATAATGAAGCCTTGCTGCCGAATGATTGTGCCCAAGATAACAGTGGTGAGATATGCGTTGACGTCTATGCGTTGTACGCTTGAAGCCGCTACCTAGAACGTGCAGGTGCTAAGACTCTAGAAACAACTTCATATTTAGCACAGCAATAGTCCGAGACCACTTGAGTATGCAGCTTTACAATACAAAATAGAGGAACTTTTAGGTCTGTGACATAACAGTCACCAAATCTTGTGCACTAACATTGAGGGGACAGGGAGACACAAAAGTGTCCCAGCAATTTTGACTGAGACTGTAGCTAAAACTGGTGACAGGGTAGCTCATCGTTAAAAGTCTTTTAAAAGATACTTTCTTGAATTGCACGTAAAATTATGTAAACATTGGCTAAGCTTAATTTCAAATGGTAAATTATTCAATATTAACAATTCTATAAGAAAAGGTTTCTGCCCTGTTTTAGTTTTAGATAATGGAATATTCAATTGCTGCGAGCTTCTTGTTGCTCTCCCACTTATGTTACCTCTAAAATTTAATTTATCACCTAAATGGTCTGGGGTCATCGTCATACACTTTTAAAATTGTTTTTACTGGGGGCCACCTTTAACACTGGCGTTACATAACAATGTGAGGTACGATTCGTTTTCCCGTAGAGACAATTTTTCTCATTTCAATAACATTAGATGTTTAGTTTCTTAAAGGTTTATTTAAAAAAAAAAGAACAATTAGTAAAAAGGAAAAAAAAGCTGACTCCGCTTTTGCACTTTTTGGTTCTAAACGGAATAAATTTGTTGCTTGACTACAGGTGTTTGATGTCATTTATTTGTTTTTAGTAATTAAGCGTATGTTGCATAGTTACTTAAATTTGAGGGGAAAACATGCAAACATCATTTCTGCATTTTGTATTCCAAAAAAAAACTACGAAAAATACAAGTACTGCTTTGCTTAGGCAAACACGCGGACGGAAGAGAAAAAACTCGCGTGTGGGTGGCGATTTTCACGCGCGCTCGTGTACTTAGTGGTCTGGGGTCAAGTTCATGATGATCATTGACACGTGGAAACTGAAGCTTTTTTTAGCCAGCACTCTGGTGGCACAACTACAAGCTATAATTTTTTTGCTGTTTCCCGCAGCGATGGATTTCTGGCCGATCGGGATCTTTGAAAGGTGTTATGCCAATTTATTTGCATGGAAAATTCGACTATATATTACACTGTAACATCACTAGGACAATCTTTTGGAGGTTTGTTTAGTCTTGTGGAACCGGGTTGTTTACAGTATGCTTTATTGTGAATCCTAAGCCAGCTGAATTATAGTCACAGTGTTCCGTAATCCGAAAACTTTCTTGAAACGGACGAGGCACAGTCTTTTCTCTGCGATTATTTTGGGCAAAATTTCTGACCAAATATCATAAGTTCACTTAGTTTATCCTCGAGCAAACCGCTTCTTTGACTCCCTCGCCTAGTGAATACTTAATCGCCTGCAGAAATCAATTGTCTTTTTACTGAAATCGAAGAGAAACGTAGATCGTTGTTTCATTGTTGCTTTGTGTGTATGTGTGTGGCCGACAGTGTTCAGGAGTAATTTCGATATCGGTCTCTAAAATAGCTAAAGAGGTGGTTGGGTACGTGAACGAGAACATCACGTAATATTTTATTGAACACTTTTCGTTCAGTGTACTGTTGTAACGCAACGCTAACGCAACAACTTCTAAGTCACGGTTTGTTTTGAGCTTGGGTCACCTGTGACTTGAAGCTACAAACCTAGTACGTTCATTGTGTAGTTGGCGGTGGTGCGTTTGGATTTGTAAAAGCTTATGGAAGTAGAAAAATATTAGCGCAAAGCTGGTAAGTCCACCATTAATGATATTGTCAATTAAAATTAAGCCCTTAAATTTCAGACATCGTTACTGGCTTCTCTCTCTCAGCTCGAGCTGTGCACATTCCAAATTCGAACTTTGCCAAGTTTGCGCATTGTGCGTTCTGCACCTTACGTTGTTGCGCAGTTTGAACCATCTAACTATCTTTTGTTATCATTTGCATGGTCATTGGAGGCATTTGAAGCTTTCTAGGATAATTGATAAGCTCTCAATTGAGTTCTTTTCCAAAGCGTACATCATATATACGTGCGCGTTAAAATTTTCACCGTTATTTTTTTGGCGCACTGAAATTTGCGCTTTCTACATGAATAAGCTTGTAGTTTTATTAGAAAATGAATAGTTCTCTCTAGGTTTGGTATAAAGCATGCAACCTTCGAAGCTCAGAAATAAATTTCAATGTAGTATTTTCAGTTAAAAGCATCTCAAATGAGTACCGTCAGGGTCAAAGATTCTACAGCTCCAATACAAAATCCATCCGGGGGGGAGGGGGTGGGGTGGGCACCCAAGGGAAGTTAGGTACTGAGGTGTTCGTCGGAGGTCTTCAAACCCTGACCCTGTTGTAGATAAGAGACCTTATATCATGTCCCTCTCTCATTTTGTTTTGCATACTTAAAGTGATTTTCAACCTAACATCATGGATTTCCCATTTATAGATGTACAATGTCCAAAAACAAAACTGTCAGTACCACAAAAATGTAGTCTGCTCATGGCCAACTTTCACACTTTTTTATTCCAAGAAGACATCCTGTCCAAGGTGCTAAATAGTAAAATTGTATACCCTGTCTAAGACTCAAGATCTGGAAAACCATACCTTGTTCAGGCGACCTGTGACACCACGTGCCGGTCCCAAAAGAGTCATTAGTGAGTTAAAGCAACAGAACGGCAGGAAGAAGCTGAGAATGGCAAAACTCTTTTGTGTGACAAATGTGACAGGGCTATTAATTGGATGTTTTGTCATGATCTTCACTTAATATAACATTAATGTTTCCTGGTTGTTTACAAAAAGATCTGTTTAAATGAAAGTGAACTTTGGCAACAGTTATTTTAACAAAATTATTGTCACACTTGTCACACAAGGCTCACATTCTTCTTTCCTCTCCCGTCCTGTTGCGTAAGCTCGTTACTCAGTACATGTGTGCACAAATGAAAAAGTGTCGAAGCAAGGGAAAGGTTAATAAAAACAAAACAAAATAAAAATAAAACAGATGGGTCATTGGACATGACAGGAGGGCTCCTAGTTATGGCTGCAATAACTGAAGCACATTCAATGTTTTTTTTCACAATTTTTGGTTTCCAGAGAGAAGCCAAGTGATAAAGGGATTAAGTGCTGGTGCTAAACATTGCAAAAGACAGCTAATTAGGATGTAAACTAAAGCAAAAATGGCAAAATAACAGCGCTACGTTGCAGAGCCTTTGACATACCCGGCATTCAACCTCTTTGATAATGCTGAATGTTGAAGGTTTCATTTTAATTAACCTTGTTTAAAACTCAAGGGGCAAAACTGTGACAAGGCATAGCACATTGAGTGAAAAACCTTTACTGGGAAAACAGTTAAAGGTATTTCCTGGTTCGCAATTTACTGTGAGTTTCAGATCATAAAGTACTTATTGCCCAGGCGTGGATGGATTTCCTTCTCAGTAGTACATGCACTTATCATTTTCAATGTACCGTTGATTTAAACACATTCTTATTAGATAACAGAGATATGTCTTTCAATTCTGTGCTCTAACAGCATCCACTGCGGTCCCTGGCACCTAATTGTTTTTCTTCCTGGCAACTAGAAAATCTTGATTTTATAATGTTATTTTTTTTAGATTTCACTGGTTCAGAACACTGGGCTCCCTTCAATTTTCCCCTAGGGTAGGAGGAGGGGGGAAAGGTACTCCAGATTTAAAGTGACAGGGATGATTGAATGTGGGCAAAACTTGAAACCACAAAAACTCCCATGCTGATTTCCCGAGCCATAAAGATTTCCAGATAGCATTAAATGATATCACACGAAAAACAGAAACATTAGTTTTGAATACCCAAAAAAATTCCTACTTAAATCAAGCTACCTGAAAAAATACTTGCCAAAATTTCAAACATTTCAAACCCCCCCAAAATCCTTCAATCATCCCTGTCACTTGAAATCTGGAGTACCCCCCTTGGGAATTTTCCTAAGTGTACAGCCGTGTCTTTTATCGTAGCCTGTTATCATTATCTTCACGGTTATCATTACTTTTTAAGGTAGAAAGGAGCCCAAGGTTGAGTAGGCGGGAAAGTTTGAAAGTTTGGTTTGAGAGTGGAAATTTACCATTTTCCTTGAAGGCGGGTACTGTTCTCAGAGCATACTGTTGCTGCTACCCATGTCTCAGCTTTAAGTGAAACCCTGTATATATATTTTTTAACAGTTCGTCTCAGAAAGAAAGAGAAGATTTTTTCCTGCTTTAGCTATTGGGGCCTCTTCAGTATTAGAGATGTAGATTGAAATATTTTAATATTGCATAATAATGTGATTACAATGTATAAGTTGTGTTTACAACTTACAACTTACAACATAGGCAGGTTTAAAATAGTGTCTCGAGCCATGCGTTTTTATTTCATGAAAACATCAAAAGCACAAATGCAATTTTGTTCAGTGGGAAAAAGTACTATAGAGGCCAGAGTGGTCAGTGATATTGTTATACAGTCAGCTCTCTCCAAGATGGACACCTTTGGGACGGGCACTAAGTGTCCATCTTAGAGAGGTGTCCGTCTTATAAAAATTTATTGGTGTGTTTGCTTATATTCTGTATGCATAGCTAGAATTTTGACGTCGCCCTTTATTTGTCTGGTTCGACTGGTGTTTGCAGGTGGCTGTAATCAAACTCACTCATTATCAGAAACTTGTTAGTGGTCGCAACCATTAGCCATGCATATTGGAAGTAGACCAGGGAGCTTTAGCTTCGACAACGGCGACGGCAGCAAAAATGTCACTTTTGAACTGAATTCCGCGTTGTTTCGAACTTTGTCGCGCTAATTCGGTGTGAGTGAGTGAAAACTTTATTTACCCACGCTAATTTTATCAAATAACTTTACATAAAGCATCTGTTCTACCTAAAAGCCGTGCAAATGTGTCAAATGAAGAGGAAATTCCCTGGAGTTGATTTCTTAATGAGTGCACCAAAGTTTAGGAAGAGAAATTGAAGGAAAAATTCGTCGTCACTTGCTTACGTCCTCCATAAAATGTGAAATTAGGCATTTTCACGTCGAAGTCGTGCAGTGAGGGCGAAGAAATGTACAAAAAAGAGTGATGCACGTGCAAAGTTGTTGTTTTGCTAGTTAAATCTACTGCTTTTTTGTCGTTCTTGTTGCCGTCGCCGTCGCCGTCGTCGTTGCTAAAGGTGATGTTACACGAGACGATTCGCAACGACGATTTTTAGCGCAGAACAGCGTTACAACATTGTTTCAACATTGTTTTGAATAGTTACAGCACTGTTCCAGCATTGCAACGCTGTGTTGGCTCAACACTGATTGGATTTCCTTTATTGCAATGTTTTTTTCAGTAAAGCGAGCCTCGCCTTTAGCCTCGGTTAAATCTATGTATTATCACTTCGGCATATCCCATCTGTCTCGTTTGCATCCTCTGTCAACGGTTTAGAACTGAACGTTCCTAATACGCATAATACTTATTTTGCCACCTTTAAAACTAATTTCGTATATGTAGTTTTGACAATGACTGTTGTTGCAACTTCCAAGATATACGGGACTTGACTCAATGTCTTTTGAAGAATAACTATTATGGAATTACTGCAACCTTGCGTGTAGTTTGATTGTCCATGTGAGTATTTTTTAAGGAAGGAATGATGTACAAATCGTGCCTCCTAGTTTAAGTATTTGTTTAGTATTTTAAGGGTACGTTGGTTTCCACGGTGATTTGCATTGACTTGAAATTGTTGAAAAACACAGCTACAATGCCCTATGTCTAAGTATCTGATAAATACTTAATATACACGTGAATGGGCACGCATCAAAACTTAAAAGCTCTGAGTGGTATAGATATTTGCATTTCACTGTATTATTCCGGTGGAAAAAAAAAACCAAAAAACAAGAGAAAACAATATCACCTGCCAAACCCCTAGCGCCTGCCAATAAATATTTATCACAATCTTTCTTAATTGAGTTCTCATGGTCACCTATGGTAATTCGCCCTTCTTCATTACTTTGTTTTTGACGAATGAAAACTAGAGAGACGAGAAAGGACGGAAATTTGACTCTTAAAGGCACTGAGCTCCCTGTTGGTCGAATAAAATTTTAATTAGTTTACGCACAGTTTGCAAAAATCCTTCCTTACTTACTTTAAAAAATTCCATTTTTACCAAGACGTGGGCTTAGACAAGGGCGTTTCTAATTTCGAAATGCTTTATTAATGAATAAACAGCGCAAAACAGGTAATATTAAAAAAGGAGATAGTTGAGCCCGACACCAGTTCTACGGCAACTAGTTAAGTGAACTTTCATGGCGTCTATAAATTCGTTTCTTTTACTTCCATGGATTACTTCGCTTATTTTTTGTACTTCTTTATGTACTGGTAAGTTTTGTTCCCATCTGCAGGCAATCTTTTGACTTTTTGAGCTTTTATTGTTTTTTCGTATTTCAATAATCCGACAAACTTGTATGATATACAAAACCCTTAACCTAAATAATAGCCTGTAAACCATAAAATATACAATAATTGTAAATTTCCCTTTAGTTAAGCGGGTGCGTTTTTCAATGCAATATGTTCAGGGTTTTCCTCGTAGAAAAAAAGTACTAGATGTTGCAAACAGGAAGACAGTTTTTCATTCACTCAAATTTACCAATTTTAATACAATATTGCCACTGAAAGCACTAATTTACAAAAAAGAAGATAAGATTTTATCAATATGCGTTTAAGTTCTTTCAAATGAGAACAAAACAAGATAAAGGCCTTTAAAAATCTTCATTCTTTTGAGAAAAAACTGCAGAGCTATAATGTTTTATTGAACCCAAACTAACTACATAAATTTACAACATACAGCTGCAGAGATATATGATGATACAGCATTTGGATGGCTGAGGTGTAAAATTCGTTGTAATATAATTTGGCAATTTTCTAGACCGAATTTGTCGCGATGGGCTCATGGTCTATGTTTTACTTTTTATGTCAGTTTTGTCGATAGAATACAACCGTATCATAGTATTCAAGGAACCCATACCAGACAGAGTTCTTCCAGATCACGTGATTAGAACTGAAAAGGTTCTCAATGAAGGGGGCTGCAGGGTGAAGTGTTTTTTGGAACCAAAATGCGTGTCTATTAACGTGGGTCCTGGAGGTGCTCATACAAGAACATGCGAACTTAACAATGCTACTGACGAGAGCCCTTCACTGTCCTCTCTGAAAAAGATGGAACATTACATTCACATTGCTATTGAGGTATGTTAAAACTGGCTTTTGGTTCGTACGTACTGAATGATGACGATAACGATTCAGGGCATACATGTAATAACGATGATGATCATGACGTTTTCGTTGCATATGATGATGATGACGATGCTGATGATGATGGTGATGTTGATGATGATAATGATGATGACCATATTGCTAATGCTGCTGATGATGATGATGAATGGTGGTGACAATATTGATGACAATGATGGTGATGGAGGCGATGAAGATGATGATAATGGTTTTGATGATTATGATTTTCGTTGTTGTTGTTGTTGTTGTTGTTGTTGATGATGATGATGATGATGTTGATTTTGGCGCTGTTGTTGTTATTAATGATGATGACGATAGTTATGATTTTGATGATGATGTTGACGATGAGATGTTGAAAATAGCGATTCGGAGAAGCGATATAAATGAGATGTGCTGATAACGATGGTAATGGAGATTGTGATAAAGGTGCTGTAGGATATAGACTGTGGAACCCACATTGCGGATTAACTTTTGAGATGTAGTATCAGATTTAAGGCTGCAAATTAACAAAACATCTAATATGGTATCTTTTTAACTCAGAACTTTTGCCAAATTAACGATGATCCCTGCCCAGGAGAAAACGAGTTATGTGAAGCTGGGTTCACAGAAAAACGCTACAGATGTGTCTGTCGCGATGGGTTCAAGTTTGTAAACGACAATTGTACAGGTAATATGCAGAAGTTAGATGCATTAAACAATTCAACTTATATTCTTCGCCATTAACGAAGGCTCGAGAGCTTAGTTTGTAGTTCATTACACCCTTGCAAATATAGAGTAATTTCACATGACGTCACGGCGGCCATATTGATGTTCGAAAGCAATGAAACGGCGGCCATGTTGGTATTCCGAACAATTCTTCTGGGAGTTGAATTCTTTTCTTGTGTGAACGCTTCCTTTTGCTCGGTTAAGTTTGCATAAATGCTGGCCACGTGCACGAAAACCTTCAGTGGGAAGAAAGCTGTTAACTTGCTTTTCATCCTCTTTCTTCACCAGTAGGTAAATGGCGCCGACGACTGTATAAGAGGGAGCTTTAAAAAGGGCGTTTTGAAGCTACGGACGGCAACAGGAAGTGGCGTTTTGTATTCCTAGGCGTTTGTTCTGTCCAAATGTTTAGACAAAATGGTGTCTTTAAGAGTAAACACACTTGGAGATACAAATTTGGTAGGCTGCACTTCCGGCTGACATGCTTCAATTAAAAACGTCTTTGCTTGCTTAAGCGCCCCTAAGGGCATTAATGTGCACCCTTTTCTACTGTAGCCTGCGCGCGTGCGCGGGTCTCTGGTCTGGTTGTCACGTTTATTTTGTGCCATTGAGATATTACCTTTAATCTTAGTCTGTTAATCAGGCTCAGAGATTGGCCATTTTGATACTGATTTCGCGAGAGACTGGGTCGGGGTTGTTTTGAACTGCATTGTGGGGCCGTCTTGGGAACGAATTTTTACTCACACTCCTGTGCGAGCTTGCAAAGTCAAGAGGAAACATCACTGTTTACAGACAATGAGTGAAAGAAAAGAACTTTCCGCTTTTGTTACAAGAACTAATGCGCTTCTGGTGGACACATTTAAAATATCAATAGGTGACGTCAGCGTGAGTATCGCTGAATAACTATTAAAGAAGCGATAGTGTCTTACAATGCAGTTGAACACAACATCGAAACGGACTCTTTGGCAAACTCACAATAGCCACTGATACAAATTACGATGGATTGACTCTTATTTTCTGTAGATCTAAAAAATAGTTTTTCTACTTCATTTTTTATATCGCCATTCGTGTTCAATGTTGACAGATATTGATGAATGCCATGAGGAATTGCACGACTGCAAGCTAGGTATGCCGGGGGGCATGAAATGCATAAATGAGCCTGGTTCGTTTCGTTGTGAATGTCTCCCCGGATTTGTTAAAGAAGGTTCTATCTGCAAAGGTCAGTATTTTAAGGGGAATATTCTAACAGCTCCAATGGCTTCTTAAAAATAATGACCGAGTGCGTATGGCGAGGTTATTATTGATTTTTTAAGAAGGGCATTATCCGGTTTAGTGGACCTTTCTATTGTTTTAGAACCACCAGGTCATTATTGTGGCCACTGAAATGGAAGAGTGGGTTATTATTCGTAATAATGACCTCCTGCTCCACCTGTCTTGCAGTTGTTGAAAATAACAATCTTTTCAAAACAATGGAAAGGTGCATTAAACATATTCAATAACCTTTTTATTATTCATTATAACTACTCCCAGTCACAACGTTATTACTTTTGAGTATAAATTTTTGGCGTCATATTTGTTCCTACGCAGTTTAGAGAACGAACGGATGTTTTGTTTTAAAAGTTACCCTCGCAGAGCGTCACCATTAACATGTTTTTGCGTGTTGTTTAGATGTTGACGAATGTGGGTCCTCCAGCTTGAATAACTGTTCACCTAACGAGAAATGTGTGAATGAACATGGTTCATTCCATTGTGAGTGCAATGATATTGGACAGTGTAAAGGTCAGTGAATATTACTAGAGGTCGCTAATCAGATAACTTGTAACAAGGCTTTGTGTAACATGCATCGCTCTGTTTACTGTGCGTTATTAGGGAGCTTTAGCCTGCGTAGCATGGCGGTTTTGGTTGGGCGCGCTAAATAATAAAGGCGGGCGAGGGCAGAGAAACTGCAAGGAGATTGGGGCGGAAGCAACTTGATTATTTTTCTGGCGGCTTCTCCGCTCAGTCGTGCTACCGAAACCGCCATGCTACGCAGGCTAAGGGAGATTAAGCAGGGACGAAGGCGAAAACGACACCGTCAAAAAACAATTGTTTTTATGAGCAAAACAACAGCTTTGCACGTGTCTCACAAACCTTGTTCACATATCACTCTGTGGGACGTTAAAGAACCCACACACTATTCGAAAAGAGTAGGGGACGTAGTTCCCGGTGTTGTGGTCTATCTTCATCACTTACATCATCACTCATCAAGGGTTGGGAGGGTTCAGTGGGCTCATAAATGGACTGATAGCGGCTGCCATCGGCGCCCTTAGTATGCTGATGTCCGAGCCCACTGCAAAAAGCTATGTAAAGAGGACATGTATGTTTGTCCTCTCAATCGCGACATTTACATTTACATTTACACTTTCTTAGTACATTTCTTTGACGTTTACTGCACGACTACGACGTGAAACCCGCTAATGTGACTTTTTATCGAAGACGTAAACATACGACGACGAATTTTCCTTTCTCGTTTTGAAACTGGATAAAGTCCTTAGGAATTCAACTCCAGGAAAAATTGCCTGCATTTGACAAATTGAGCTGGTGCAAATAGACGCGATAAAGTTTAAAAGGACGTAAATTGTCTTTTTTAGCGACGTTTTCCCTGCCGTCGTCGTCTTCGCCGGTTACGTAAGTTTTCTATTCGGAGATCACAAACATTATGAAGTGTCAGCCTTCTTCTCGCCACCTAAACCAGCTTAATACCTCAGAAGAATTTGCCACAGAAAAGAAGTCTTACGAACCCGACAAAACGGTTTACCCTGTTTGTTTGATGTTGATCAGTTTAATTAAATCCCAGGATGCCATGATGCTCTCGGTGTAGAAAGCGGTGCAATCTCTGATGGGCAAATGAGTGCTTCTTCGCAGTTGGATGAAAATCACGCTGCCTCTCAGGGAAGGCTCTACGTTGAAGCTGTTTCAGGCAAAAGCGGGTCATGGTCAGCAAAAGTTAATAATGTATCTCAGTGGCTTCAAGTTGATTTGGGTAATCCGCACACCAAGGTCACTGCCGTAGCAACACAAGGCAGAAATAACTACCCTCAGTGGGTAACGAAATACAAAGTGCAGTATAGCGGAGATGGCGACAATTTTCAATATTTCATGGAAGAACAACCCAGCAAAATAAGGGTAAGATGGTACCCACCGTAGACGTACACATTTGAAATTTTTAAATTAAGTGTTACCTACCTACCTGCCTACCTACCCGCCTGCCTGCCTGCCTACCTGCTTGCCTACCTACCTACCTACCTGCCTGCCTTCCTGCCTGCCTACCTACCTACCTACCTACCTGCCTGCCTACCTACCTACCTACCTACCTACCTGCCTGCCTGCCTACCTACCTAGCCTACCTACCACCTACCTACCTGCCTGCCTGCCTGCCTACCTGCCTACCTGCCTACCTGCCTACCTGCCTACCTACCTACCTACCTACCTGCCTGCCTGCCTACCTACCTGCCTACCTACCTACCTACCCACCTACCCACCTACCTACCTACCCACCTACCTACTTATCTACCTACAAACCTTGCACTCTTTTCGTCATTTTAACAGGATAGCAACAGGCCATTTTCGTGTTCTCTCAAGCCTCTGTTTCAAAGCGAGGCCAAGTCCAAAGCCATGAAAATGATTTTTTATTCTCATGGAAATAAAACTCATTTTTACACTTAACCTCATTTTGAAAGTGAGAATATTTGGAACTCCGAAGTGGCCTGTAGTTCTGCTGCGGAGTGAGCTCTTGATCCCGTAGATAAGTATTAGGAAAACCAATTAGGCTACCCCCAGTTACAGATTTTCCCAGTGGATAGTGTTATTTACCTTTTGAACGGCTAGGGCCTGAGTAGATAGACAACTGAGATAGACAGGGTGGAGCAAAGTGTCTTGTCTAAGAAAACGATGCAAAGACAAGGCTTGAATTCCCGAGGGTATGGGTACTTCCTATAATGGCCCATACAGGGAGGCTCCGCCCGAAAGAGGTATCTTTTTCAGGCTTCAGGTATATGAAACAGGGGCACCCAGCGACAATTTTTGGAAAATATCTGTTCGGAAGGCGATTTGAGATCTAGAATTTTCGGAAGATTTGTTGTTAAATTTCTTGCTTGCTCGCCTCTCCTAGGATTTTCGAACCTCCCCAAAATTGTATAATTGCCCATTTTTAACGGATTTTTACCCCAAAAAGGTCACCTAGAATTTTCGGGAGCCTGTTTTCAGGCTTAAATTTTCTAAAAGGTAAGTTTTTATCCCAATAATTTTCGGATCACTAGACTTTCAGCTAGGAAATCCGAACAGATGAAAAATTTGTAGGGATAAAAATATACCTATATCTACCGTCTAAATACTAACATACGTTCAACAATACTATGTTTAAGTGGTTTTGAACTATATTCTCGTTGGGTGCCCCTGATGAAAGGGTAGGGATTTCACTAGTTGAAGTACCGTATATAAAAGGGTAGGGAAATCTGTCATTTAGGCCTGTGAAAAGGCCCAGGAGGGCAAACAGATGCATTTATGGCTTTGAAAAGGCCGAGGAAACTTTCTGGTTTTGTGATATATTCGTATTTTACAGCCATTGCGTTATTAGAGAGATTAAGATTCACGTTTACGCCAAACGGCAAACTTGAATTTGTACCACGTGACCAAGTTTTCCCCTTATTTTTCGTTAACTGTTTATTGCTTCTACACAAAAATAAGTAGTTTTATGCCAGTTTTATCCAAAAGAATCGTTCTGGACTGTTTTTATCTGCTTATTTTCTATTTTGAGAAATTCTCAACTGACGTTTGCCGTTTGCCGTGTGCCGTAAACGTGAATCTTAATCTCTCTATTTAGCAGTTAAAAGGGATGCAAAGCTCTAAATTAGGTATGTGAAAGGGGTACCATTTGTCAATAAAAGGTATTCGAAAGAGGAACCATTTCTGTCAAAAATGGTATGTTAAAGGGTAAAGGTATTAGCCTCACCGTATCAGAAACTTTGTTGAGTAGCCCTCCCCCCTGGCTGGAATTCTTGATCGTCCAGCACCACGTCTCCACGCTCTTTTTGTATTAATTTTTATCAATGAGCATCATATTCATTGAAAGATGTTTTTCAGCAACTTCGTCATCTTTTTTTTTTTTTATTTTGTTAGGAGTTTGTTGGAAACACAGATCAGGACACTGTGGTCTACCACAAACTCAGTCATCCCATCAGGGCACGCTACATCCGTTTTCGACCAGTAACTTGGCACGGTCACATATCCATGAGGGTGGAGATTTATGGGCGCAAAGGTAAAATTTGCATTTGTATTCCGGTTATCAAAACACTGACCAACTGCTGCTTGAGGAAGGAGGGAGTGTTGGGTTAGGGTTAGGGTTAGGGTCATAAGTAACTTTCGTGGAACACACCTATCCTAGAAAGAAAGAAAATAATAATTTAATCCTTAGGTGGGAATGACAACTACAAAATGGATTAGATAGTATAGAGCTTTCAATGTAACGCGTTGCTACTATTTTAGCTTGTTTTATTTTAGGTTTTTTAGCCCCTGATTAAGACTTGTTTTGTCTAGTCGAAATATTGGGCAAATAAATCAATGTAAATTACCAACCCTTAGCTGTCCGATCAGCCTTGCCCTCAATTTTAAGTAAACCTACTCCATCAGCCAACAAATTGTTACGCCCAGTAAAATCGTATTTCAATGCCTCATGTAAGGAAATCTGGATTACTGATTCCGGTATATGTTTTGCTAATAGAATCCTGGGCTTTGGAATTAAGGCTCAACGAAACCGGAATCCCACTAACGGTTGAAATCCCGAATCCGAATTCCTCTGACAAGAATCCAGAATCCAGTACCCGAAATCCAAATCCAATCCAAAATTTACTGTACACGCATTTAATTGATACATTTGGAATGTGCAGATGATCTGGGAATGGAAAACAATCGTATTAGCGATGGTCAAATCAGTGCCTCTTCAGAGCTGAGTCCCAATCACAAAGCAAACCAAGGCAGACTCTACTATACTACAGATGGAGGCAAAGGGGGAGCCTGGTCAGCTAAAACAACCGATGGAAATCAATGGCTTCAAATTGATCTTGGGGGCCCTTACGCTACCGTAACAGCAGTGGCAACCCAAGGCAGACATGACAAGGATGAATGGGTTACGGAATACATGTTGCAGTACAGTAATGAGACTTTGAATTTCACGCACTACAGAGAACCAGGACAAACTGAGGCATGAGAAAATAAATCCATATATAAACATTTTTCTTTTTTTGCCAGGAAAGCCTGTTTATCATGTTTACATGTTGTTGCGGTTTTAATCGTCTTAACGCATTTCCAGCTTTCAACAAAAATGACAGTACACGAATTTTACATCTAACAAAGGGACCTGAGTGGAGATGCTGAGAAGGGTCCGGAGGATCATATGCTCTGCCACTTAACCATGTGCTCAAAACCCTAATCCTCCACGTACCCTCCCCTTTGCCTACCGAGGATCTTTAATTCGCTTTTCTCATTGAGAAACTTCTTGAAATTTTTCAAGAGTACATCATCCTTTGAGGGTCTCACAGGATACTTCTTAAGACCCTTGAAAATACCTTGGAATTATTCCTACCATTTTCCTATCCTTCAACTCGTGAGATCCCTATACTTTTAAAATACCTTTAGCCGGCCAGCAAAGCATCCCTGTATAGTCCGTTTTCGATTGTAACCCTCCCCCCAAATACACACACACCACGAGTCAGTACTAACTCAGGGTTAGGTCCTGAGTCAAGACAAGTGTGCGTTGTAGAGTGAATAATATGTACTCCTAATAATCTGTTTATTTCCTCCGGTTAGATCTTTACAGGGAATGATGATCGTGATACCGTAGTTCTTCATAGCTTGAGTACGCCATTCAAGGCGCGTTACATCCGTTTTCTACCAACTGATTGGCATGGCAAAATTTCAATGAGAGTAGAGCTTTATGGATGCAAAGGTAATTTAGAAGGTACATGTTTTCAAGTCTGAAAGCAACGGCCCAGTTCATTTCTTTTTAGGACTGTTGTTGACAGTGACTGACGTTTCGACAACCTGTGCGGTAATCACCTTCAGAGTCAAAGCGAGTTGTATCACGTCAGAACCCCTAACCGTTGTTAATTTATTTCCGTCACTGACATTCTCGTTAAAACTGACTCGTAGTAGAATGATGACGGCCTTTTTTTCGTCAAGATGATACCGGTATTCAAGCGTGCGCACTGCTAACCTTTTGACCTCTTCCGCCATTGGTTTACGTAAAGTCTTACACTTCATCGTTATTGTTATTATTTTAATTATAGAGTTCTTAATTATAATTTAATACTGAATATTTTACCGGGCAAGTATATGTGTACAGCTGTTTCGAGAAAGGTTGTCGGAAAAAGTGCACGCGACAATCCCGAAAGGTATTGTGGGTGGTTTTTAGTTCACTGTTTAATTTGAAAAGAAATTTCAAAGAATGGCACGAGAGGCCATGGACGCGTGTTTGCAAGTGCTAAAGGAAAGTAACAAAAGTACGTTCGACAACTACAGTGTCAGGAACAAGTCATTGATCATATCCCATATTACCTTTCGCGATTGTCGCGTGCACAGTTTTTGCGACAACCTTTCTCGAAATAGCTGTATATGAAATGTATGAATCGCACCTTGTCGGCAACATGACTGATTTACCATGCGATTTAAAAAAGAAAATAATAAATTCATACTACAAAATTGTACCTTTTTCATTTTTTTATTTTTTATTTTTTTTACATTTTCTTTCAGACTGGAAAAAAATTAACCATGAAACAGTCTGCTACGAAGCTAAAAACTCTCATGGAAGTTTTCGCATCACCAAACAGGGACTCATCCACACGTTTAAACTGGTTCACCGAAGAGGATCATTAAAGTGTGCACAACACATACCAGCAACCTTTTGGGGCTGCACACACAACAATTATGGTGATCAAACACTATCTACTGTAATAACATACGAGAACAAAAGTGTTCTCCCTCTAGCAGAATACAGAGATCATGGCTACTGTAAAAAAAACTCGTACAAGATCAAGGGTATAGATGTTAACTCGACGGAACTTCTGTTTGACCGTCTTCCGTCTCCAATATCCGTGTCTAATGGACAGGTATTCAAAATTTGGTATACTGAAGCCTTGCTGAATAAACACAATTGTTACAAGGATAATAGTGGTAAGATATGCATTGACGTTTATGCGTTGTACGATTGAACTGCTACCAAGAACGTGCAGGTGCTAAGACTCTAGAAACAACTTTATTTTTAGCACAGCAATCATCATTTGTCAGTAGTCAGAGACCACTTGGGTATATAGCTTTACAATACATTATAGAGGAACTTTTAGGTCTGTAACTGAAGGTAAGGATGTATATCGGCTTAGTTACCCAGATGGCTCATTGCAAAGGACTAGATCAATGGTGTACCACATCCCCATAAGAAAAGGTTGGTTGTTTGCAATGGTAGCTACAATAGTAATAATGAGAATAGATTGACCGGTTTTCTCACGATGTAGTCACTCGACCATTGTAGTAATGAAAAGCAGTCTGCAAGAGTATGGCGCGAGTATGTGGCCCCACCTCCAAAGCCAGAGAAAAGCGCCCTGGGGGCGAGGTTGCGTCTGGCATCCTAGGAAAAGTCAGGAGCAAAATGCGCTTATCCCCGCACAATATTGATACAAACTCGGAATTCGTGTAGACACTCGATCTCATCGACTGAACAGTGCAACCTCGTTCCCAGGGCTTTTTCCCTTCCCTGGGAACGAGGTTGGACCAAGTGACTACCAGTGGATCACTCCATTTAAGGTAATCTGGATTCCGGAGTCCGGGAAATCTTTGCCTGTAGAATCCGGAATCCTGAGCTATGGAATCTGGAATACAGCTCAAAGAATCCGGAATCCCACTAACGATTGGAGTCCAGAATCAAAGTCATCTGGCAAAGAATTCGAAAACCACCTCCTGGAATCCCTCCAGAATTCAAGACTGTCTTGAATTTCCATACATGGGGTGAAGCGGAGTTCTAGTCAGCAAACTGTTAATCCCTCTTAGTCTGTAGACAGCGAAAAGTGACTTAGATAATGCAAGAAGAATTATTTGTGAAACGTTTAAGCCTCTCGAGATGGTTAGACTGCGAGTAGTCCCCATTTTTCCTCAGGGATATTAGAGCGAGCGAAACGCGAGCGCGCGTGAAAATCACCTCACGCGTGTCGCCTTTTCTCGCGTGGGGTGATTTTCACGCGCGCTCGCGTTTCGCTCCCTGTACTATCCCTGAGGAAAAATGGGGACTACTTGTAGTCTACGAGATAGTGTACCCAATCTTAATAAAAGCGTCTAAGTTTAAACCGAGCAGTATCAAAATTCATATTCCCTATACGTTTTCTATAGAGGTAGTAGCAAGAATTTGATTAATTCTTTTGAAGTATCGATTCGATTTATCTACACTGTATATGTGATCATGTCCTTAATTCTCATCACCAATGAGTTTTGTAAAGCATTCATATTACAAGGCGAAATTTAATGATAGATTATAGATTAATATAATGCTTTCTTGACATCTCAGTGACAATTTGTAATAATAATTAACAAGTAAAAGTGAGTTAAAAAACCGTGCATTAAAAACAAGCTAAAACTGGTGACAGCGCAGCTCATCTTAAAAAGTCTTTTAAAAGATACTTTCTTAAATTGCGCTTAAAATTATTTAAACATTAGCTAAGCTTAATTTCAATGGTAAATAAATTTTCGTATATTAACATTTCTATAACTGAAAAAAGGATCTCTGCCCTGTTTTAGTTGAAAAGGTAGAAACATTTGCAACGAATGATAATTAGAGTTTTTGGTTCTAAACGGAATAAATTTGTTGCTTGATTCCAGGTGTTAAATGTCATTTATGCATCAGTCAATTCCAGCTGCACCCACCCTCCCCCCTCCCGCTCGGGCTGACCCCCGGGCGTTAGCATTATTTCTACCTTGGATATGTCTCATGTTTTTTCATAGTAATTGGAGCTTCGCCTTTAGCCTCGGCTAAATCTATATATTTGCAGGAGCCCATGGTGAATTAGGAAGCTTTAGCAACAGCGACAGCGACGGCAACGAGAACGTCCAAAAAGCAATAGCCTTATTAAGCAAAACAACAAATTTGCACGTGCATGTACGTTTCTCTGCCGTTTCTACACGACTACGACGTGAAAATGCAGAATTTCACGTAAACAAGCGACGACGAATTTTTCTTTCTCTTTCTAAATTTTAGTGTGGTCCCCAAGAAATCAACTCCCGGGAAATTCGCCCACTTTAACATTTCAGGCGAACTGGAATAAACGCGGAAAAGTTTGAAAAAACGCGAATTGATTTTTAAAGTGACGTTTCCGCCTCCGTCGCCGTGTTCGGTGCTAAAGCTCCCTTTTCTCACCTTTCAAAACTACAGTGTCTTTTGTATATCTAGTTTTGACAATGATTATTGTTGCAACTTCCATGCAAGATATACGAGAATCGACCCAATGCCTTTTGAAGAATAACTATTACGGAATTACTGCAACCTTGCGTGTAGTTTGATTGATGTAAGTATTGTTTGAGGAAGGAATGATCTACAAATCGTGCCTCCTAGTTTAAGTATTTGTTTAGTATCTTAAGGGTACGTTGGTTTCCACGGTGATTTGCATTGACTTGAAATTGTTGAAAAACACAGCTACAATGCCGTATCTCTAAGTATCTGATAAATACTTAATATACACGTAAATGGGTCCCGCATTAAAACTTAAAAGCACTGAGTGGCTTTTCACTGTATGATTCCGGTGGCTATGTTATGAAAACAAAAAAACAATTAAATACAAGAAAACAAAAGAAAACAATATCACCTGCCAAACCCCTAGCGCCTGCCAATAAATATTTATCATAATCTTTCTTAATTGAGTTCTCATGGTCATCTATGGTAATTCGACCTTCTTCATTAATTTGTTTTTGACGGATGAAAACTAGAGAGACGAGAAAGGATGGGAAATTTGACGTTGATAACTGACTCTTATCGGCACTGAGCTCTCTGTTAGTCGAATAAAATTTCAATTAGTTTACGCACAGTTTGCAAAAATCTTTCCTTACTTACTTTAAAAAATTCAATTTTTACCAAGACGTGGGCTTAGACAAGGGCGTTTCTAATTTCGAAATGCTTTATTAATGAATAAACAGCGCAAAACAGCTAATATTAAAAAAGGAGATAGTTGAGCCCGACACCAGTTCTACGGCAACTAGTTAAGTGAACTTTCATGGCGTCTATAAATTCGTTTCTTCTACTTTCATCGATTACTTCGCTTATTTTTTGTACTTCTTTATGTACTGGTAAGTTTTGTTCTTATCTGCAGGCAATCTTTTCAATTTTTGAGCTTTTATTGTTTTTTCGTATTTCAATAATCCGACAAACTTGTATGATATACAAAATTCTTAACATAAATAATATTCTGTAAACCATAAAATATACAATAATTGTAAATTTCCCTTTAGTTTAATGGATGCGTTTTTTAGTGTAAAATGTTCAGGCTTTTCCTCGCAGAAAAAAAGTACTAGATGTTGCAAACAGGAAGACAGTTTTTCATTCACTCAAATTTACCAATTTTAATACAATATTGCCACTGAAAGCACTAATTTACAAAAAAGAAGTTAAGATTTTATCAATAAGTTCTTTCAAATGAGAACAAAACAGGATAAAGGCCTTTAAAAATCTTCATTCTTTAGAGAAAAAACTGCAGAGCTATTATGTTTTATTGAAGACAAAATAACCACATAAATTTACAACATGCAGCTGCAGAGATATATGATGATACGGCATTTGGATGGCTGAGGTGTAAAATTCGTTGTAATATCTACCTGGAGTTATGAAAACCGGGTTAGCAAACATTTTGTAATTTTTCTCAACTTCCCCTGTCTAATAGCTTGTTTACTGTGTTTTTTGCTTATGTCGTATTTTTTTGGCTTCTCAGCGATGGGACAAAGTTATTACAATTCGCAGAGTCTGCATCGTCCAATATCGTATTTTATTAAAAACTGAATCATTGGATAATGCAATTCTAGCATTTTGATTGGCTTAGCCGTTATGGTATATGAGCTAATATACCATGTTCTCCATATATGGTCGGTCTACGCGTCAGTTTAAAATTGGAAGCTAGCTGAGAATTTTTTTCGCGAAGGATAGAACGGCGCCCGAAGCAAATCGTTTTAATTCATTTCTTAGAATACTAGAAATGCAATTTCAACGAAAGAAAAAAGACAAAAACAAACAAAAAAGCCACAAGAGCTTGTTTGAAAGTTTGTCGAAAAACACATGAAAACACATGGAACTAAAGTACCTTCACCAGCTACGAAAGAAGACAAGTGTTGTTTCTTCATGATCGCGAAGCCATTCGCCAATCGAGTCACTCGCCGATAGATAACTGCAGCTTGTTTATCCGACATCAAGATATAAATCACAAGAAACCAGCTACAAATACAGGCAATGCAGCCATTCACTACAGCAATCGAGGCGACAGTATAGCTTCTTTTCTTGTTCAGCAAAACCAGCTTGTGGCTTCAAACAACTTCATAACAAGCGACCGAGGTAATACCGGTAGTTTTTCTCCGTTGTTCTTACTTTTATAACTGCACCGAAAATCCAAATTCATAGTAATTTCGACGGCTGTCACTTATAGCCAACTCGGCGCTATGCGCCTCGTTGGCTATCTATCATCTCATATCCAACGCGCCCTCGTGGAATAATTGTTAAATACCCTCGTTTCATTTGGCTAAACGGATCAATCGCCCTGATCCAGGCTTAGACAGAAAGGTACGATATTGTTCACTTTTCTAAGGTGACCACTAAGTCTTTGGCCTCGGGAAAAGGCTCTTAGAAGTCAAATGAATTAGGTGAGAGCAAAATTGCAGGTGAACTTTCTTGAAAACAACAAGGCTAAGGTGATCCGCCGACCGTGTGACTTTACATCCGGGAACTTTAATAAGACGAGTGTAAGAGAAAGTCCAAAGGTGTTTATCTGGCAATAGGCTGAGTTTTTCCGAGTTATTCGATGATATTTCGCTTATGTTAAACGAAAGAAGATTATGCGTGGTTATGGATAGTCTTATCATTGCCGCGAAAGTGTGTGATTCCCGCATGGTGTTGACAGGTATGTGATCGCGTGGTTGAACAGTGGTTTCTCCAGAATATTTTGTGCAAGTCATTAAGATTGTTTCGTCGGTGTTTAGCTTAGCTGATTGTACCTTGGAAAAGCAACTCTCGACTGAGGAAAATTGGATCTAGGTCTAGTTTCAGCGGGCTCTAATGGCATTGCACCATAGGCCGGTATTTGCAGATAAGAAGGTGATAATTTGTGCACTATGTTTCATTCAGTTTGTTGTCTATTCCATGCGGAATCCTGTTGTTTATCGGACCGCAACAAAAGTAGTGTTTTGCTAACTATTTAAGTTGTTATGAAAGCCTTAACCAGGCGCTCTTTCGCTGCAGCTCACTCAACTTAAAAATTTCTAGACTGAAATGACACAGGTTTGAAACTTCGCGAAGTCAGTTTACTGAATAAATGTTCTACAATTTGCGTCATTTTAAATTTGGACTCGTTGGAATGCTTCTAGGGACCATTAACCTACTGCCTGGCGTCATATGAAGGCTTTTAATCGGCCTTTGAATTTGTTGTTTTAAATTGCCAAGTAGTAGAATGAGTTGATATTTTTGCTAACCCGGTTTTCAAAAATCCAGGTATATATAATTTGGCAATTTTCTAGAGTGAATTTGTTTCGATGAGCTCATGATCTATGTTTTACTTTTTATGTCAGTTTTGTCGATAGAATACAACCGTATCATAATATTCAAGGAACCCATACCAGACAGAGTGCTTCCAGATCGCGTGATTAGAACTGAAAAGGTACTCAATGAAGGGGGCTGCAGGGTGAAATGTTTTTTGGAACCAAAATGCGTGTCTATTAACGTGGGTCCTGGAGGTGCTCATACAAGAACATGCGAACTTAACAATGCCACTGACGAGAGCCCTTCACTGTCCTCTCTGGAAAAGAAGGAACATTACATTCACTTTGCTATTGAGGTATGTTAAAACTGGCTTTTGGTTCGTACGTACGGAATGATGACGATAACGATTCAGGGCATACATGTAATAATGATGATGATGATGGTGATGGTGATGTTGATGATGATAATGATGATGACCATATTGCTAATGCTGCTGCTGATAATGATGAATGATGGTGACAATATTGATGACAATGATGGTGATAGAGGTGATGAAGATCATTATTGTGGTTCTGATGATGATGATTTTTGTTGTTGTTGCTGCTGCTGCTGCTGATGATGATGATGATGATGATGTTGATTTTGGCACTGTTGTTGTTATGGATACTAATGATGATGATAATGATGTTGACAATGCTGATGATAACAGATGTATCATAATTCTGTTCTTGGTATTGTTATTAATGATGATGACGATAGTTATGATTTTGATGATGATGTTGACAATGTGATGTTGAAAATAGTGATTCCAAGAAGCGATATAAATGAGATGTGCTGATAAAGATGGTAATGGAGATTGTGACAGAGTTGCTGTAGGATATAGACTGTGGAACCCACATTGCGGATTAACTTTTGAGATGTAATATATGCCGGAGAACTTGAAAAACAAATAATGCACATCAGATTTAAGGCTGCAAATTAATAAAACATCTAATGTGGTATCTTTTTAACTCAGAACTTTTGCCAAATTAACCATGATCCCTGCCCAGGAGAAAACGAGTTATGTGAAGTTGGGTTCACAGAAAAACGCTACAGATGTGTCTGTCGCGATGGGTTCAAGTTTGTAAACGACCAATGTACAGGTAATACGCAGAAGCTAGATGCATAAAACAACTCATACTCTTTACCAAGAGCCAAGTTTATAGAGTGTTTTCACTCACGTGGCCAGCATCTATGCAAATTTATTGGAACAAAAAAAAAGCGTTTGCATAAGAAAAGAGTTACCACGGGACTGGTTTGGGACACCAATATGGCCGCCATGACGTCATGTGAAAACACTCTATAGTTCATTGCGCCCTTGCAAATATAGAGTAATTGCACATGACGTCACGGCGGCCATATTAATGTTCGAAAACAATGAAACGGACCCGGTGCTCACTTTAGTGCCCGACTACAAGGTCTCGATCTTGTACTCGGGCACCGGCACCGTGCCCAAATTCTAGCGCGGGTACTTAACAAAAGGTGCGTTCACATTAGGGCCCAGCGAGTATCGTACTCGGGAACCAGTGCCCGGGAACCAAGTGTGAACGCACCCCTAGTCTGTTAATCAGGCTCAGAGATTGGCCATTTTGTGACTGATTTCGCAAGAGACTGGGTCGGGGTTGTGTCGAACTGCATTGAGGGAGCGTCTTGGGGGACGAATTTCAAACCACACTCCTGTGCGAGCTTGCAAAAGTTAAGAGGAAACATCACTGTTTACAGACAACGAGTGAAACAAAAGAACTTCCCGCTTTTGTTAGAAGAACTAATACGCTTCTGTTGGGCACATTTAAAATATCACGTTAGCGTGAGCCTCGCTGCAGAACTATTGAAGGGGCGATAGTGGCCCACAATGCAATTGAACACAACATCGAAACAGACTCTTGGGCAAACTCACAATAGCCACTGATACAAATTACGATGGATTGACCTCTTATTTTCTGTAGATCTAAAAAATAGTTTTTCTACTTCATTTTTTATATCGCCATTCTTGTTCAATGTTGACAGATATTGATGAATGCAGAAAGGAATTGCACAACTGCAAGCTAGGTATGCCGGGGGGCATGACATGCATAAATGAGCCTGGTTCATTTCGTTGTGAATGTCTCCCTGGTTTTGTTAAAGACGGTACTATCTGTAAAGGTTAGTATTTTAAGGGGAATATTCTAACAGCTCCGATGCCTTCTTAAAACTAATGACCGAGCACGTAGGGCGAGGTTATGATTGATTTTTTAAAGAGGGGCATTACCCGGTTTAGTGGACTTTTCTATTGTTTTAGAACCAGCAAGTCATTACTATGGCCTCTGAAATGGAAGAGTGGGTTATTATTCCTAATTGTTCCACCTGTCTTCCGTGACCAGCTCCTTCGATCCATTTTGTTGAAAATAAAAACCTTTTCAAAACAATGGAAAGGTGCATTAAACATACCATGTTGAATGATTCAATAACCTTTTTATTATTCGTTATAACTACTTCCAGGCTCACAACGTTATTACTTTTGAGTATAGATTTTTGGAATCACTTTTAGTTCCTACGCAATGTAGAGAACGAATGAATGTTTTCTTTTAAAAGTTACCCTCTCAGAGCGTTACCATTAACATGTTTTTGCGTGTTTTTTAGATGTTGACGAATGTGGGTCCTCCAGCTTGAATAACTGTTCACCTAACGAGAAATGTGTGAATGAACATGGTTCATTCCATTGTGAGTGCATTGACATTGGACCGTGTAAAGGTCAGTGAATATTAATGGAGGTCGCTAATCAGATAACTTGTAACAAGGCTTTGTGTAACACGCATCGCTCTGTTTACTGTGCGTTATTAGGGAGCTTTAGCCTGCGTAGCATGGCGGTTTTGGTTGGGCGCGCTAAATAATAAAGGCGAGCGAGGGCAGAGAAACTGCAATGAGATTGAGGCAGAAGCAACTTGATTATTTTTCTGGCGGCTTGGCTGCTCAATGGTGCTCCCGAAACCGCCATGCTACGCAGGGTAAGGGAGCTTAAGTAGCGACGAAGGCGAAAACGACAACGTCAAAAAACAATTGTTTTGTGAGCAAAACAACAGCTTTGCACGTTCATCACACTTTCTTAGTACATTTCTTTGACGTTTACTGCACGACTACAAATTGCCTGCATTTGACAAATTAAGCGGGTGCAAATAGACGCGATAAAGTTTAAAAGGACGTAAATTGATTTTTTTTAGCGACGTTTTCCCTGCCGTCGTCGTCTTCGCCGGTTACATAAGTTTTCTATTCGGAGATCACAAACATTATGAGGTGTCAGCCTTCTTCTTGCCACCTAAACCAGCTTAATACCTCAGAAGAATTTGCCACAGAAAAGAAGTCTTACGAACCCGACAAAACGGTTTACCCTGTTTGTTTGATGTTGATCAGTTTAATTATATCCCAGAATGCCATGATGCTCTCGGTGTAGAAAGCGGTGCAATCTCTGATAGGCAAATGAGTGCTTCTTCGCAGTGGGATGAAAATTACGCTGCCTCTCAGGGAAGGCTCTACGTTGAAGCTGTTTCAGGCAAAAGCGGGTCATGGTCAGCAAAAGATAATAATGTATCTCAGTGGCTTCAAGTTGATTTGGGTAATCCGCACACCAAGGTTACTGCCCTAGCAACACAAGGCAGAAATGACCACCCTCAGTGGGTAACGAAATACAAAGTGCAGTATAGCGGAGATGGCGTCAGTTTTCAATATTTCATGGAGGAACAATCCAGCAAAATAAGGGTAAGATGGTGTTCACCCTAGACGTACAGCTATGGAATTTTTAAATTAAGTATTACCTACCTACCTACATGCCTGCCTGCCTGCCTACCTACCTACCTACCTACCTACCTACCTGCCTACCCACCTCCCTACCTACCTACCTCCCTGCCCACCTACCTACCTACCTACCTACCTACCCACCTACCTATCTACCTACCTACCTACCTACCTCCAAACCTTGCACGTTTTTCGTCATTTTTTAAAAAAGGATAGCAACAGGCCATTTCCGAGTTGCCCCAAGCCTCTGTTTTAAAGCGAGGCTAAGTGCAAAGCCATTGATATGAAAATGCTTTTTTATCCTTATGCAAATAAAACTCATTTTGAAAAGTGAGACTATTTGGAACTCCGAAGCGGCATTTCTCATTTTTTCACCGCCGTTACGGAATTTTAATTTTGTTCTTCCAACAAAAAATGTCTCCTTTGTTTTTTATCTCTCGCTCTAGATGTCTGTCACCCTTTTTCTCATTGAGTGTCGCTGGCCTGCCGCCTACTCTCTCTTTTTCTCTGTCTTTCTGTTGCTCTATATTCCAAATTTGTGGACATGACAATTAATCTAAGCTTAATGCTTTAGACAACACGGATACAGATACAATTTGCGCTTTCCGTTTTCGTCTTTATTGACTCTTTATCTGCCTCTGTTTTACAAGGCGCGGGTGGCTATGTGATTTCCCGCCAAAATAACCTCGAGTTGCATTTTGGTTGCCATATCTGTTAGTTGAGTTATGTTACATTGGTATGCCTGTCGTGCGGACAAACGGTCTCTCGGGCGGTCGGTGTAAGGTCACGTGATTACCAATGATTTTCTCGGCTGGTTACATTACCACATTTTCTTACCAATGGTGCTCCACTGTGCGCGCTTCGCACGCGAGAGCTCCGCTATTAGGAAAGCCAATTGGGCTGACCCCAGTGACATATTTTCCCAGTGAAAGGTGTTATCCACCGTTTGAACAACTAGTATAGGCAGAGGGAGAGGGAAATGAGATAGACAGGGTGGAGCAAAGTGTCTTTTCTAAGAAAACGACGCAACGGCAAGGCTTGAATTCCCGAGGGTATGGGTACTTCCTATAATGGCCCATACGGGGGGGCCCCGCCCAAAAGCGGTACCTTTCTTAGTTTTCAGGTATATAAAAGGGTTGTGATTTCAGTAGTTGAAGTATATAAAAGGGAAGGGAAATATGTTTTTGTGGTCTGTAAAAGGACCCAGAAGGGCTAATCGATGCATGCACTTTATGGCTTTGAAAACGTCGAGGAAACTTTCTGGTTTTATGATTTATACATATTTGAAAGCCAGTGCATTATTTAACAGTTAAAAGAGATGCAAAGTGCTAAACAAGGTACGTGAAAGGGGTACCATTTCTCAATAAGAGGGTATTCGAAAGGGGTACCATTTCTGTCAAAAATGGTATATTAAAGGGTAAAGGTATTAGCCTCATCGTCTTAAAGTTTGTTTGTTAATCGTCCAGCACCACGTCTCCACACTCTTTTTGTACTCAGTAATTTTATTAATAAGCGTCATGTTCATTAAAAGATGTTTTTCAGCAATTTCGTCTTCTTTTTTTTTAATTTTGTTAGGAGTTTGTTGGAAACACAGATCAGGACACTGTGGTCTACCACAAACTCAGTTGTGACATCAGGGTACGCTACATCCGTTTTCTACCAGTAGCCTGGCACGATCACATATCCATGAGGGTGGAAATCTATGGGTGCAAAGGTAAAATTTGCAATTTCACTCCGGTTTTCAAAACACTGACCAACTGCTGCTTGAGGAAGGGCGGAGTGTGGCAATAATTACGTCTTTCCTAATTCATGTCCAAACAAAAAACGCAAAGTAAAACGAATACAGTCAATGCTTGCCTTGTTTTAGGTCTTAAAAATATATTAACTTTCAATTGTTTCCTCCTGAATAGGGTCATAAGTAACTCTCGTGGAACACATCTATCCTAGAAAGAAAGAAGTAACCCTTAGGTGGTAGTGGGAACCACAAAATGGATTAGATAGTATAGAGCTTTACAATGTAGTGCGTTGCTACTACTGCAATACTTTATTTTAGCTTTTCTAGCCTCTGATGAAGACTAGTTTTGTCTAGTCGAAAAATTGGGCAAATAAATCAATGTAAATTACCAACCCTTAGCTGTCTGATCAGCCTTGCCCTCCATTTTAAGTAAACCTACTCTATCAGCCCACATATTGTTACGCCCACTAAAATCATATTTCAACGCCCCATGTAAGGAAGTCTGGATTCCGGATTCCGGTATATGTTTTGCTAGTGGAATCCTGGGCTTTGGAATTAAGGCTCAACGAAACCGGAATCCCACTAACGATTGGAATCCCGAATCCGAATTCCTCTGACAAGAATCCAGAATCCAGTACCCGAAATCCAAATCCAATCCAAAATTTACTGTATACGCTTTTAATTGATACATTTGGAATGTGCAGATGATCTGGGAATGGAAAACAATCGTATTAGCGATGATCAAATCAGTGCCTCTTCAGAGCTGAGTCTCAATCACAAAGCAAACCAAGGCAGACTTTACTATACGGCAGGCGGAGGCAAAAGGGGAGCCTGGTCAGCTAAAAAAAACGATGAAAATCCATGGCTTCAAATTGATCTTGGTGGTCTGTACGCTACCGTAACAGCAGTGGCAACGCAAGGCAGACAAGACAAGGATCATTGGGTTAGGGAATACATGTTGCAGTACAGTAACTGGACTTTGAATTTCACGCACTACAGAGAACCAGGACAAACTACATATAAGGCATGAGAAAATAAATAAATAAATAAATAAATAAATAAATAAATATATAAACCTAACAAAGAGACCTGAGTGGAGATGCTCAGTGCTCCGGAGGATCATATGCTCTGCCACTTACCGTATTTATTCGAATAAGCGGCCAACCTTGAATTAGCGCCCACGTTTAATAAGCGCCCATCCTAATAGCAGAAAAAGTTAATAAGCGCCCACCCCACCCCACCTCTCTCCCACTCCCACTCAAACTCAAATAAGCGCCCACCCCCACCCCAGCCTGCCCAAAACTGAATAAGTACTGATAAGAGACTTCCCCGAAGATGGAGTTTTCTTCAAAGTATTTTTTAGAAACCTTGCTTTGTTAAACGTGAGCGTTTTGTTATTGCCATTTATTGTTTTGTTGCAAAATAAACATACTGCTCTTGCTGAAAATGTTGAAAATTTCATAAGCGCCCAGCCTCGAATAAGTGCCCACCTTGAATAAGCGCCCACTCTCAAGGTCCAAAAATTTCATAAGCGCCCAGGGCGGTTAATCGAATAAATACGGTAACCATGTGCTCAAAACCCTAATCCTCCCCTACCCTCCCCTTTACCTACCGAGCGTCTTTAATTCGCTTTTCTCGTTGGGAAACTTCTTGAAATTATTCAAGAGTACATCATCCGTTGAGGGTCTCACAGAATACTTCGCAAGACCCTTGAAAATACCCACATTGGAATTATTCTTACCATTTTCCTATCCTTCAACTCGTGAGATCCCTATACTTTTAAAATACCTTTAGCCGGCCAGCAAAGCGTCCTAGTATAGTCCATTTTCGATTGTAACTTTCCCCCCAAACACACACACACCACGAATTGCCAACTCAAGGTTAGGTCAAGACAAGTGTGCGTCCTAGTGTGAATAATAATTATGTACTCCTAATAATCTGTTTATTTCCTTCGGTTAGATCTTTACAGGGAATGATGATCGTGACACCGTAGTTCTTCATAGCTTGAGTACGCCATTCAAGGCGCGTTACATCCGTTTTCTACCAACTCTTTGGCATGGCAAAATTTCAATGAGAGTAGAGCTTTATGGATGCAAAGGTAATTAAGAAGGTACATGTTTCCAAGTCTGAAAGCCACGGTCCAGTTCATTTCTTTTTAGGACTGTTGTTGACAGTGACTGACGTTTCGACAACCTGTGCGGTAATCACCTTTAGAGTCAAAGCGAGTTGTATCACGTCAGAACTCCTAACCGTTGATAATTTATTTCCGTCACTGACATTCTCGTTAAAACTGACTCGTAGTAGAATGATGACGGCCTTTTTCTCGTCAAGATGATACCGGTATTCAAGCGTGCGCACTGCTAACCTTTTGACTCCTTCCGCCATTGGTATACGTAAAGTCTTACACTTCATCGTTATTGTTATTATTTTAAATTTTAGAGTTCTTAATTATAATTTAATACTGAAGATTTTACCGGGCAAGTATATGTGTACAGCTGTTTCGAGAAAGGTTGTCGGAAAAAGTGCGCGCGACAATCCCGAAAGGTATTGTGGGTGTTTTTTAGTTCACTGTTTAATTTGAAAAGAAATTTCAAAGAATGGCACGAGAGGCCATGGACGTGTGTTTGCAAGTGCTAAAGGAAAGTAACAAAAGTAGGTTCGACAACTACAGTGTCAGGAACAAGTCATTGATCATATCCCATATTACCTTTCAGGATTGTCGCGTGCACAGTTTTTGCGACAACCTTTCTCGAAATAGCTGTATATGAAATGTATGAATCGCTCCTTGTAGGCAACATGACTGATTTACCATGCAATTTATTAAAAAGAAGAAAATAAATTCATGCTATAAAATTGTACCTTTTTCAATTTTTTTTTTTTTTTTTTTTTTTACATTTCCTTTCAGACTGGAAAAAGATTAACAATGAATCAGTCTGCTACAAAGCTAAAGACTCGCATGGAAGTTTTCGCATCACCAAACAGGGACTCATCCACGCGTTTAAACTTGTTCACCGAAGAGGATCATTAAAGTGTGCAGAAGACATACCAGCAACCTTTTGGGGCTGCCCACACCCCAGTTATGATAAGCAAACACTATCTACTGTAATAACATACGAGAACAACAGTGTTCTCCCGCTAGCAGAATACAGAGGTGGCTACTGTACAAAATACTCGTATAAGATCAAGGGTATAGATGTTAACTCGACGGAACTCCTGTTTAACCATCTTCCGTCTCCAATATCCGTATCTAATGGACAGGTATTCAAAATTTGGTATAATGAAGCCTTGCTGAGTAATAATTGTGCCCGAGATAACACTGGTGAGATATGCGTTGACGTCTATGCGTTGTACGCTTGAACTGCTAGCTAGAACGTGCAGGTGCTAAGACTCTAGAAACAACTTCATATTTAGCACAGCAATAGTCCGAGACCACTTGAGTATGCAGCTTTATAATACAAAATAGAGGAACTTTTAGGTCTGGGACATAACAGTCACCAAATCTTGTACACTAACATTGAGGGGACAGGGAGACACAAAAGTGTCCCAGCAATTTTGACTGAGACTGTAGTTAAAACTGGTGACAGGGTAGTTCATCGTTAAAAGTCTTTTAAACGATACTTTCTTAAATTGCACGTAAAATTATTTAAACATTGGCTAAGCTTAATTTCAAATGGTAAATTATTCCATATTAACAATTCTATAAGAAAAGGATTTTTGCCCTGTTTTAGTTTTAAATAATGGAATATTCAATTGCTGCGAGCTTCTTGTTGCTCTCCCACTTATGTTACCCCTAAAATTTAATTTATTACCTAAATGGTCTGGGGTCATCGTCATACACTTTTAAAATTGTTTTTACTGGGGGCCACCTTTAACACTGGCGTTACATAACACTGTGAGGTACGATTCGTTTTCCCGTAGAGACAATTTTTCTCATTTCAATAACATCAGATGTTTAGTTTCTTAAAGGTTTATTTAAAAAAAAAAAAGAACAATTAGTAAAAAGGAAAAAAAAGCTGACTCCGCTTTCGCACTTTTTGGTTCTAAACGGAATAAATTTGTTGCTTGACTACAGGTGTTTGATGTCATTTATTTGTTTTTAGTAACTAAGCGTATGTTGCATAGTTACTTAAATTTGAGGGGAAAACATGCAAACATCATTTCTGCATTTTGTATTTTAAAAAAAAAACTACGAAAAATACGAGCGCTGGTTTGCTAGGGCAAACACGCGGACTGAAGAGAAAAAACTCGCGTGTGGGTGGCCATTTTCACGCGCGCTCGTGTACTTAATGGCCTGGGGTCAAGTTCATCATTATCAGCGACACGTGGAAACTGAAGCTTTTTTTAGCCAGCACTCTGGGGGCACAACTACAAGCCATAATTTTTTTTCTGTTTCCCGCAGCGATGGATTTCTGGCCGATCGGGATCTTTGAAAGGTATTATGCCAATTTATTGCATGGAAAATTCGACTATATATTACACTGTAACATCACTAGGATAATCTTTTGGAGGTTTGTTTAGTCTCGTGGAACCGGGTTGTTTACAGTATGCTTTATTGTGAATCCTAAGCCAGCTGAATTATAGTCACAGTGTTCCGTAATCCGAAAACTTTCTTGAAACGGACGAGGCACAGACTTTTCTCTGCGATTATCTTGGGCAAAATTTCTGACCAAATATCATAAGTTCACTTAGTTTATGCTCGAGCAAACCGCTTCTTTGACTCCCTCGCCTAGTGAATACTTAATCGCCTGCAGAAATCAATTGTCTTTTTACTGAAATCGAAGAGAAACATAGATCGTTGTTTCATTGTTGCTTTGTGTGTATGTGTGTATGTGTGTGGCCGACAGTGGTCAGGAGTAATTTCGATATCGGTCTCAAAAATAGCTAAAGAGGTGGTTGGGTGCGTGGACGAGAACAGCACGTAATATTTTATTTAACACTTCTGTTGTAACGCAACGCTAACGCAACAACTTATAAGTCACGTTTTGTTTTGAGCTTGGGTTACCTGTGACTTGTGGCTATAAACACAGAACGTTAATTGTCTAGTGGGTAGTGGTGCGTTTGGATTTGTAAAAGCTTATGGAAGTAGAAAAATATTAGCGCAAAGCTGGTAAGTCCACCATTAATGGTATTGTCAATTAAAATTAAGCCCTTAAATTTCAAACATCGTTACTGGCTTCTCTCTCTCAGCTCGAGTTGTGCACATTCCAAATTCGAACTTTGCCAAATTTGCGCATTGTGCGTTCTGCACCTTACGTTGTTGCACAGTTTGAACCATCTAACTATCTTTTGTTATCATTTGCATGGTCATTGGAGGCATTTGAAGCTTTCTAGGATAATTGATAAGCTCTCAATTGAGTTCTTTTCCAAAGCGTACATCATATATGCGTGCGCGTTAAAATTTTGACCGTTATATTTTTGGCGCACTGAAATTTGCGCTTTCTACATGAATAAGCTTGTAGTTTCATTAGAAAATGAATAGTTCTCTCTAGGTTTGGTATAAAGCATGCAGCCTTCGAAGCTCAGAAATAAATTTCAATGTAGTATTTTCAGTTAAAAGCATCTCAAAATAATGAGTACCGTAGTCAAAGATTCTACAGCTCCAATACAAAATCCATCCGGGGGGGAGGGGGTGGGGTGGGCACCCAAGGAAAGTTAGGTACTGAGGTGTTCGTCGGAGGCCTTCAAACCCTGACCCTGTTGTAGACAAGAGTCCTTATATCATGTCCCTTTCTCATTTTGTTTTGCATACTTTAAGCGATTTTCAACCTAACATCATGGATTTTCCATTTATAGATGTACAATGTCCAAAAACAAAACTGTCGGTACCACAAATATGTAGTCTGCTCATGGACAACTTTCACACTTTTTTATTCCAAGAAGACATCCTGTCCAAGATGCTAAATAGTAAAATTGTATACCCTGTCTAAGACTCAAGATCTGGAAAACCATACCTTGTTCAGGAGACCCGTGACACCTCGTGCCGGTCCCAAAAGAGTCATTTAAGTGAGTTAAAGCAACAGAACCGCAGGAAGAAGCTGAGAATGGCAAAACTCTTTTGTGTGACAAACCCAGGGGCCCCACTCACATATTTTAATGACGGGGGGGTCCGAAGGATTTTTTTGGGTCTGACATTTTGGCCAAAAGGGGTTTTTTTGGGTCTATGAAAGACTCTGGGATTTTTTTGGGTCGCAAAAACAACACAGGGATTTTTTTGGGTATTGTATTTTTCATCAGCTAAAATCAACAATAATAACATAAGCGCAATTTACTGCTTGTGTGGTATTACGGGATATTTCTGAGATTGTAATCTATTTGAAAAGTAATTACCGGCACTCCACGCGCATCTAATCCAGAGAGAAATATTCAATAGGTCACGTAATTCAAGGCCTTTCAAGCCAGTCATCAAGACCACAATGGAAACACTGTGTACAAAGTAAACATTTTATGAATTAGATGTTTACCCGCTGATATATATCTATTATCAAATGGTCACGTTGCTATGTAAAAATAAAGGCAAGGAAAACTGACTTTGTAAACTAAACTCAAACTGGGAGTCAATCCTGTCGAGTTCCAGCAAGAGCTAAGAGGTCCAGTCAGTTGTGATCCCATTTTTGTTGTATGAAGAAGTTCTCTTGAAAATATTAGTAGCAAAACATCAAGCTTGCCAAAGTGGTTTATGAACCCATACAAAGATGTGTCGCTGACTCAGTTATTTCAGAAGATAAATAATAAAATTTGCTGATGCAAAAGCACTGAGGAATTTTTTTGGGTATGCTAAAAAAAGTAGGGATTTTTTTGGGTAGACAAATTCTGAAGTTGGGATTTTTTGGGGTATAAAATATGAACCTCTATTTTTTTTCTTCCTGGCAACTAGAAAATCTTGATTTTATAATGTTATTTTTTTTAGATTTCACTTGTTCAGAGCACTGGGCTCCCTTCAATTTTTCCCTGGGGTGGGGAGGGGGGTACTCCAGATTTCAAGTGACAGGGATGATTGAGTGCAGGCAAAACTTGAAACCCCCAAAAAATCCCATGCTGAATTCCGGAGCCATAAAGATTTCCAGATAGCATTAAATGATGTAACACGAAAAACAGAAACATTAGTTTTGAATATGCAAAAAAATCCCTACTTAAATCAAGCTACCCGAAAAAATACTTGCCAAGATTTTCCTACCCCAAAAAATCCCGAATTTGAAAAATAACATTTCAAACCCCCAAAAAATCCTTCAATCATCCCTGTCACTTGAAATCTGGAGTACCCCCCTTAGGAATTTTCCTAAGTGTACAGCTGTATCTGTTATCGTAGCCTGTTCTCATTATCTTCAGTGTAATCATTACTTTTTAAAGTAGAAAGGAGCCCAAGGTTGAGTAGGCGGGAAAGTTTGAAAGTTTGGTTTGTGAGTGGAAATTTACCATTTTGGCTGAAGGCGGGTACTGTTCTCAGAGCATACTGTTGCTGCTACCCATGTCCCAGCTTTAAGTGAAACCCTGTATGTATTTTTTAACAGTTCGTCTCAGAAAGAAAGAGAAGATTTTTTCCTGCTTTAGCTATTGGGGCCTCTTCAGTATTAGAGATGTAGATTGAAATACTCTAATATTGCATAATAATGTGATTACAATATATAAGTTGTGTTTACAACTTACAACTTACAACACAGGCAGGTTTAAAATAGTGTCTCGAGCCATGCGTTTTTATTTCATGAAAACATCAAAAGCACAAATGCAATTTTGTTCAGTGGGAAAAAGTACTATAGAGGCCAGAGTGGTCAGTGATATTGTTATACAGTCAGCTCTCTCCAAGATGGACACCTTTGGGACCGGCACTAAGTGTCCGTCTTAGAGAGGTGTCCATCTTATAAAGAGTCAAATAAAGGGAATAAAGAAAGGCAGGGACCCACTCTAGGTGTCCATTTTACAGAGGTGTCCGTCTTATAGAGGTGTCCGTTAAGAGAGAGTCTACTGTATAGAATGACAATGTTCAGTTCATTGTACTGCATGAATAATTAATAACCTCTTGTTTCGGTATGACACATCTGGTATGAGTTGAGTTGATGTTTCCTCAATGCGAAAAAACTTACTGCAGTTTAGCATTTAACCAATCAATATTCAGGAACATAACCAGCAAGCTACTTAATACCTTTAGATAGAAATTTTCTATCAACAAGTTATTTTCTTGCTATTTGTTCCAGTCAGACTCTTTGATTTCATTTTGCAGGAACATCTTCATAATTAAAAATTTTTTCTTGAATATCTTTTCAGTGGTCATGTGAGTCAAGCTCTTGAATTCTTTGTTGGTACATTGTCCATTGCAAAGTGTATTGTGATCCTTGTTGTTCCTCTGTTACTCATGTATACCTGTCATCAAGTGCATGGAAAACATTTTGGCTCTCCCAGGGGTAAGTGTACAGCTCAGGAGCCAAACAAAATTATCATAAATTATTAACTATTTTTCCTTAGCACCAAGAATCATATTTACCCAAAAGAGCATTGCATATTAAATTTTTGAACTTGTTAGTGAGGCAGTTGTAACACGCTAGTTACTCATTCTCTCTTTCTTTTTGTTTTTTGCCCAAAGATACAAAAAAAGATACAAACTAGATAATGACGACAACTAAAGAATTAGGAAGAACATGTTTTTATAAACATTTTTAACCAAGCAAGTGGGAGCTCATTCAAAGCAGGCTGGGTGTTAAGGGAGTGGGCGACGGGACCTTATAAAATAATTTTTTATGACATGGAGATAGAGTAGCTTAATACTGCCCAAGTGGAGAAGAAACTCAAGTGACCAGTGCAAAGTTTGAGAAATGATAAAGCAAGAGAATTAACTACAAACATCCTTATCCTGTTGTTATGATTTACTATGTCAGTAGTTCAGAGTTCAACTTTTTGGTCTTAGTAATGTAAATGTCCAACTGGTTTGCCTTCCACATGTTTGCTTGCAGATGTCAGAAGAGATAGAAAGCCTACACATATCCCTCTATTGCGTGTTGGGGTTTTGCTTTGGGTTATTTGTTTCTAATTATATTTTCTGAGGAGTTATTCTGAGCAGTCGGAGTCGGAGTCGGAGTCGTATTCAGAAGCGTCAAACTTTACGATCTTGTGAAAACAGCGTTGTCGGAGTCGCAAGCAGAAGCGGAACAGTTACTAAACTTTCAACTTTCAACTTTTATTTAAATTCGTAAACCAAAGCAATCACAAAGCGTGGGAACGTGCATTGTGATTTATCCTTCCGCTCCTGCTTCCGACTCCGACAATCTAGTTTTCACTTGATCATAAGCGGAACGTAAGCGACGGAGTCGTAAGCGGAGTCGGAGAAAAAAGGAAACGTTCGTGATTCTTCTGATTCCGTCGCACCTATGACTCCGGTTACGACTCCGATTTTTGATTTTCACTAGGTCAAAATTGCTATAACGACTCCGGTTACGACTCCGACTCCGTCGCTCAGTTAAAGAGTGAAAACCATCTTTTAGGAGGAGCTTTCAGGGATGAAAAACTAAGCTAAACTAAACCATCCGCTATCACTATACTCGTAGTCTAAATACCAAAAGGCATGAGAAAGTCCTTTTTTTACACTCGGCGCATGTTCCATTAGGGCTCTATGGATAACAAAGTTTCTCTGTATCTCCATCCGTGCCAGCGCCTTTCTGAAAAGAGAGGGGATTGTGTACAATCTAACTTAAACCAAAAAATTTTTTTGCTATTTTAAGACTGTGTGCTCGGTTTACACGTTAACAATTAACGCAACCGCCGTCTGCTTTTTCATTTCTTAGTGGCCGTAGCACGTGAACATGTGAATACTAAAAAGAGCATTTCTCCCGAGAACATAACGGATACAGCTGAATATGTTGCCAAGAAACGTCGCAGACGGAAGAAAAAGGGTAGAACAGAAAATTCTGATGACCAAGAACCGACCGGCGGACATAAGGCGAGGGAGAAAAGTGCTACACAAGGCAAAGACGAGAAGTTAGTGGTGATCAAAATATTGAAAGGGGATGCATGTAAAACTGGAGACGTTGGTGGTAATGCTGACAAAACTGCCGCAGTTAAAGATGTTGCAGATGGAAGGAAGAAAACCGAACGCGTTGCTGCAAAACCCAGTGAGAGTTCCTGTGCAACAGTTTCTGTTAGTGGCGTCAAAGCCGATGAGGAATGCGACGAATTTGTTGGTAGAAATGGTGGTAAGGCTTTGAGAAGTGACGACGCTGAAAGTTGTGAGTTGTTAGGAAGACATGAAAGTAAGTATAAAAAGGCATACAAGAAACAGGTTGCTTTAAAGAGTTCTACAGACAAAAGTAAAAATCGCGACGATTCTTGGGTTGTAACAGAGCGAAAGGAAGTCAAGAGCGTTGGCGAAGGCCCGAGAACTCTTTTCACGAATGCGGTCTGTTTAGTGCTTGACCAGGTCGCCGATTGTGAAAAAAAGAAACCTCGAGAAGTTAACAGCCCGCGGAACCGTAACCTAGTCTCTGAAGGCGAGAGGAAAGTTGATCCCGCTAGAATTGACGATAGTAACGTAGGCCATGATTGCACACCGTGTAAGCAGATACAGACGGCTACTGCTTACGTCGCTGATAGTCACGTGACTGATTGTAACGTGACTGACCGTCAAGAGGGACGCGCGGCACCTAGTGAGAGCCGAAACAAAGGGCGCACCTGTTGTGGTGGGTCATCTGAAGGACATCAGAGCTCGGCTAGTGCAAACACTCATAACAAGACAAAGGGGACGCCTGCAAGGCGAAGATCATTCGATCGTAACGCAGAGAAAAGTCAACAGCATTTGTCTAATGTTAACCAAGCAAGGCAAGCAGTACCTTTTGATCATAGCTTGGGGACGGCTCCAGGCCAGGGTAAGCTAACGGAAAATGATTGTCGCCCAAACCAGAGCCAAAGAAGGCGGAGATCTTCTGACAGTACCTCAAAAGGCGATCGTAGAGAGAGTGAGTCTCACCAAAATTATCGATTTTGTGGGAACGGGAAAAGAATACGACGAAGATCCATGGATGCCGCCTCGGAATACGATCAGAGAGTGAGTGAGCGTCCGGAAAATTATCAAGAGTGTCAAGACGAGGGTCAGAGAGGAAAAAAGTCTTTGGACAATGATGCTACCGGAGCTGAACTTTTGGAATGTCAGCGAGATTGCCAGACCGAAGACCAAACAACACGAAGGTCTTCCGATTATCCCACAGAGAATGTTTCAAGAATAAACGATTCGTTTAACAAACAGCACCCGATGGACAATCAAAGAAGACGAAGATCTGTCGATCGCTTCTCGGAAAACGATTCTCGAGGGATTGAAGTTCCGGAAACAAACCGAGACTGTGACGAAGATCAAAGAAGACGAAAGGCTTCAGACAGTGACACTACAGGAAGTGAGTTTTTGGAAAATCGCCGAAATCACCAAACTGAAAATCTACGAAGACAGAGGCCTTCCAATCATTACTCGGAAAATGATTCAAGGATGAATGGCTCGTTCAGGAAACAGCAACATCCTGCGGATCATCGACGAAGACGAGGATCTTCCGATCGCACCTCCGAAAGTGATTATATTCAAGGTGAGATTCCAGAAAATCCCCAACATCGATCTGAAAACCGAAGAAGGCGAAGATCTTCCGATTGCACCTCGGAGAGTGACCCTGTACAGGGCGAGATTCCAGAAAATTCGCCACATCAGCCCGACGACCGAAGAGGGCGAAGATCTTTCGACCGCACCTCGGAGAATGAACTTGCCCAGGGCGAGATTCACGAAAACTTCCGACATCGACCTAACAACCGAAGAAGACGAAGATCTTTCGGCCGCACCTCGGAGGGTGATCCTATACTGGCCGAGAATCCGGAAAATTCCCGACGTCGACCCGACAACAGAAGAAGGCGGAGATCCTACGATAACACCACTGAGACTGAACCTGGAAGAAGCAAACCTCTAGTAAACCGTAGACGTTCTGAATCTGATAACAGAGATCACGTCGAGTCTGAATGCGCAGGTGAATACACACGAGAGAAAGTTGGGTTCTCAACGGAAACGTCCACAGGTAAGCCGTAACAACTCCTGTAACAAGTTAAGCCAACCGCCCCCACCCCTCCCTTCCCCGGTTCTTTCAATCAGCTGGGTGGGGATTGCACGTGGTCCATCAAATCGTAACTTTATTGGTCGAAATAAATATTTGCTCAATGTCCCGAAAGTATCTCATATTTCCTGGAAAAATTTCTCGTGTTTCTCGATCCCCAGCAAAATCTCCAGATTCCCGGAATAAATTTTTTTTTTTCCCCGAAACAGCCCTTGTTAGAACTGTTACCCCCCGTAATAAAAACTGCAGAATGATTTTTCTTATTTGCTCATTTCCCTAAGTTCGTTCATAAATTAACCAGGTTCATATTTTCTGGAAAAAAATGGAAAGACTGGTTTTATATTGCTGGAAAGTATATTGTTTATAGACAATTAGTATGTAAACGGGCCCCTCCCCTGTAAACCGCCACTCCTAGCGGGCGAGAATGCTCTTCATTTGGGTGATCATGCGCGAGCAGCACGCAGATAAAGGGCGCGTGCGAGGCTAGAAGTTGACGTAATCACACGCACAAACACGATCAAGGGGGACTTCCTTGTTTTCTTTCTTTCTCTCCTTTTTGTTTTTACACAAACCCTTTTTTTGTTAGCACAATAACATGATTTTCAGGACACTAATGCTTTCTAGGTCATCGGGAATATAAGTTGTCGGGAATTTTTCCTACATTATCCAACAAACAGAAAAAGTCGCCGACGGTTCGTTCCCTGGAGGAAGGGGTAGTGTCATAGTCAACCTGAATCGCTCTGTGATATCATCCCTGATCATATCGATATCTGGAAACAGCGGAGTCGTTTGTTCATTTCAATGGTATTTAAACTATATCGTGACGGGGCGTATCACTCAATCCCCCTTTTTGCGCTCTGATATATAGTCAGTTAAAAGTAAAGGTAGTCAATAATATCGATATTAGAATTGAAAAAAATTGAGTTTTCGGGGATGTGAGTTTTCGAGACACCCAGGGGGTCTGAGTTTTTCGAGGTCTGAGGTCTGTGTTTTCGAGGTCTGAGTTTTTGTAACACCCGAGAACCTCTCCGTTTTTGGTCAGATTGAAAATCTTTGAAGGGATAAAATTGCTTCGAAGACATTTACATCAAATTCAGGGAAACTGAGCTGGTAGAAATTTCATAACTCAGGGTCGGCCAGGGTTTTTGGGTATACAGTATTTTATGCGTAAAGATAAAGAATAAGCCGGCTGTAAAAAGGGTGATCAAGGCTCAGAAAACTTGCATTTTGTACTCTCTTCGCCGTTGATTGAGCCAGAAACACAAACTAAAAGGAAAAGGGCCTTGTGCGTTTGATTTTTCCAAAGCGCATTCCGAAGGACTTCGTGATATGGGTCACTTGTCCGGGCACGGACTCTTCTTTTTGCCAACGCAGCTGTTTTAGTACGTCTTGTAAAGGAAAGTGCATGTAAGCAGTGATCTGTTTTAGAAGTTGTGATTGTTATATCAGTTGATCTTTCCCATTGACACATCGGGGTAAGGAGGCTTAAATCGTAGCTTCTCTCGAAAGCGCTTGTCAGAGAAACACAATTTTGCATTATCGCTGTATCAACCATTTTATCTTTTTTGGCAGCTGTTAATGACGCAGTGATGAATCCAACTGCAGATGACGAAGTCTTCGAGATTGCTTCAACTATGGACGAACCGCACGTAGCAGAGGCGACAGACACGAATGGCGGACAAGAAACATCTTCGGAAAGTCTACAGAGCCAATTTAAGATCGACCCGGCTGTGCGCGAGAGGCTACTAAACCCCAAATACCCCGTGATTGTTCCAGATAGACCACTGGAACATATTAGTTACCGCGATAAAAACTGGCGACCTGAAGAAATCAGAGGCGCAAATAAGTCGCTGGTGGGAGGAATATTCGGAAGTAAGTGGCGAAGAAAAATGGAAAAGAAGGAACGTGAGCAGGAAATGAAAGAACTTGCGGAAGAGGAGAAACGCAAAGCCGTGCTAAAGGAATGGAGTGATAACATATGCCCTACGTTTATGGTCTGGGGCGTTTGCCATCGAGGGGACAACTGTCCTCTTCGCCATCCTTCTTATCGATACCTCGAACGACCACCGCGAAAGAAAGAGAGTTCTGAATCTCGTCCGGAGAAACAAAAGCCGGATCCAAATTCTTACGCAGCTGTTCTTGGAAAAAGTCCCGAACCAAAGGAGTTTTTTAACGAAGCGGTGCTCCTAGCTGAAAGTAAAACAGAGGTAAATAAGATATCGTTTGCTAACGTGCTTGTTAGCTCACAGAGAGACCGTGAAACGAGTAAGGGTCCTGTGCCGAAGACAAGTTATGAAGAAGCTTGGCCATCTCTTGGGTCGCCTGTGAATGGGCAGGGTAAGGTACCCAGCAGGGCCCCTGCAAGTGGACCTAAGGCGTGGAGCACTCAGAAAGGACCCTGGATCCTTAAGGAACAAAACAGTGAAACCAGTAACTTGCAGACTGTGAGCGACGCGGCCATAGCTCAGGAACTGCAAGCTGATGAGTACATGCAGATGGAACCGGAAGAATATGACGATTATTCTTACTATCCAGAAGAGGACTATGATTACAACGAAGACAGTTACTACGATCAAGAACCAGACATTAATGACGACGAAGAAAATCAAAGAGCGTTTATAGACTCTCGTCACCAAACGAAAGTTCTTGAGCTGGAGGAGTTTAATTCGCGGCTGCCCACGAGCCCAGTTATAACAGAACAGGACTCAACGTCTCCTAGAGAATCCATCCCACAGCAGGTACAAGACAGCCCTTGTGACATCTGTATGGACAGAGCAAAGGATGCTACCCTGGTTTGTGGCCATAGGTTCTGTTATCAGTGTGCGTTACAGATGCGACTGGATGAACGCGTTTGTGCTATCTGCAGACGATGCATTGTCTCAGTTATTAAAACATACAATTGAACTCTGTTACTCAGTTTTGGTTTGCAGTCTAAAGGACTGTTTACAGACTGCTGATTTTTGATGGGACATTAGGTGCGAATTCAAATCGCGCGTATGAACACGTGGTAATTTCATGGTAATTTGTGGCCAGGAAATCGCAAAGAGCATCCGCTAATCGCTAAGAGACACTAGCCGTGTCAAACGAGTTTCAACTCTGGACTCGTTTGTGATAGTTCGAAGACAATTTTGGTTTCCTGTTTACGACCGTTAATTGTTAAAAAGGCCTTTGTATGTTAAGAATATGACAAGCTCAGGCTGTTTGCTCTACTTTTAGAGGAGCAACGTTATTAGAGAAGTATGTGCGCTTCTTTATTTTCTTAAGTCTCTTGCTTTCATCATGAAATTTCTCTTGCTTTACCTCCAAGCAAATCTCTTATTCACAATTTTGATGTCACATCTATAGACGACCTGATGGACATCACTCACTGTTCCGGTTTGTACATCACTGTACTAAAACTATTGTCAGTCAATATCATTGTCATGGCAACCTCGCGTTTTTTGACCGGAACTAAGATATGCATATCTCATGCCGTTGTTCCTTCAATTAAAGTTCGCTTATTGTATCAATAGGGAGCACCAACGGCAACGAAAAACGTCACTTTAAAAGTGAATTCGTACTGTTTCAAACCTCATGGCTCTTATTCCATTTCATTCAATTTGTCAAATGCTGAGTTGATTCTGTAGGACTGTATCTAAGTATAGGAGAAGAAGAAGGAAACTGTTTTCTCGTGTTAACGTCGTTCATAAAACATGAAACTAAGAAGTTTCACGTTGTAGTCGTTCTACAGCGGCACAGATATGAACGAAAATGCGTGATGGGCGTGCGCAGTTGTTGTTTTGCTAATCTAAACCTATTGCCTTTTTCGACGTTCTTGTTGCCATCGCCGTCATCTGGGCTTAAGCTCCCTAATATATCATTTCGCCTGTAGCAGGCTACTAGTTATTTCCTCATTAGAGTTTAAGGTGTGGCTCGCATCTCGTTCACGCGGTCTATTGAGTAAACGGTTCGTTGCGTCTTTTGACCGAGTTCTTCTCAGGCTTTTGTACGTAAAACTTGGACTACTGTACATTTTGACCTTCTTTATCACATTTTCATCCCCGGTTTAAAGTTTAACCGATGGATAGGTTTGTATTTAGCCTGAGCTTCGTCTTCGCCTTTCCTGACACGAACAAAGAAATTAGAACAAAACTACAACAACAAAAAAATCACTCCCGAAGGGAAACTATTTTGGATACTATTTAGAACTTCATGAATTTTGGATCGAAGAAGAATATTTTCTATTATACATAGTTAACTTCACTTGGGTTTTTTTACAAACGGACTATCAATTTAAGGCTAATGTTACCTTTCCCACAGAAACTATATTAATATATGGCTTAAAAAATGAAATTAATAGAAGTGTACTGTATAACGTTCTGAACGTTGATTAGAATGATTTTATTCAAGCCGTGAAATAGATACGTATTAGACTGGTACACAGCGTTACACTCTAATTTCAGTGTCTTCCTTTGTTTACTTGTAATTATTTGGCAATGATTGTTGGATATCGTTTCATGGTAATTAAAATCACTCCAAGAGACACGTTAAAGAATTTATTACTTTGTAATAATTACAATAATTACTGACGAAAACATGTTGTCATTTTTTGCAAATATTTCTGGTAGTCGATTTTGTAATGAACTGAGAACTGCCGAGTTTATTAGTTGAATATAAGACGGAGTTTGTACCGAGTAAAATTGTTATAAGAGATAATTATTGTGGATGGTCTTCTTTTGTTTTTGTTTCTTTTTTTTTTTCGTTCCCAGAGCGTCAGGAAACACCGCACGTAATTCCTTCATTGGCAAGGTCAGGGGAAAATATTTCTTGTATGTGTCGCGGTTTAATTTTTTTCCATGGTTTCAATTTTATTTGCCTTTGTTGATGGCTGTGGTATTGCGCATCAAAGGCGCAAAATTTACGGTTGTTTTCTGACTTAAAAAGTTGAGCAGTTCTGTCTTAAAGGTTATGAAAGATTAGTCATTTGTATCATGTAGCCAAAAAAAAACGTAGCTTGACATAGCATCCTTTTTTATTCGATCAAAGGCCGATATTTACAGAGTTGCCGGAGTTGGATAATACTGTCCTTGTATCAGTAAGGCAAATCGTAAAAGGTGCTGTCCATGTTGGTCAACGGAGATATTCTTGTTTTACTACTGCTTTTCCACTTTCATTTCCATCGATAATCTTAAATCTTGACGTGTATTTAACAAAGTTTCTAACTCATCCCCTTCCAGGATGTAACCATTGCAGGCACCAACTTGACCTGGCCGTGTAGTTATCTTAGCTGCAAGACAGGCAGGGAAGACTACATGTAAGTTGGTAACTTTACTTTATAATGAGCCTTTTTCACCATGCATTAGCTGGGAATTTTAGCCTCGTGGAAGATATAACTGCGCGTGTGTGCACTTTTTCCTGAGATAAATTTACTGTGGTACATAAATGTAACAGACAGACGTCAAAAAGGTCAAAAGTGGTGGGGAAAGTCAGAGGGTGGGAGCCCGGGAAAATAGGGGCAGAGGGTACAGGAGCTGGGAAAGGAAAGGACAGGAGGTGGGAGTTCTAAAAGGGTGGGAAGAGGGCAAAATAGGGGAAATTATGCAACTATTGAGTCTCATGATGCCGAAAAAGGGTTGTGGGGTATAATTTATGTCCTTACCATAAAGCTTTCCAGTCTCCATGTAAGGCAGTAGCTGTTCTAGTGATGAGTTTTCCTAGCAAATGAGTAACAAACAGAGAAAGGAACATACAGTCATCAGTATTGTTCATAGCGTCCCATGCAGACATTCGTAGGAATTCATCCCAGGTACCTTCCCCATGTACCTAAGGAATGGGAATGAATGTGTGACGAAGGGAAAGAATGAATGACGAAGGGGAGGAATGCGTGATGAACAAAAGGAATGCATGACAAAGGGAAGGAATGTGTGACAAAACCCTAAGAATGTCTATGTGGGAGGCCTACGTATATTGGTCATTCTGAGACTTTGTATAAGTATAAGATCAATCACACTAGAAGCACAACCTACAAATGCATAAAGAAATGACTGCAATCCCGTAAACAGCTAGCTAAGGCCCCTATGCATTTACATTTTGACACTCTCAAAAGAACAGACAAGAAAAAGCCAAAAGACCCGACTCATTATATACCTCATTTTGCTTGTCTTCTTCTTTTTTATAGTTATCTGTAAACCTGTAACAACAAAAAATACAACTTAGAATACAAGGCAAGAACAGTAGACTGAATATGGAACAAATTAACATATTAATATCTTCTTTTTATGTTTTGAGACAGTTAAAGTGCTAATAAGTAAAACTAATTAATCAAAAATCAAGTGTTACTAACCAGTTCTTGAAAGGATTTGAATCTACTTCAACAATGGTTCCTTTGACCATCACTCCATTTTTTGTAAAGTTGTCATTTGCTGTATTGTGTACTACTTTTAGAATAGGACACTCAAATTCTACATCTGTGCAAGTTAAAACAAGCTGTTTTAGTAAAATTATACATGAACAGCATGCTTTTGGGCAAGATTGTAATAATTCTGTAGGTTCTAAAGAATAGGATATAGCATTTAAAGTACAGTGGACAACAACTATTTTAGGCTAAAATGTCATTGTGACATCATTTGTTTTCCTCCTATAAACAAGCAGTGTACATCAACCAAAACTGCACCAACAAATCACCATACCTAACAAAACAAACCTTACCTAATGAATTACAAATGTACAGACCAGTTTTGACTTTGATGCCTTTGATTTTTTTGTGTCCACCAAATGCTTTTCTAACTTTAATCTTTTCTGGTTTATCAAGCCTGAGCTGAAAAGACAACAACAAAATAAAAAACATCAAACTCTCAGTATACATGTACCACTGATAAACATGTTACAACTTCCCCTACAATGATAAAAATTTTTCCTTTCTCAATACCCTAACCAAGACCAGTCCACTTGAAAACCATGGGCCTCACAACCTCACATAATGAATGATAACGATAATGAATTTGTATAGCACTAAAACTGTAGAAGAATATTCAAAAGCACTTTACATTAAGTTAAAATTAATGAATAAACAGTAAATAAATTTTTTTTAAATCCCTGAAAGCTATAATAATAACAATGATATGTTATGCTATGGTAAAATCTAAAAAAAAAGAAGAAATTTGAAAATTAAACATTACAACTATTCCAACAAATTAGAAGCTTTCTTAAAAATAGATGCTTCAAAACGCTTTTTAAAAATGGCGAGGCTGCTACTTGTTCTTATAGTTAATGGCAACAATTTCCATAAAGATCACCATTTCTTTTTCTATGACATTCCCTTCTACTTTACTTCAAAGTAAATTAATAAAACTATATAAGAACAAACCCTGGTATGTGCAGGAACTCTGTCTTGCCTCCATTCACTTCTTTTCCTTCCTCCGAACATAAGTGCTGTAAAAATTAATAAACATTTGCATTGAATTCCAAAATCATTTTAGAACTTCAAACAAACTTCTCTAAATTATGGCAAAGCATTAGCAAAGCAGATCAATCAAGCACTCATTGACAAAGGCATTTATAGATAAGATTACCTGCAGATAAGAAAGGGAAAATACGGTTGAATTTCTTTTTACAGAAATTTCATCACTGAAAGGACATACATGTACAATACCTACTCTACCCATATAACAAGGCCACCTCTGTGTTAGGTCAGTAGGCAGGGTGTTCATTAGGCATTAGAGATCGGAGAATTCTCCGTTTACTACACAGATTTCTCCAGCTAACATTCAGTAGCCAATGACTATTTTTTATTCAGACATGGAGCCTCTTTCAGAATATTCTCCTGTAACATTACACTTTCTCCTGCTACTAGAGTTCTAAATGAAAACCCTGGTGGGGTCTGTTCCTTTTATTTGGTGATAATAATCATAATTCCGTTATTTACCCTCAGCAGTATTTATAGAACTAATATGCTAGTGGGGCCGAGTAAAATAATGACTGAAACAAATAATTCAAATATAATCAAACACAACGGGGCTAAGAATCCCAACAGGCCGGAGACAAAACAGCGGGCTACTTACAAGCCTGGTCGAGGAGATGGACTCGGGACTACCATGAACAAATCCAGCTAGCAGTCGGGGCAGGACTTACTCGGAGCCTCAGAATAGCAAGTCCAGCACTCTAACCGCTTGGCCACAGTCTGCCCTCTGGTGTCCCTGATAAGGTCATGCAGGCTCAACTGTTTATGATTTGGACTAAATTTCTAATCTTAAGTCTTTATAAGTGAGCGAAGTTATGCTTATGATCACTAGCTTACCGGTAATTATGTATTTTTTATAGATTTTTTTTAGCTTAATGTTTATTTCGAAAACGTGTTTTTAAATTTTCCAACGTTAAATGAAAGATCCATTTTAACAACAGAATCGGTCTTACCGGATGAATGCAAACACTTGCATGGGAAACGCTGCTGATGAAATCTATTAATGCATTCAAGACTTTTTAAAGCACCTAAGGCAAGATCAAGGCATGAACACAACAATCAGTGCTGTCAAAGGATTACTATAACCTTTGGTTATTCTGGTGAAATTCATGAATCACTTTTGCTGACTTTCACTTTGTTTAGCACCAGTTTGTACAGATGAAATCCTTCTCTATTAAATTTGCTGTATAAAAGAGATCAAGGGATTCCATTAATGGCCAGACTTACTTGGATTTGTAGAAGTTACTCCCAACAACCGAAAGGCACGACACACGGCCGCCATATTTGATCAAGTAAGTATGTCATGTATGATTCGTTTTTCGTAAACTTACGTCTCGTTTCCAGGTCTCTTCAATTCAGGAGGAGGGGTGCGACGAATTTGGACGAAATGTATCATGATGTCAGCAATGTCATTTCAATCCCGAATTGAAACAGTATATGCGAATACGAAAGAAATGACATCACAAGAGGTACAATCGTACAAGAGTAGTCACCTCCCTACCAGGGTGCATTTGCTTTCCTTGTTGTTTGAGGGGAGTGTCTTTTCTTGAACACTAGCTGTTTAGAGCCTTTTAGAAGCAATCAGGTTCAAAATTATGTTTGAGGGTACATATTTCTTAGTGCAGCACTATAATTTTCGAGCTTTTTATGATTCACACTAAATCGTTTTCTTTTTATACATTGATACTGTTAAAAATAATAATAAATTATTATATACTGCACTAAAGAAAAAATAATGACTGATAGGGAAAATGTCCAATAACAATTTTTTTGCTGTGATTAATTAACAATAATAAGTAAACTAAAAGTCAAAAATAGATTCTAGGACACACTGAGCCACAAATTTCAGTTTTTATTACGGGGTTAGGGTATAATTTTGCATATATATGGAGCCATGCATATTTTGATAATAACTTTAATAGCCATGCATACACATGCTGTAGATTCTATAATAATTATACAATTATAACTGCTGTATGATTATACAGCAGTCATTATAAAGTAACTCAACCACATGTAATTTCAATCTCATCATAATAAATATTATTACAGAATTCTTTCTCTGTGATTTTGTAATAAATAATAACTCAAAGGGGAATTTCAACTTTCAGGATAAAGATTATCCTATTTTCTCCCATTATGACATTTATACTACTACATGAGAAATTACTGCAATTTGATTGGCTTAGAGCAGTGGTATTTCAGTTTAATTTGAAATACCTACATGTGAAAATTACAAACCTTTCGTGGGTAGTAGTATAAACAAATAATAGCATGATTTGTACGTGATATTTGGCATAAATATCACTCGTGATATTTCAAAATTGTCTCAAATTTCACTCGCCTAACGGCTCGTGAAATTATGTATAACAATTTTGAAATATCACTGGTGGTATTTATACCAAATATCACTACAAATCATGCTATTACCTATACTAACATTACAATCATTTGGCATGCTTTTAAATAATCAGAGAGTAATATTGATTTAAGCAGTCTTTTCCAAACTGCATAATTTAAAGCATCATCCTCTGTGGAGATGAGCATAAAAATAATATCAAACATTAAGCCTAAGCTTTAAGCTAACAAGTAACACTCAAATTTCAAGAAACAAGTCAAGAGATAACAAACAAATTCATTTCCAAGCTGTCCTTTTTAACCATTTAAGCCCTAAGAGCGATCAGCATCAAATTTCTCCTTGTAATATCAATGCTTTGTAAAACAGAGTGGTCATGAGAATTACAGACATGATCACACAAGATGATTTTGCTTGATATTTTATCAACTTCTCCCCACTACTTCTGTAAGAAATGAATAGGGACAACAAATGAGAATTCAAATGTTGATCTTAGGGTTTAAAGAGTTAAGACACTACCAAGCTGTAGTTTCACCATGGAAACCAGTGTGCAGAGCTCTGAACAAGATCCATGAAGCATTCACAAGATCAAAGGGACCATTAAATCATGAATCCCGCCCTATACCCAGGGGTTTTGAGGAAGGTCCGTAAGATGAAGGGTAAGCTTGGAAACAAAATAATTTTTGAAGCAGGAAAGACACTTTGGTCCATTGTATTAACCTTTAACGTTCCAATGCTCCTTTACCCTTACACATATAGGCACCTACAATACTCATCAAAAATCTTGAGATCAATTTAGATTTCTGGGAAACTGCCCACCTACCCATGCCCTTAGTCAACATTAACACTTACTTCTCACTTAAGGCAAAATGTTGGATTAGGAGAGGGGTAGGTGGGTAGTTTCCCCAGAACCTAAATTGATCCAAATCTTGAAACACTTGTGAGCATTTCCCCTTCCCCAATATTGATTTGGGTATTCCAGTTGTCTCAGTGCTCCAATATACGCATAACTCAACAGTGGGGAAGGAGAGGGGCACATTTCAGTGAGAATAAACGTGCGAAGAGTGAATATCATAAATTTGCGAGAAAATTCAGAAATACGGTATCTGCTTCAACGATTTCTGACGAGTATTGTAGGTAGGAGGCAGGCAAGGTTTCATAAAGGGGTCCTTATCATACTAGTTCATGTAGTTTCGTACTTTTAGGACAAGCGGAGTTGTTAGTAATCATGTGCTGGTACACTTACTACAGAGATGTCCCTAAATAGCAGTTTAACTGCAGTACTGTAAAAACACCAATACAATAATTATTATTAAATTTATTAGTAGGCATTTTAATAGTAGCCCATGGGCACATTTGAGTACCACTGTGATATGCATCATTTCACACAAAGAACCTGTTCTGGCAGAGGAGTTATATCCACCATCTATAATCTGTACAGACTACTATTAGTCGTCCTTGTCTTCAACTGGCCTTGCAATCATTAACCACACCCGTCGTTCAATAGTTTTAAAGATATAAACCAAGCCAAGACTAAGAGCTTTACCACTGTTGATGACAGTTGATCTCATGAGAATTAGCTGTGCTTTGAGTGGATCAAACTTCATGCTCTTTTCCAGAATTTCAACCAACCAGCAAAATGAACGTTTGATATTACTAAACTGTGCCAAAAGAATGCGGCAAAGGACAGCATCGTAGAACAATGAAAAACACTTTGCTCCTAAAGAGAAAGCTGGCTGGAAGATGGTGTAAGGTGTCTTTATAAAGAGCAGATAAATTAATTTAAAGAGTGGCTCAAAGAGGTGGTAAAGCGGTTGAAATGCAACTGCAATAGATAGGGAAATGCTGTAGCCCACTGACCACACCTCGCGTCCCACAGCAATCAAGGGTGAGGCAAAAGAGGAAAGGATGACATATCCTGGTTTGATATAAGCAAGCCACTGATCTGTCATCTCCTCAAACAACTTGTTTAAAAACTGAATACACTTGTCCATGAGCTCCACATGATATTTCAAGGCATCAATGACAGGTTGAATGTACGCTCGTATAAAATCAACATGCCGATAGAGTTGCCATACCGCCCAGAAAATGGAAAAGATCGTGTAGAGTGTGATCACTAATTCGATGAGTTTTCGCACAGAAGGCGTGTACACACGATGCGGAATGTACGGCGTCCAATCAGGGAGGCCCTCCCTAAGCTTCTTCTCACCGGTCTTCTTCTCGCCTGTCGACAACGAAGCACCCTCTGTTTTAGTTCCCTCACACCCTGGCGATCTCTCAGCATCCGATGTGGTTTCCACCTGCTTCGCATTCCGCAGTGAACGAAGAACATCTCTGACTTGACCCGTATAGTTGACGTGAAAAGTCGCCTCTAAAACGTAGCTTCGCGATGACGAAACGCCAACGAGTTTCTTGCTATGATGTGGACCAGCAACATCAATCAGCTGTTGGCATTCAACAGTTAGTGTTCCGGTCATAGCGTCCAGGTAACCAAACTTTGCACTGACGCGTATATCTGCAGCAGATATGTTTTTACAGTCTAGAAAAGTACAATGTTCATGGTCAAAGTGCTTTCTATCCTTGTGGAGAAATTTAAGTTGGGTGGACATCGGCTCATACTCAAGCCATCGCTCTTCATTTCGAATGTCAAGTCTCCCACATCGGATTCTTTGAAGCGGAACACGCGTAATTTCATTTGTAAAAGGCAATGGAGAGGCGAAAAGTGAAGTCGGACTACTGCATTTTGAAGAAACAGGGCTATCCATCTTTAAGCTTTCATCGATCGTGATCGCCACAGTCCGCCGGCCATTATGATTTGATGTAAACAAACATTTTGCGCATAATAAAACAAGTACGCCGCTGTACGCAAGACTTGGCGGCTCAATAGAGTTATCAGTCTTCACGATATTTATTCCGCCGATCAATGAGTTTAAAGGTTCATTTGAGTCAAGAAAAGTTGATTTGTCCAAGATATGAGGCTGCAGAAACGTAACAGATACACTAAAAGATAGATGGAGAAGGTATGGCCAAATTCTCTGTTATCATTTAACTTTCACCTGCTGTGACAGTAGAACAGATTTCTGCAGCATGCAACAACCTTCACGTGCAGATCAAAGCTTCTTTGTTAATTATAAAGTAAATTTTCAATCCTGTCTCTTACAAGTGTGAATGATAAGCACTCTGGAACTGTAATTGATTCTAGAAATAACAAAGCACAACACCTTGATTTGCTCAAGGTGGACAATCTTTTATAGAATAGTGAGAGCAACAACTCTCCTAAGACCCCCACCCCACCCCCCACCCTAGACACCTAGCACCTACCTAGACACTTGTCAGGCTGGCTTTTATTGCTGGTTGGCATGTGTCGTCATGACAGCCATGTTTGGGGTAAAGAAATATAGTGCAGCGAAGGGGGGATACTCTTATACATGGACTTCATTTTAGGTTATTCACATTCTCCTATTTTTCTGTATGAATGTGGAGATCAATCCCTAAGTTTAAGAGTCTACCATCTTGAATGAACATGGTGGAAGAAATCTGCCAGAATACAAATTGCCTATCAGGGCAGTGGTGTGGGGCAACAGAACTCCCAAACATGTCTGTTCTTATTCTGGTACAGTACATGTATTTTATATCTGTCATTGAGGTTGAGGGCAAGTGTGAAGTTTGGTGTCATTGGGACCAAGAGAACTGTCCATAGTTCAGAGGTGTCTATATTATGGACAGAGACAGGGCTTTTAAGAAGTTTGGTGTCCGTCCTTGTTTGGTGTCTCAAGGAGCAAGGGAACTGTTCAAAATGCAGAAGTGTCTGTGTCATGGAGTTATGTGCAAGGATTAAACTAATGAAGAGTGGTGTTTGAGATTTAGTAAACTTTCTGTAGTAAAGAGAGACAGGTTCATATCTAATTTTTATTGTCTTAACTGATCAGGAAGAGGACCAGAAAGGTGCCACTGACCTCAAATCAGAGGGAAATGCACATTTTAAAGATGGAAAGTATGACTTAGCGGGTGCTTGTTATACTCAAGCACTAAAACTGTTTTCTCAAGATGAGAAGGATAAAGAAAAGTTGAAGGAAAGAGGAGTGATTTTAAAGAATCGAGCTGCTTGTTATTTGAAGCTAGTAAGTACTGGGAATATGTTTTGCCCTGAAACACTGTTTAGAGTCAAAACACTACCAAATGATGATGATTATGAGGGGGGGTAAAAGGGACAGGGGAACAGGGAGGTCCAAGCTTCCTGCTTCCTATACCTTGCATGGCGACTGCTGCTCCTTTTTCTTAGCTTCCTCTCTTTAACCCTTTTTTGATTGTGAAATATTATGTATTGCTGCATAATTTCCTCCTACATGTATTTCTCCCACTTAATCAATGTTTAAGCTTTTTTAATGCAAATTAAAAACCTATTTGTATAGATGTTATTTCAGTAATGTATTCTAACTTTGCAAAAAAAAATTAATTTTTACTTTACAGGAAAAGTATGATAAGGCTGCAGATGATGCCACTGAATGTAAGAACAAACCCTTATATCTTAATTAATATTCACTGAATAATCTAATAAAATATCCTATAATGATTCTAAGATGTTGCATACCTTTGAAAAGGGCATATGCATTTTTTGGGGATAGGCATTTCCCACCGTTCTTTTTACTTGCTTTCTAGCATTGAAATATTTACCAAATGACCCAAAAGCATTGTTTAGAAAATGTCAAGCGCAGGAGAAGCTTGGTAAACTTGAAGGAGCATTCCGAGATGCAAGAACACTGCTTCAAATTGAACCAAAGGTATTTATTCAGTCACACATGAACGTACAGCAGCAGCAAAAACTGTAACGTACATGTACTCTAGTTAGACACCTTGTAGCATGCTGTTGTTGTGGTGATCATATGGATTATAGCAGTCTGTGCAAATAGCCATGGCCTTTTAACTTCAAAATGAACTTTCTTCATGCTGGTCAGATGGTTACAAAAAAATACATATTCCTCACTTTTACCAAGAATGGTTCTTTTGAATAATAATGCTGAGAGAAAAGGTCTCTGAATGCAGAATTTAGTCTGGTCTTGTATTGAGAGTGGTAAAAGGGAAACAGCTTCACTAGGCCTTGAGGAGGTTGAGTACAGCTGTATTTATTTTATTACTCCTGTAGTGTGAAAAATGGAAAAAAAGTATTATAGTGAACATCTACACATAACTTTATTAGTAAAATACTGATTTGTACCTACACTGTACTTGATTTTTTTTCCTGGCATTAGTCGATAATTTATTTATTATTATTTATTTTTGTAGAATACTGCTGTTCAAGAGATGCTGAAAAGGCTTACTTCTCGACTCCAGGCAAAGGTATCGCTTATTAATAGACCAGATATGATGAACATCTGATCATGACTATAAGGCTCTTTCCACACGTATCCAGATACCGTAAAATTCCGAAAATAAGCCCCTTTAAACATAAGCCCCCCAAACTCATAACACAAAAAACCCTCCAATAAATCGCCCCTCCAAATACAAGCCCCTGGGGGCTTGTACTTGGAAATTGTCCTCAAATTCAAAATTAAAAAAAGCGAAAACTGCACAGTAACACATAGATTTTTGCATTTGCCAATGAACCATTTCATATTGTGCCTAATGATTGCAGTCAAAAAGTGTCACTGACAATGTATTGCTTTTTGCATAGTTCAAATCCAAGCCAAGACTGTAAATGTTTTTTGATTATCTGTATTAACAGGGTGACCGTGTTCGCACCACTGATGGTCTTGTTGATGAGATGTTTACTGCCATTTATAGTAATGAAGTCAGTGAAGAAAGAAAAGCACAGGTACAATAATATTTTTATTAATGGTCAAATTTGATTTCAGGGTAATTTTGATTTGATCTAGGTTGACTCTCAATTTTCTTTGTCTCCTAGCCCTAGAAGACAGTGAAAATTAAGAAGCAACCTATGTTAAAAAAAAACTTTTAACATGAAATCAAATTTGACCTTAAACATGTACCATGAACTGTACTTAAATTATTGCACTGTTTTGCAGCAGACTTTGTTTGGAAATTTAAAGGAGAAGGAAGGAAACCTAGGCTACAATTTAGTAGATTAAAAGGCACCGAGAGTGCCAGTTTCACACAGTATAGCTTGGGGAATTCCTCCCTTCCATTGGGAGGGGAGAGGAGGGGGGAGTCTTCCCAGAGGTAAATAGCCCTTCAGTGGCAAGGAAAAAAAGAGTTTTAACTTTGAGGATGAATTAGTGAACTGATACCTGAAAATTATGATGTGATATTGTGGTGAGTTCTTGAACAGAAAATGCAATTGAGTGCTGCCATAATTTATCCTTGTTAATGTGAATATTAACATTTATTTTTCAGGCAGTAAAAAATCTTGTTATTTTGGCCAACGATGAGCCTGGTGCACAGAGAATATTCCGAGGAGGTCTGATATACAAAATGTTATAATTTTCTATAGCCAGTTAGCATGCACAAGATACATGTATTTTCATTTAAACTTAAATGAACTAAACTAAACTATACCCAGGAGTGGATACAATCTAGTAAGAGAGAATGTGATGGGGACCTAAGAACTATCTAGAGCTGCATTTTCACATATTGTTTTCTTTGTACAATTTTTGGCAATGATAGAGTTTTTGCATCTTCTTCCCTGACAGGTGAATTACCCAGAGTTATTTCACTTTTGAATAGTGGATCAAATGAACAGAAAGTGTCGATGCTGAAAGTTCTGAAAGGCCTGTGTACAAACTCAAAATTGAGGGTATTTAGTGATAGATATATTAATTTTGTTTTGTTCCTTTGGGTTTGTGATCATAAGATCTTACTGATCTTACTGCAATGAAGACAGAATCCCTGATCAGTTTCAACTAGGCATTTAGTCTCCATGGCAACATAGTGTTGTCACGCAGTGCTTCTCCTGTTGTTTGACAACACTGAATTTGGCTGCAAATGAGACTAGAACTGAAGCTGCTTGACTTAGAGTAATTTTGTTGTTTTACTTTATTGTGACGGTTGTCTGTAATCAAACTCCATTCAATTTAAATATAGCATTGTAATACATTGTCTTTTATTTGTGGGACTGTCACAGTGAAATTCCTTTTAGTTTTCAAGAAGGTTTCACACAATTATTGCTCAGCCTAGCCAAGTATTTAAGTTAATCATGGGAACCTTTTCTCTCTTCTCAGTCTTTTTCAGTGCTTAAAGAAGTTACTCTGCCAAGACTATTAACCCTTATTGAATGTGTAAGTACTAATTGTGTGTGAGCTACTAGATGGAATACATGTTTCCCCCGCGTTTAAACTGACCATTACCTTCTTTAGTCCCCAGTTTTGAAGTACAAATTCTCCTTTCCTTCCCCATATGTTTCTTTCCGAAGTAAAGGGGAGAATTTGTTAAATAATCATGAGAAATTTGCTTCTTGTGGCACACAAAAACTGTTTGAAAGTAAGTCCAATAAAAATAGGTTAGCTGGGAGTTAACTTAGTCTTATCTAATCTTTTTTGTTTTGTGTTTTTTTTAGCCTGAGACTGAACTGGCAATGGCTTCTGTGTTGGTTCCTCAACAAGCTCTAGATTCACTCATTCCAAAACCTCCAGATAAAAAAGACAACAAAAACCAAGAACCACCAAAAGAACTAGGTAATCCTGTCAGAGAATAAATAAATAAACAAATAACAATTTATTGGTAGGGCGTCGACATGGTGGTTCTTCATCATCCATTCCTGGTCAAATAGGAATTTGGAACTGTTAGTTTTTGAGGAGAGGTGAAAACCTGAGAACCCAGAGAAAACCTCTCAGAGCAAAAGGAGAGAATCAACAGCAAATTAAACTCAACCCACGTTTGCAATTGATGCCGGAATTGAACACGGTCATATTGATGGGAGGCGAGTGCTCTCACCGCTGCAAGAAACTATAATAATATTATAGTTCCATCTAAGTTGAACGTTATTAAAATAAATAACAAATATTATTAGTTTAAGTTTGACCTTCATTTTAATTGTTTTTCTTTCTTTCAGAGAATAAAGAGGAAGTTCAGGGTCTCATAATGTTGATTCTGGATGCTATTATGAGTGAAAAGTGAGTTGTTGAATAAATTTCACATTGGTTTACCTGTGGTGCAGATGGATTGGTGTACGGTCACATGATTACCAAAATATCCAGGATGGTTAGATTACTAAATTTTTTTAGGTATGGGGTTCCACTTGCGCGCTGGAGCTCCGCTATAATGGTTTATTCTGTTGGATAAAACCAATATGCCAATTAACTACAGAATTTAAGATTCACTAATATCCTTTTTCACCACGTGTCCCGTTTTCATCTTCAATATCCATTTGTTTTTAATTTTGAGGATGAAGACTGTATGCATGTACCTGTTTATACATGAAGTCAATGTAAAGTGTACTTATAGTAGGTCAAATGGATTTTTCATGATTGTATATACCGGTAGCCATTATCATTGTCATTGTCACAGTATTGTTCAAATTGATTGTCGCTATTGTTATTATTTTTGCTCCAGGGTTGGTGCGGAGAGTCGAGATGCTGTCATTGATGTCCTTATTAAAGTTATTCCCAAAAACAAACTAGCTGTAGAACTCTTTGTGAAACTTGGAGGTGAGCTGTTGTGGGCCTTTAACCTTTCACTCCCATGCCAAAAGTCAAAATTCATGATCAAAATTCCCAAACTTTTATTTTGTTTAATGCTGGAATGCAAATATTACCAGGTGAAAGTACTTGCAAAGAGGTTTAATTTGAATGTTCACACCACAGACTCAAACATAGACTCCAACTTTAGAACTTCACACTAAATAGAATTAATAGTACCTTGTGAGACTACTGCTCAGTAGCTTTTATTTGAATGGTTACACTACAACGACTGTTACCCTATAGGATTTCGTTCAGAGACTTAAAAGTTAGAACAACCTAACAAGACTCCATTATCCTAGCCTGAATTTTAGCCATCTCTCTGAGTCGCAAACTTCTTCTGTACTCTCTCGGGAGTAGCAACTCGAGGGGATGGCTGAAATTCAGGCTAACGTTATCCACTCAGGGGGTAAAAAAAACTGTAGTGTCTTGCTTTTGTTTTGGTTTATCCTGCATTGCATAGGGAACTAGACGTCTGGATTTGTTATGAAAATAATGTTTCAGCCGTGTTCTTTATTTTTCTCTACACAGGAGTGCGCAAGCTGATGGTTGTCGCTGCTGCCACAGCTGGTGTGAAATCACGCGACAATGAATCTCTTGTGGTATCAAACAACACCAGGATGCACATATCTGTTTCCTTGGCAAAAATGGTAGACTCATTTGGGTTAGTTTTGTTCTTCACGATATTGCGTAGCTGGTGATAGGCTTGTTTATTGTTTGTATGGCATTTTTGAGCGGGATTGTTAGTGGCAATATCAACAGTGCTTCAGATCTAAGCTTGCTGACCGCAATAATGTTTTTAGTACATGTACATTGCCGGTAAAATTAAATAGGAGAAATAAAATCTGACCCACCAGTTTCTAATGCTTACACCTCGCGGAGCTTGTCATGTTGCTGAGAAATCTTAGTGAAGGTTGTGAGGGAAGCAAGGTTTTGAACACACCCCTGTTAGCAATGTGCTTTGGGTTTGAATCCTGAGAACATGTGAGCAACCACTCGGTTTCAGGAAATATCAAGAGCAAGGTTTTAGCCAGAAGGGTGTCCAGCAGTCCTACGGACGCCCATTTGTGGAAGAAATACAACGAAAATTCACTTAATCTCTTTAACATAATTTCGTGGGAAAACATGCCTTCTGGGCGGCCAGTTTTCAATGTCTAGCTAAAAGCCTGATCAACAGTCCTAGGTCAACGCGAGATTGCTTCTTGCTTCCCTTGCCACTAGCTTGTGACCTAGACTACCAAACAGTCTTTTTTTTGTTTTGTTTTTTGTTTTGTTTTGTTTTGTTTTGTTTTTTTCAAAATCCGTCCCATCTCCGTTTTCCCCAGTCGTTTTGACCAGTCGCGCGCACACACTTAACCTGGGCAAAAATACCGGGTGTTTTGCAGTCTACTTGTGACCCCTCAACTTTTACAATTCCCAAGAGGAGCTCTCACCTGTAAGCTTGAATTCTGAAGACGACCCCTGATTGTCGGTTATGTTTGGTGTTAAGTCTGCTTTGGGAGGATTATATGTCAATTTTCTCGGTTTTTTCCCTTCTGTTCAAAAACCAACAATTATTTGCCGCAATGGGTAATTTTAAGTTACTAGCTTGTGTTTTCTCCTTATAGATGGCACCAAAAGGAGAAAGAACCATTGATGGAGGATGGACAAGCGGCTATCAGGTAAAAAGTAAAATGCATTTACTAAGATTGGATTTAGAAGTAATCAGACTTGATCATTACTTCCGATTATTGATGTAGAATGTAAGACAGTCCGTATTTTTGCGTATTCAAGTACGAGCGAACATTCAAACAAAAGGTCTAGAGCGAGGCTAAAAACAGAGAGCGTGAGACTCTAACGCTATTCTTACGCTACGCTAAACCGACAAAAAAAACCCGACTGTTTTACAGTCTTTTATTGATGGGGTGCTTGGAATTGTGTTTATGAAAGAGCAAGAGTCACTGAGGGCCTTTTTCCGTACGCCCATCAAAGATACAGTTATTTTAACGTTGTTGTAAATTTTATGGTATTTAAATGCACTATTAGCTTTAATTCCTTTGTTCTTATAGTATTTGTTCCTACTGTCAAGTTTACAAATTACTTTCTTTCTCTCTTACCTTTGTAGTCAGTACCTGACACAAAGTAGTTCAGAAGCTCACATCAAGGGAGCGACAGCTTTGTGTTGCTTGTTTCAGGTATTTTTTGGTACTCCTTATCCTATGTGTTTAACCTTCATTAATCCTTAGTTTACGTTGCTTTTGTCCTTTAGACCTCAGCCAGGGTAGCTAAAGGCGGGTCTTAAAATGAATGAGAAATTATAAAGGTACTGCCATTCGCGCTGCAAACGGCTCAACCTTCGCCTCGTTAGGATGACCTCGTAGAAATGAAGGTCTCCTCTCAAGTAGAAAACGAAAAAACATTGCCGACAGTTGGTGCGTTTTGCATGCTACTATAATGCCTTAAAGTTTATCATACACTTAATTTATGTTCGTGTTATTTATAGGGAATACAGGAAGCAGCTTCGTCCCTTCTTGGCAAAGAGGAATTCCTGGGAAAAATCCTTGCACTTGCGACAAGAACAGACCGGTTGTCACAGGTTTATTAAATGCTGTTTTTACGCCATCGTTCAATAATTGTTTTATACTTTCAAATTGCTTTACGAGGCGCAGTTACAGTTGTAGAAAAATAAATGTTTGTGAAATGTCTTTTGCTGATCACGGTCATCTGTTTACTGTAAAAACAAAGAGTTTTCCGATATGAAAACGATCTATCTATCTCGCGCGAGAATTTTATGGCGATTTTTAACACAGGCAAGAAAAGTCTGTTACCCTTAAAAAGACCAGGAAAAGTAAAAGTTGGAGCTAAATTTCGGACCATCTACCTTAAGCTCTAGGGTCAGGCTAGTGCTCGTTTAGTAAAATGAAGCAAAGTGTTGTCGTTTTGGCAAGCTGATTTTCACATTTTTGGCTCAACCCGTGTAACGGTTTTTTGCGCTAAAACCGTCGTTGCGAATCATCTCGTGTAACATAACCTTAAGTTCATACAGCAAGAATTGTCAACCGGTTGAAAATTTGTGCGTTTAGGTTTTCCGTAGTTTTCCGTTTACACGTATCCACCTCGACCTTAACGAAAACTTACACATCTAGTCGTTCAAAGTTTTGTGTGAAAGGAGCGAAAATATTGAACGGTTCCGTGCGAAAGTGTCTGGTCAAATTTTTCAACCCGCTCGAAAATTCCTCCGGCCCCGTGTCAACGTCGCCTCAGGAAGAAATGTAAAAATCTTGGGATAAGTTAAGCAAAAACTTGGATTCCAGGTTTTGCATATTAGCGACAATTATCCACAAGTCAGTATGTGTTGGTGTTGCCACCAGTTTTTGGATTGGGGAAGTAAAACTTCAATTAATTTTAACAAAGATTTCAGTACACATCGAACAACACGGAAGTTTTGCTGACTTGCATTAAGTGGAAATGTGGCTATCGCGCTCTTTTCACTAATTTTCTAAGCTGGTCATAAATGCATGTTGTTTAGTAGCCTGTATATTATAACATGAATGCCTCAAAGGAATTTTGACTTTATTCCACTTTTTCATAGATTGTTGCATCTGAGACGTTAGCTTTAGGAGCCTCTGACAAGAATCTAAGTACAGTGCTAAACACACAGGTAAAACAAAAAAGTAGGATGAGTCTAAGAACCGTTTTGCCCGAATGCTTAAGGGTAACTAAAACATTAGATTATTGAGTGGTATCGATGGATTGATAAGAATCACTTACAACTGATTTTCCCCAGTAAAGCATATTTGGAAGCCTCCAACAAAACGTCAAAACAACAAATTGCTTAATGAGCAAAACAACAACTCTGCACGTGCATCACACTTTCAACGAGCTCTGCACGTGCGACATACTTATTGATACATTTGCACCACCACGACGTAAAGTTTCTCAAAGCGAAATTTTATGAAGGACGTTAACAAACTACGACGAGTTTTACTTCCTCTTGAACTTCCCTGTTCTCTAAAAATTTCCCAGGAAAGGTGGCCCATATTTGGCGAAAATTAGTGATTGGATGGAATTAATCGCCACGAAGTTTTTAAAAAGCGAAAATTCATTTATGATTATTATTTTGGAAGTATGACTAACTTTTTTGTTTTGTTGGTAGGCCCTTCCTGTTCTAAAAGACTTGTACCATCTGAAGGATGATAGTATAAGAGTTCGAGCATTGGTGGTAAGAACCATTTTATTGTAAATTTAGGTTTTTTACCATTTACAAAACGTTTCCGTAAAACCTGGGTAGAAAGTTAAGGGAACACGGCTTTTTGTTTCGTTCAAGCGAAAATTTCGGGAACATCTGAAAAGGTAGTCGTGATTTTCCGGACGAATTGTTTCAAAGGGAAATTCGTGTTCCATTTCTTCAAAGCCATCTTTGTATCAGGCCTTCGCGGCCGTTTTTTGGTAAATGGAACTGATTTGTACAAATAGTAAACGCGATTCCGGAATGATGTCCTGAATTGCTCTTACATTTGCTCAAGTGGTGAACAACCTATTCCGCAAGACCGTTTTCAGTAGCAGTTATCTGCACCGACGTAATGACCCCGAGACCAATCAAAACTTTGGAAAACAATAATTTGAATGATAATGTGTGTTATTTCAGGGTCTATGTAAATTGGGCACCACCGGGGGAGGGACAGTCAATGACCAGACCTTTGTAGAGGGGGCCACTCTCAAGTTGTACAAATCAGTGCGAAGGTGAGTGCGTGATGTTATATTCTGAAAGAACGATCATCTTCTGCATATTGTTGGCCGTGAAGATGACGTAGTAATTCCTCTTCAACATCAACGTAAAATAGGACGCTTGAGCAATAAAGACGGCGAGGGAGACGACGAACATTCGACTATGATTTGTCCGAGGTAGAATAATATTGACAGGTATGACGGACGTGAAGTTACCTTTTAAGTAACCTTTCCCCGCCATCACCGAAGTGGTTGCTAAAGCTCCTTAATATTTAATACCTACGGCTTTCTATCATGGCACAGGGAGTCACGCGTCACATCCGAATACAACCGTACGAGGAAAGAATAAAAGAAACTGATGTTTATCGATTGTTACAGTGTTTTTGTGAAGATCATTTTCAATCATTCATGTTTACTCTCTGTAGTTTTTTGACCAAATCAAAGAAGGAGATAGAGCTTCGAAAGTGGGCAGCGGAGGGGTTGTCTTTCCTAACTATGGACGCTGATGTTAAGGTACTGAGGAATAAACAATTTGTATCAAGTAAGAAAAATAAACGTTAAATCTACACGTAAAGAATACAGTCATGTATTTATGTGCATAAAATACCATTTCTGCACTCCCATGCACCTTCGAATGCATCATCCTTCGGACGTTCCATTCATCCCATTGCTCTCATCGAAGCATTGACGGTAGTTTTAGAAGTAAATGTAAAAACCAATGCTAAGTAACAAACTATCACTGTTTTTATAAATTTCTTTTTTAGGAAACTTTTATCGAAGATCGAGAAGCACTGAGAGCACTTTTGGAGTTGGCAAAGGTGCTTATTTATTTTTTCCTGCATTTTTTCTAGGCCCATAATAACAGAAAAAAAATTGGGTGCGTTATTCAGTCATCTTGAAAGAACATGCTTAGCTATTTAAGGATTTTTTACGTGACCAAATCACAATCTTTTTTAACGGGACAAAGCGGGAAATCCCGAGCGGGCAACGCCCCATCATGCCAGATCGGTTAGCCGCTCGGATATCCAATCAGAACACAGGATTCGCTTTATCTTGCCCTCTCGCGAGGCCAGCCATTCAATAAACTGATTTGAAAGTTTACCAATGTACGCTTCGTCTGAGCGGGTGTGCAACTCTTACGAATTAAATATGTAGGCTCCTAAGGAAACTTTGTACACTACTCTTTTAGGAAGTCAAGGAAAGGCATTGGAGGGAATTTGAACACTCTGCTTTGGATTGTATTCATAGTTGTTTTGTCCAGGGGGGTGGGGAGGGGGGCTCCTGTTAAGGAGAATGTTTACCTTCCTTTGATAGTAGAAAGCTTGAGGTTTGAGGACGAGAACGTTTACGAGACTTAACTTAAAGTTTTTGTGCGTGTTTACAAAAAATGACACCCCGGAAAGCTTCATTTTTACTTTTTTTCACCAAAAAAGTTAGTTCCGGGTTATTTATACTGAAGGAGGTTAAGCCCTCTCCCGATAGCAAAATGATAAAACTTCTTACATTTAATAACTTTTTCCCGCCATTACGACATTCTCCCTAAAAGTCGCATAGTAGAATGACGACGGCTACCACGTTTTCCCGCCAAAATGACGCTGGCTCACGCGTGCGCAATACTCAGTATTGAGAAAATCTCGTGATCGTATGTAGTTGTCCTCGTCTCAGAATCTAAACCTCTCTATTTAGTGTCTGTACTACCATAACTTTACTCATAGCGCAAATTACCTTTCTTTTGTTTTTGTACGCCAGGCCAATGATGCTACTCTGTTGTATGGGGTGTGCCAGACACTGGTCAACTTAACAAACACATTTGACAAACCAGATATCCCTGATGAAATGAAGCAACTTGGAGAATTTGCTCAAGTTAAACTGCCGAAATTCTCTGAAAAGGTGATTAATCAACAAGAATCTAAGAGTTACTATTAAAGTTTTGCGAACGTTGTGTTAGTAATGTCGGGTGCCTTCGCTAGATCATTAGGATACATTTACAGAAGTGGTGCATTTACCTTCTTTTTCTTTCTCGTTTGTTTATTCCAGGACGGAGAAGAGTATGTGAAAAAAAGAATCAAAAAACTTGTTGAAGTAAGTTAACACTGAAATTTTAGCTTACCAGATTTTACTCGCGGGTACATCTCCATGCTTACACGCTCGCTGTCGCACCTGCCAGCACTTTTCCAGCGACACCATCGTCTGTGGCCTTCAGCGCTCTTTTGTTATCAAGAAGGCGTTTTCTTGCCAAACGTCCTCGTGTCGCCGTTGCCCTTTCATCTACATTAAACAGGACGTACTCTAAGACAACGTTTTGGCGAGCACCTTCGAAGCATAGAGAAGAACTTGCCTGGTTTCCCTGTCGCGGAACATTTTAGCACAACTTGTCACTCTATCCACGACGCTCTAGTTCGCGGAATTATGCTCTGTGGGGAAAACGTGCAACGAAAGCGCCTGGAGATGCGCCTTATTTATCAGCTACGCACATCCGCGCGGCTTAGACCCCGTTTCCTCTAGGTTGACGCGTGAGCATGGCATATGCAAACATTGCAACGTTTCCTACGAACTTTCTAACTCCACTGATGAAGGGCCAGGCCCGAAACGTTTGGAGAAAATCTCAAATCAGAACATGGCACTTTTGTTTATTATTTTTCTTTTTTTGTTGTTGTTGAACATTCCCTTACTTACTTCTAAAGCGCCACGCAGTTTATCGGAATTTTTTTTTTCCGTTAGTTGTTTGATCAGATTTTTCTGTCGTTTTAAACTAGTTAGGCGCACGTCTAGACTATACTGAATGGCTTTTCATATCGTCACGAAAAATCCTCCGTCATGGTATAAACACTTGTTCACACTATCACGAAGAGTAGCACAGCAACCCGGTATCCGATATGGTAACGATCCAGTTTCATGATCGGTGCGGCGCAGCTTCGTAATGTTTAATATAGAAACCGCTCCGAGACCACCATTCTTCTGCTGTGTGAACAGAAGCGCCATCCGATATGGTTTTAGTGCCGGCGTAAGAGCTATCTGGTAGACAAAGCCTAAAACAGGTGTAACTTGTTTCACCCAATAATTTTTTCTCTTTGTGTGAACAGGAAGGCCTCATATCTGCGCTTGTCAACCTGTCAAACACTGAGAGTGATAACAGCAGAGAGATGATTTCAAGGTAACAAGTCCAGATAACTATTAAACGATGTGTTATAATCGCCGTATCATGTTCGAAATGAGAATACACTGTCTAAACAGACACATTGCTGCAAATTCTTCGTCTCTGTATTTGAAGCTAGTGGAACGTTACATTGTTTAATTAGGTCAAAGTGAAATTTTAGGCAAAATTCATTGAATAAATCTGTTTTCACGTTTGTGAAACAAAGCTTTTCACTTTTTGCCAATGTAGTTATAGTCAAACCTCTTTAATACGGACACCAAAGGGACAGAACCAAGTGTCCGCTTTACAGAGGTGTCCGTATTATAGAGGTAGGGAACGTATGATTTTTGGCATTTCTGGGACCAAACGAACTGTCCGTAATAGAGAGGTGTCCGTAAGGACATGTTAGACTGTATATAGCATATCTTAACCCCTTTTCCTACCCCCAACCCCGCCTTAAACTCACCTTTCGTTTCCTTGTTTAGAGTTTTCATGGGAATCACAAAAGAACAGGAACACCGAGGAATGACAGTACAACAAGGTGGAGTCAAGGTTAGAAAACCGTATGTTTGTGAAGTATACTGCTAAAGTCTGGCCTGTCCCAGGTGTTCAGATTGTGGGGACGGCGTGAAGATATGTGAGCAGCAAAAACAACGAGGGGTGGGGTAGGGAGAGAAAGGCTAGCTGACGTAATACTCCCAGAGCCAATCTATACCCTGAGTGCAAGAGGCACTTCTAACGCGGTTCCGGTTCTCGTTACACGGGAACTAATTTGTAAGCGGCTTCCCCTCCGGTCAATCCTGAGTGAACGAGAGTCTCGTAGAGACGCAAAGATAAAGGATTATGTGGGGCACAGGCCACCCAAAGTGTGATTAGTCAAGTTTCGGTTGAATTAGTGAAGTGGTGTGAAGTAAATGATTTTGATATTTCTTTGAGGTCTTCTTCGTGAAGGCCGCAACAAGCAGCTTATAACAGTTCAAGCAAAAGGCAAACGGCAATTTTTACCACTTGTCCAAGTTGATCTCTTTCATCGTTTACTATGACATCTACACTAAAATAGGTGTTTTCATGCCATTTTTTATTCATAAACATGTCTTTCTTTCTTTGCACACTTATTATTTGCTCACTTCTAAATGTCGCACATCGCTTCTAAACTGAGAAATTGTCAACCAATCTCGCTCGTTGTGTTTTTATGGTGACTGGTTTTACTCTGTTCCAAGCGGGTATCCTTGTCATTGTCATTATCATTATTTTTGTGTTATTAGGCACTGGTGTCTCTGGCCGCTCAAAACACAGAGAAGGGAGCAGATTTTGCCGCCCAGGCGGTGGCTAAGGTTGCTATTACCATGAATCCTGAAGTGGCATTCCCTGGACAGAGGGTGAGGCTATTATACTAACCACGTGCACAAAAGAATCCGGATATTGTGAAGAGTGGGGGGGGGGGGGGTTGAAAGGGGGGCTATTTTGTTAAATGTTTGTTATTAGCATAGGTCCGGGCTGTTCACAGTCCCCTATTTTACGTTGTAATCATCGAGTTTGATCGCCGAGTTCGTGAGACTGCGATCTTGATTTCATATTCGTATACTTCGAATGTACTCACGAAGGGAACAGAGTTTCCATTTTCCGGGGAGAAATAAACCGAGATGTATAAAAAATACCCCGCTAAGTGAAAACGCCGTGACATATGCCTAGTATAGGAGTTGCTCGCTCTGGGTTATGGGCTCCTTGAAGAGTACAATTCACCTGTGGGAACAGGGGTGGGAGGTGACCCCCACCCTGGTCCTGACGGGAAATTTGCTGTCTTTCCAGCTTTTCCTCACCGTAGGAAGTCGAGAGGGCGGCCATCGTCGACAGTAACATCAAAACTTAGAGGACTGTTAGAAGTCTAGGCGTGATATGCTCGATGATTCCATTAATTTTGTTATTTATTGTTACTACCGCACATAAAATAGAGATAGAACACCACTACCGGAATCAAACACTGTGTCTTTTATAGATTTATTTATCTGTTTTGTTGGGGTTTTTTTTATTATCATATTTAAGGATTTGAACGAACAATGAAACGTTAGAACCACGTTGTGAAGCGCAATAATAAAATTAATGATATCGTAGGAAAGTAATTGTTAATTGCTTTCGCAGCATAACATCGACAAAACTGTTAAAACTGGGTTTAAGACAACTAATGACTTAATTTTGCGTTATTCTTGCTTGATTAAATTACCGAGGTTTTAAGTGAAATGATCATAAATTTCGCTTTTTCTTTGTTGACAGTCATATGGCCTAATTCGTCCTCTCCTCAAGTTGCTTCATCCCTCAAAAACGGTAAGGCCTTTTAGTAAAATAACTACAAGCGTAACAACTAGACTGGAAGGTTCCCTTCCTTTAAAAGTTTCTCACGGTAAAAACCATCACCAGTTTTTCTTAGTTTGTTGACTGACTGATTCAACCGGAACAAGCTCGTGAAAAATCATGTACCTGCTCACCTTTTCCTGCCAGTCATGAAGGCTTAAGTCTCTTTTGGTGGTTTTAACAATCATTTTTCAGAGTACGGAGCCAGACGAAATTTGTCACCGAAGCAATATCAGCGATATATAGCCCTGCATGTTAGCCATATTTGATGGAAAGGCACACAACTGACCTCGATACTGACAACGAGGGTGCTGTTTCATTTTCACATTGGCATGCTTGGTGTTTTTTGGTTCGTTGTATATTGATTTATTGTCTTGCATTTTTAGGGTCTACAACAGTTCGAATCCCTGATGGCGCTTACAAACTTAGCCCAGATGAATGATGAAGTCAGGTATGAGGTTCAAGATATGTTTGTTTTGTTCTTTCTAAACATAGAGCGATTTTCGTATGACCTTGAAATGAAAACGCGCAAATAAAACAGAAACAACAAACGAACGGAAAGAGAGCGATTTGATTGGTTAATCGTACGGATACAAACAGGGGTGGCTTTTGATTGGTCAAGCGAACGCTCGGGGGAAAAAACTTAATGCCCGAGAACTTTCTAGAATTCAATCGATACCTTGCTTTGACGTCATACTACAACACGATTGGCCAATCGAACAATGCCTTCTCCATATTAGTTTATTTTTGGCGGGAAAACGAAGAGTCCATGTTCTGGTCTTTTCATCCATTGGCTGATAAAACAAATAACGAACACTTACCGAAACCATTTTTTAAGATCATACGAAAATCGCTCCGTTTCTTAAACCACTTCACGACAAGAACGTTGTATAGGTAAGTACTAGTTTTGAAAAACTGCAAAACAGCTGTATTTTTGTGTTGGTCTAGTACAGAATGCAGGTACTTGCTTGACAAAGCGCAGATTTGTTGCGTTTAGCGCGAGTTTCGCCACAACCTCTTCCGCTTCGCGCCTTGCAATTGTATAGAGCGATTCTGACTGTTTCTTTTTCGCGTGTTATAGACGGCATATTGTGAAGGAGAAAGGTTTTCCTTTGATCGAAAGCCTGATGTTCGAGGACCATGACCTGATAAAAAGAGCTGCTACTGAGTGCATGTGTAACATGGTTATGTGTGAAGAGGTAAGAAATTTAAAGGTAAACGCTGACCCACTTCTTTGCGTGACGTTTGCGTTCCGCCTATATTGTTCTGTTCCTACAGCACCTGCCTGCTCTCAATGCCACGTTTGTTTCTCTCTTTTGAAAATTATTTTAAGACAATCTATGCCAAACCAGAACACTTGTGTTCCAGGTATTCATCCGAGACCGCTTTTCTCTTTAACTCCAATACCCCAGTTCAAAAGCTGGATAGCGCTATCAACCGGATAAATCACTATCCATTGGATAAATATTAGCACTTTTCATTTATCTGGTTATTTAACTGGGACCTGGTTTCTTCACACAGGTGTTTAAAATAAAGGGTTTAGTTTATCGTTGTTGTCACGATTGTCTCGTTGATATTGGTCGCGACGTTTCCACCGCACACTGCAGGTCTTCATAAGGCGATAGTGTCGATTTACTGAGACGGACTTTTTGTACAAACGATAAACTAAACCCTTTATACCCATTATCCACGATGATTAATATCTTCCATGACAGGTGTTTAAAATGTTTGAAAAAGAGGATACTCCAACCGAGAGAGTGAAGCTGATGACGCTGCTTTCCGGAGAGGACGACTTTCAGCTGGCACGGTGAGATTTTTTTCCCCTTTAATCCTCCAATTCTCAAGACTGACCAACATAAGTTTTCTCCTAATAATATCAATACATAGTCAAAAGAAAAGGTTATGAGAATTTTTGAAATGATCGCCGAAAGAAAAATGCCTTCAATTTTTGTCAATAAATTGTGTGGAGATCAGTCTGAGAATCTGCATCTAGATATTTGCCACTTGAGGGAGTTGTTACGTCCGCTTGCAAGTACCTAAAAGTTTGACCGGTTTCAAACTTTGCGCAACAACATGCAACCACATCCAACAACATGCAACAGGGTGCGCAAACAGACGCAACATGTAACATCCAACAATGTTGGGAGTTGTTGGCCAACAATGTTGCGTTCGTTTGTATGGGGCTTAAGAACCGAGTACCCTGTCCCCTCCCCCTCCCCCACGTTTTCGCCGCGGGGGGAAGGGTACTGCTACACCTAGGCTAGTCGTCCATTGATTGTTTAGTCATTGTTTTGTCATCATTTCAGGTCACCTTGTTTTCGTTTGATTATTTCTTGTGTCTGTCTTAACTTATAGGGCAGCCTCGGGTGCATTAGCGGTCCTTTCGTCTAGTGAGAAAGTCTGTAATCAAATAATTAAGGTACTATTATCAAACATATTATACCCTTCTTCCAAGGGCCTCTCAACCGCAAAGCGTGCACGTGAGTTCTCGACCCCTCTTTATTATTACGCATGACACAGGGCCACGCGCAGCCATGAGTTCAGAGGCTCTGGTGACGAGAATGGCTTTTACGCGGCATCCGCAGGCGCGCAAAATAGTGCGAGAGACAGGACGCTTATTTCTTTTTTGAGAAAACCGAATGTTCAAAACAAAACTTTAACTGATATTTATTGAAAAAGGAACAGTAAGAGAAACTGCAACAGTAACAAACATACGATGAATGTTCAGTAAACGTGAGGGAATTTTAATCTACTTCTACGCCGATAGCTTTGACAGAGTCACTTACATCAATACCGTAAATAAAAGCTTTCTGGTGTGGTATCTTCGACGTCCAATTCTTCCAAGGGGGTCGATATGCAACACTCGACTTTTACCTGGTGCCAAAATGCTGTTTGTTCCAATAAATTTCTAGAATGGCACTTATTAGAATGGGGGCGCTTATCGGAGTGGGGGCGCTTAATGGAATAGGGGCCCTTATTAACAAAAACACTTTCGAAGGGGGGTGCTTATTGGAAGGAGGACGCTAAATCGAATCATTATGGTATATTTATTAATCTTCTCTGCTTTTTTCTTCTTTATAGGTTTCGTCTTACATGGATATACAAAAGCAGTTGCTGGTGTCTGACAAAAAAGAGTTGAGACACAGGTAACGTCATGCTATCGTCTTTGGTTGGTAGTGTGGGTTTCAAAATTGTCATGCTGAACCGTTAGACTCCTTCGCAGGCATTCTCCTCGCTTGTCACGCAACGACTTTACAATGTGTTAGAGAGAAGTGCGTGACGAGCCAAAATAACGTCTACGACCTAGGCTATTTAGCTAGTCTCTTCACCAATAAACTGGTTGGACTAAAACCAGTCATGGAGGTCGTGTTAGTTTATTGAATTTTTCATGTGTGTTTTAAGTAATTAAAGTAATTATTATCTTGGTTTAGGTTTTAAGGGCCCATGAATAAATAGTACTATATTTTCAAGTATATTTAAGTTGTTTGGCAATGGACGCTACAGCTGTTTAGTTTTGTATTTGGGAAATGGTAATTATTCTCCCAGCGTTCTTTGTTGATACTCGCGAGCTTTAATTTCTTTCTGATTATCCTTTTTTCTGTAATTTACAGGGGAGCACATATTGCCGCCAACATGATCGCTTCAAACAAGGAAATCGCTACTAAGGTAGGAAGAGTATATTCCAGCAGCGTACTGAGTGACTGATCGACTCACCTACCAATCGACCGACCAACCCGAACGAGCAACCGACCGGCCGACTGAACAACTGACCGTTGAACGAGCGACGGACTAAATGAACGACTACTGACTGTAAAAACAATGACACTCATTAGACTAACAAGCTGGCGAATTTAATGCCTATTCTGACTGTTTCATTTCAGATCATTGAAAGCGAAATCCTTGAAGTTCTGATGGTATTCTCCAAAGACACTGATCCTGAGATGTCCATGGCTCGAGAATGCGCTGAAAGGGCGTTACAAGCTGCTGTAGAAATGAGTCTTATTAAGCGAAGTGACGAACAAAATTGAGTCGATACCAGAGAAACACTATATCATCACGTTCTGACAAGTTCGCTAAAGCAAGAAGGCCCATCTGCCTTCGAGATTCCGTTCGTAAAATTCCGGGGAGGGGGGCTCCGCCCCGAGATCCAACCCCTTACTCCTTTATATACCATTTTTCACGAAAAAGGCACTCCTTTCGTATACCTTCTACTGACAAATGGTGCCCCTTTCACATACCTTGTTTAAAACTTTGCATCCCTTTTAACTGCTGTAAATGCACTGTCTTTTAAATAGGAATCAATCACAAAAATAGAACGTTTTCTCAGCTTTATAAAGCCGTAAAATCCATCTGTCACCCCTTTTTGGGGCCTTTCACAGACCCAAATGACAGCCTGATTTCCCTACCCTTTTATATACTTCAACTAGTGAAATCCCTACCCTTTCATATACCTGAAGCCTGAAAATATACCTCTTTTGGGCGGAGCCTCCCCGTATAGGCCATCATTGGGAGTTCCCCCTCCCCCCGGGGTAAAACTCCTCGAGCAGCGCCTCCTCGTGTCTTCACGTTGATTGAGAAGGAGAAAAGGAAGTTCTGCCCGAATTGCGTCAAGCCTTTGAAGTCGCCGCAGCCCGAACTGCTGGACTAGTCAATCTTGTTTTCTCTCGTCGAAATGCCTTTTTCGTTGCGAGAATCCGTTTGTTGATAAACCGATGGTTATAACTGAGCCGACGAAATACCGATAATCAAAACTGTAGCGCTGTGCCGGACCAATTGATCTGGCAAACCAACTTGGAGGTGGTCATATTATCCTTATCATGCATGAACGCATCTCCAACGTAATGCGCATGCGTTCTCGACTTCAGAACCCTTTACTATTCGACGCATGACACATGATGACCATGCGCAACCGTAAGACTTGAGACCGGTTACATGAATGGTTTGTACGCCGCAATACACAGGCCACGGCTTTTAGGCCTGGCTTCAAAATTGTCTCCTAGCAACTTGCAGCGGAAGCTCAACAAAGGTCTCAATTGATGCAGTCTTTCCCGAGTGAAAGCAAGTGAAAGAAAGGCTCTGTTACCAGGGTGTATTCCTAATAGCCAGCGGTTAATTCCCTGAGATTAGCAAAGCCTTTCGTGAATGCGTTTACTTGGGTCTCAAATCAGCTTCTAATCCTTCCCTGCATTTTTAGAAGACTAGTACAGCAGAAGTTGGCTGGATCTTGTGGAGGCTTTAGGGTGCGCTGATAATTCTTTGAACTAAAGCATTCTTTTTAACTTACGTTTAGAAATGGAAGTTTCAAATGGACGTTTCAAGGGTAAAAGTTTATGAACAATGCAAATATTAAAAACGTGAAATACGCTAAAATTGTTGCCACTAAATGTGCGCTGGGTGAAGCAATGGGTAACAATTGTCAGGGACTATCCATAGCGTAGTAAAAAAAAAAGCACTTTGAGTGTCAATGTATTTCGCTCGGAAGTACTAATTGACGACACCATATTTACGTCTCCTAATGGAGACGGGACCTCCATTTTACTTGGTCATTCGAGTCGCGGAAAGGTCTAGCCGTTTGCGGGGCAAAGACCTTCGTTTCCCAGTTATTTTTAAGACCGTTAATATTGGTCCGGCCCCGGAAATCAAACTGCCACATCCCGCTCTTCATTCCAGCGCTCTAACGACTGAGCTAATCCCCCCGCGGGAAACACATCAAGCTGGTAATTTCAAATTGGGAATAATTTATTGTATTTAGCCAATCCAAAGCTCGATAACTTCATCCCATGTGGAACATAAGTTATTTTATTATTTCTCCATCGCCTAACGAGGGTGGGGTGTGTTTTGGTGTTGCGAGCCATACTTGGTTCCCTGGATCAATTGTGGCCTCTGGGTAACTGACCACCTACCCCTCCCCCGAGTCAACATTAACACTTGCTTCTCTCTTAGGGTACAATTGTGACTTAGGGGAGGGGTAGGTGGTCAGTCAACCACAAACCCCAATTGATCCGGTTCGTTTTTGTGTTATGGTGTGGGTGCGGTTCAGTGTCAACTACCATGGGTAGCCTGTGAGCAAGCTCTCCGAGGCACTCTGGCGGCGGGGAGGGAAAAGGAAGGAAACCTTGCAACAACGTCTCTGGAACTCCAATTCCCCTGTGGCTCCCCGTCGACTGAGCTGTTAGATTTCCGCCAATTGGCGCAAAGCGGAAACGATCGCAAATGTAAGCAAACATTGAAAAACACGTGCCAAGGTAATGACGTTATTACTGATGTCATCTCCGCCAATCAGCATTTCGTATCGACTTTTTCGACGCAGACATTCAAATTCCAGAGACGTAGTTGCAAGCTCTCCTTCTCTTTCCCGCCCCGCCACCAGAGCTCCCCGGAGAGCTTGCTCCTACCACAGGGGGTAACTCGCGCTTGCGTCCTGCCATACGGAGGTTGAGCCCGCAGTGACTGCGGCAGGCAAAACTTGGTTTTCTTACGTCATGTATTCACGCGTGTACCGTATGGTAAGGAAGGTAAGGTATACTTTTAAAGCAAGGATAATTGTTGAACAATAAATTATTTCTTTTCTTCGGTAGCTCACAATTTTAATACAAGGAACCTACAGTTTTGCGGACAGTTGCTCTTGTCCTTAGATACCAACTTTTCAGAATCTGTACCTTTGTAATAATAAGCGAACTTATATTAGTCCTCTTGCCATTTTCTAAGGGTAAATTACTGTACATCAAACTTTCGCGGTTTAAACGATTAGATTTGTGACGTGGCTCATCAATTGTTTTCACAAAATATTTGGGAAACTGGAAAGAAACTTTTGTCATAAACTTACTAAACATCGTATTATGGAAAAAGCGTTCAGTTTAATCTCAAACAGGAATTTCAAAGAAAATGTGCTATTCTCATTAAATTTTTTGCTCTCTGCGGGGAACTGGGGTGAAATGCGCAGGGACTGGGTACAAGGCTCGTCACCAAGCTATCGCGGAAATCAATATGGCCGGAAAGCGGAAGAGTTCGCGTCAAAACATTGGCTGAAAATATATCTCCATTCTTATCGTTTCAACTTTTTACTCTTGCCAGGTATGCCATTGCCCTTTTCATGATAAATTATGAGTATATCCATAGAAGTAAAATAAGCTGCCGTTGTAATCCAGAGAACTAGGAATTTAACGAGTAACTATGATGGTCGAACTGAAGCTTATGCAATAACTGTAAAATATTAAGCCTTTGATCACTTGTTAAAGCCTTTATTCACTTGTTAAAAACGTAGCTTGGAATTTTGAAACCAGTTAGGGGATCCATTACTGCACGACGAAAGTAGTTGAAAATGACTGATTCAGTCTACTTTGCCTTTTTTAGCTGCTGCGCTGTTATATTATGTTAATTTCGACTGATCCATGTCCAGAATTTGTTGTTGATTACGTAATTCCTACTTGAAAAAAAGGAAGTATCTTTAGCTTACGGCATTTCTCGAGTAACTAACGAGGCCCGAATAAAGATGAAGTCTTAAATGCTTGAAAAATACCCCTTAAGCAGTTTTTACTGTACCAGGAGTATTGGCAGAAGGGTTATATGCCTCTTGTATTGGTCATCAGTTTCCATCTGCCAGGCAAAAATGGGGTAAGATTTCCATTCCACCATTTCTTGTGCATGCAGCAAGTTCATACGTACTATTGATCAGGCCCCAGTTGTTCAAACTTTGGATAGCACTTTCCACCGGCTATATTGCTGTAATTAAGCATAGCAGCACAACAGACGTATGATAACAAACTGGTTTACTTCAGCAAGATGGAGGTCTTACAAGAACAACCTTACAGCCCAAAAGCACCATGGGTAAACCAACCACAGGATATCCAGCAAGTATATAACATTGCTATCGAGCGGTTAAGTATTAAGGAATCCATTTTGCGTTGTCTAGTGGATAGCACTATCCACCTTTTTTAACAACTGGGGCCGGCAGGTTTGTACAAAACCCAACTCAAAAGTTTACTTTAAAGTTATTGAAAAGCAAGTTATTGAAAAGCTGTAGTCTGCTCAGAGGGGTAGTCAGGTTTCAACATGTCAATTTCTCCTTAATGACTTTGATTAACACATTAGCACTGAGCAGGGTTTAACCATAAATCATTATGGTAATTTCTCTATTTCAGGTGAGAGAAAATGAACAAAGCATTGACTATAGGATGCTACAAGACAGGAGTTCATCCATTGCTTGCATCGACAAGAACACAAGTGTTAACAGCTGTCTGTCTTGTTGCTCCTGTTCCCCCTTTGCCGCTGTCCAAGACTGCAAGGAGTGTTTACAGTGCCATAGCATGTTCAGGAAAAAAAAGTTATATGTACCATCAGATCAAAGCTGTGCCACAAAAATACTCTCGGATCTCCTCTATTCTAGCTTTTGAGGATGATACATGTAATCCAACTGATGCAGAAATCAAGCTTAACAGAAAAATTATGTTGACAATGACAGTTGAAGGTCAACTTCAATTGTATAAGAGTGTCAAACAGGCTGTCAATAATGTAAACAGAGTTGCCTTCCTTTTCAATGTTGCCAAAATCATTGGAAAAGATAGATCTCAACAACAAATCCTTGAACATGAAAAAGAGCTTGCCAAGCATGGTAAAAGCAGTGCGTACATTGATTTGCTGGATGACATTGCCAATGTGATGAGCAAGTGTGAGTCCAGGCATTTAGCTAACGTGATGTGGGCATTGGGGAAAATAGAAGAGAGAGATCACCGACTGCATCTTGTGTGCAAGCAAGAGATTTTGCAGCAAACTATGTCAAGCTTCAACTATGCAGAGATCTGCCAAATTGTAAATGGCTGTGCAAACCTGAAAGTCAAAGCACCAGAGATATTTTCAAGGTTCCAAGGTGTCATTTTAGCTGGAAACCTTAGTAACAATCACCTTGAAGATCAGAGCATTTCTGGTATATTGTTATCATATGCCAAGACGAACAGTGGTAACAAAGAACTTTTTGATCATTTTCTCAAAGAAGTTGTTTCAAGGAACTTAATGGTCAGCGATCGTGTTATTGCTGATATCGTGTGGTCTTTTGCTAAGAAAGGAATTTTTGACGACAACTTGTTCAACTTGGTCCAAGGTGAAATAATACGAAGAGGTGCACTTGACTTCAATAATGCTGACATTGTAAAGATTCTCTGGGCATTCTCCAGGGCAGGCAAAGGAACTAAGCAGCTTTACTATTTATTCGACAGTGCACTTGTTTCAAGAGGTTTAAAAACATTTCTAAGTGGAGAACTTGTAGAAACTGTATGGTCATTTGCAAAGGCGAAGTTGAAGAATGCTAAAGTTTTTGACCTGTCTGAGAAGGAGATTTTAAGTCGTGGCATGGATCGATTAAGGACTCATGAACTTGTTTTATTTCTGTACTCCTTCACATTTGCCCAAAGAGAAGATGTAAACATCAGCTTCATAGAGAAGATTGAAGCAGAGCTTTGTTTGAGAAATGCAAGTGAATTTGATATCGGTGCGTTGTGTCAAGTGACCTGGAGTCTTGCAAAAGCAGGCATATCAGAAAGCAAGTTGTTTGGTTTAGCAGAACAACAAGTGCTTAAATGTGATGTACAGAAGGTGTCAAATTCAGAAAAGTTAATGGTTATGAGAGGATTTATCAATGCACAAAAGACAAGCAAGGAACTCTTTCAGTTTCTCTACTCCTCCATCTCAACATCTAATCTTTCAAACCTTACTGAAGCACAGATTTGTGAGTTTGTTTGGTGTTTTTCTTTAGCCAATGTCGAAGTGGATAGCCTATTCAACTTTCTTGAGAAAGAGATCTTGGACAGACAGAAGTACCATTTTAGCAGGAAGCAACTTAATTTTTTAAAGAAAGGCTTTCTTAGAGTTGGAAAGGGATCCAAAGAACTCTACAAAGTCTTGTCGCCATATTAAATATATATTGTTTTATTTGCTGGGGCAGGGGAGAGGGGTACATTACCAAGTTCAGCATAAACTAATTTCAATAAATTATCCTTGCGTACGGGTATGTACACTGACAGAGAAAGGAAAACACTCATCCATCTTTGGGTTTTTAAAGATAGTTTTCAGATCTCTGTGTCGTCAACTTTTTGCCGTTCTGGGCTAGCTTCATCCTTTCCTGAATTGAGAAAACGTGTGGTCTTTTTCTCTGGCACACTTTCCCTCAGAGACTAAAACCCCATCCACACCAAATCTGACTTAAACATGTTTAAAAGCTGTTTAGTTTAACCTGGTTTAAATTTGTTTTCTTTATTAAAACTGCTTATAATACTTTTATTGATTGCAAAAATTAATTTAGTACGATTACATAACGTGTTAAAGTTAATTTGGATTCCGTGTAAAAGCCTGTGTTCTAGGTTTTCACAACTGCTTTTCATTCTCGTAAAACTTAGTTAAATTAAACATGTTTATCGTATTTATTCGATTAACTGCCCTGGGCGCTTATTAAATTTAAATTTTCACCATTTTCAACAAGTGTAGTACGTATATTTTGCAACAAAACGGTAAATGGTAATAACAAAACGCGAAGATGTAACAATGCAATGTTTCTGCAAAACACTCTGAAGAAAACTCTGTCTTCGGGAAAGTCTCTTGTTAGTACTTATTCCTTTTTGTGGGGGTGGTAGGGGGAAGGGGGTGGGCGCTTATTTAAGCTTGAGTGGGAGTGGGAGGGTGGTAGGGTGGGGGTAGGCGCTTATTCGAGGCTGGGCGCTTATTAAGTTTTTCTGCCTTCAAGATGGGCGCTTATTTGAGGTGGGCGCTAATTCGAGGTTGGGCGCTTATTGGAATAAATACGGTAGTTGGTTTTAACCGTTGGCCAAAGCCGACATAGACTCACAGTCACGGTCGATTTGCCCTACGTCGGTTTCTTGTTGGTTGTCCCATATATCAATGCAGTTGAAGGGCCGACTTCTTTTGTTAGCCATGAAACCAGGGTAAAATTAGAAGAGCAAACGTCCTTCATTGGTGGGCATGCCAAGTAAGAGCATAGTTTGTAGACCTGGTATCTGAGACCTGTGGATGAAATTCTATGCAGGAGCAAATCTAGGTTAAATACTGACCGATTTCCTAAATGAGCGCTGAAGGCTCAAGCTTCTAGCAGGGTCCGGGGGCTCCCTGCGAGCAGAGTCGCCCTCGAGCTTCCTAGATATTCTCCTAGATATCTTCCCAATATTTTCTAGGAAGATCGAAGGAGACTCTGCTTGCAGGGTATCTGGGGGCATGCTCCCCAGAAAAAAAGTTTGGATTTTAACTCCCTAAAATCCCCTTTCCTGGGTTTCTGAGTCATTCATTCAGACAGGATATTGGCCAGATTTCTACTTGGAAAGATTTTTTTCCGTTTATTAAAAAATATATATTAATTATGAAAAATCTGATTTTTGTAAAATGGTGGAAACTGGTGTGGATCCGTGTCTGCTGTGGTGTTACCATCTTTGGCAGAACTTTTGCGTGATACAATATTCACTCCCTCAACACTTTCGTTTGCACTCATTTTTAATAACCAAAGTATGGGAGCGTTGACTGATAACCGTAACAAATTGCACCTATTTTGTTGCCCGTTTTACCGTACCTACCATAAAATTCTTAAAATAAGCCTCTCCAAATATGAGCCCCCCAAACTCGTAATGCAAAAACCCCTCCGTTAAATCGCCCCTCCAAATATAGGCGCCCCCCGGGGGGGGGGGGCTTGTACTTGAAAATTGCCCTCAAATAAAAAGTAAAACAAAGCCAAAACGGTAAATTTCCTTCCAACTCATAAGGCCAGCCCAATCGATTTTGAAACGCAAATTTCCCTCCATAGATAAAGCCCCTCCAAAAATAAGCCCCTCAAAAAGAAATAAGCGCCAGGGTTTATTTTCGGAATTTTAAGGTACCTTGTTTAGGACAGAGAGATCAAAACCCATACCCTGTCCAGCAACACATCACCGTGTACGCTATATAAGGGAGACCACCCCCACCCCTCCCCCCTTGCACCCCCAGTGCGAAATGCACAGCTTATTGACTTTCCCCGTACCCCCAGAAATGCTAATGAGCTTGATTTCATTTGAAGTTGTCCTTTTAATGACAGGGGACTTCAAAATCGAAAATATTTTCAAGCGAGAACATTTTTTAGACACAAACTCCCTCTTTGTATTCACAGGCTATAGCGGCGATTTAGGAATAAAAAATTAGCTGCGCTATTTACATGCACTTTGTTTTCCCTACAATACGCAACAGAAATTTAAAACAATGGTATGCGATTTGTTTTTTGAGGGTGGGGGGGGGGGCTAGGGGAAACAAGGGAGTATCAGTGAATGTTTTTTGGTGTTGGTTTGCTTGTCATGGTGAGGTCCCTTGTTCAGTGTCTTTAGTTAAATCTTTTCAATTGCGTCATTTCATCGCACTCATCCGTAACACTAAGAAACTACTGTATAAGAAACACTCAGTGTGAAGAATTTTGTGGTTGTGTGTTTAAGAAATCAGGAAGAATAGGATAACAAGAAATTAGGACTATTACAGGATTATTTTGCGGGGGACATACCTTTTTTTTACATTTGAGGTTGAAGGAATTGTCACCCTCCCCTCCTAGAATTTTTTTACCGTTCACCCCTGACTCACTTCCGCCTATGCATAAATACCGGACAATGGCGTCGCTTGAAGCAGGAGAGATTTCTCCTCGGTTTGATAAACTTTTGAAGGATGTCGTCGGTGATCTGAGCCCAGAAGAACTTAAATATGCTGTATCGTCTATCAAAACGAATTTTGAGAAAGGACAGTTCGAGGATAAAGGAGATCAGGATTTATATTCATGCCTGCATCTTTTTGCAAATCAGGGTCTTGTGTCGGAGGACAATTTGACTTTGTTGGAGAAGTTTGTGGTAACTCCACAAACATCTAAGAAGGAAGGAATTGAGGCAAAGATTAGAGGTTTCAAGGCAATCCGGTTGCAAGAGATTGAAGAGCCAACGGCAGCGACAAGAAAGGAATTAACCGGGAGACACACCGACTTAGAAAATGTTATGTCGAAGTTAACAACTGGTGGATCAAGCGTCTTGAACCTGTATGGATCAAGCGGTGTCGGAAAAACGAGACTTGCGACTGAAGTTGTATCTCAGTGGCAAGGAACGATGAAATTCAAAGTGGATTTGAGAGAAGTGGAGAGGTTGGAGGACGTTCACGTCCAAGTTTTGCAGGCATTGATGATCGGATCAAAGGAGACAACAACTGTGAGCTATGAAGCGAATCCTGTTATTTTTAAAATGCGGCATTTGAGGCAACGGGGACGAGGGGACATATTGTTGCTTCTAGACAATGTTGATCAATTTTCGGGTGGAAACAGCAAGGCTGCCACTAGCCTTAATAATGATTTTGTCACTTTCCTCCAACGACTTACCACTGGTCGCGCGAAATCTTCGTTGAAGATTCTTTTAACATCTAGGAGTGCGTTTCGTCACGGTGTGGAAAATTACGAAGTGAAAGGTTTGGAAAAGGTCTCTTCTGGGGAGCTCCTTCAAAGGCAAGGGACGCCTGCTATTCACGGCAGCCAAAGAGAGAGACTAGTCGAGATGTGCAGAGGAAAGCCGCTCTTGCTCAATGGCATGGCATCAGTCTTAAGACAGGAGATAGCTGATGCAGAAAGGCTTCTTGGAACCATTGAACAGGAGTTAGAGGTGGAGCCGTCCCAAGACACTGAAAATGAAGCGACTGAGAAGACAGAAACTTTTGATTTTAAAGAAGAAGGAATCGATGTGGAACAGCTGTCATGTTTGAGGAAAATGTTCTTTTTTCTTCCAAGTAAAACACTTAAAGATTCCGCTGTTTCAATGTCACTCTTCTGCCGCCCATTTTCATTGGAAGCAGCAGCTGAGATACTTGGAGTAAACGTTTCCGAAGCTGCAATAAGAATGGAAGGAATGCGTAACAGTCAGGTGGTGTCCGTTGTTCCAGAGGCAAAAGAACTGTTGTATGATATACACCCTTTGATGCGTAAGTTTCTTAAGAGCATCGGCAATAGCAAGGCATTCGTGGAAGCTTACCAGAAAGCAAAAGACCACTTTTGCTACTTTTTCCTCTCCCGGTTGAAGACAATTGCAGCCCTTTTGGACAAGGAGTATGTAAAGGCTTTTGACACCTTTGATTTTGACAGATACAACTTTGAACTTGCCCTGGAACTTTCGTTGAAGTCCAGTCATTTGATGATTCCAATGAAAAATACTGAAATCGTCAGAATTTGTTATCTACTTGAAGCCACGCTTATTGATCAAAAGCGAAGAAGAACGATTTTTCATGCCTGGGCTGAAAAGGTCGAGGAGGATGGAAAACAAGGTGAGGATTGTCTTCTAATTGGAAATCCATCCAGTAAATGTTGGTAGTTGTTAACGTTCCAGCGATTAAAATAATAAGACAGTTTTTCCTTTTTAAATTAAATGATTTGTATCGCTAAATGATAGAACCAAATTAATCACAACAAGTAACTTAATTTTAAGTGTTCGTGAAAAACGATAATTTGCTCTTCCTGAGTCATTACTAATCCACGTCGATTGGGATTTTTGAACCGGCACTAGATTGCTTCATAGCGGAGCTCTCTTCGCGCAGCGGAGCCCCATTTAGTGGTAAGAAAATTTGGTTATCTATGTATCTGAAAATCGTCCGTCCTTCCGTACGTACCTTATTACATGAAATTTTCCCGACACGTGAATGTCGCGAACATAACATGACACGAAAATTAAGTGACTCACATTATGTCAATGATCAAAAAAGAACGAGTTTATCACCACTGAAACGTTTACAAAATCACTCTTTTTTTTACTGTTCTGAGCAATGTCTTGGTCATCCTCATCGCTACTGCTTTCTATCTCCCCTTTAGGTAACATTTCTTTTGTACAGTCTTCAAACTGTCCATTTAACTCGCTCCCTGTAATGCTGTTCCAGTAGCTGCTTATCTCTTAGTGGCTTCCATGTTCTTTGAAGATGTTTCCATTCTTACTGTCGCCTCTACTGGATTCCCAAACCTCCTCAGCGCGAAATATGCGTACATCAAAATCTCGAAATAAACATGTCCCGAAAATTTCATGTAATAAGGTACGTACGCATTACATACGTATGTACGTTCATCCCCTCATGTTAGCGGATGTGAAATGACACACTTACTATGATAGTTAGAAGTCCAAGGCACACTTTTTGTGTTTAAACTTTTTATATAAAATGACGACAGCCTAATCCTGCTGTTTTATCCAAGACAAAAATATAGACATAAATAACAAAACAGCAAAGAGAAAAGCGGCTTGAAACCTCAAGTCGCTTTTCTCTTTGTTGTTTTGCTATTTATGTCTATATTTTTGTGTTCAAATCCATGTTATGGTCAATTGATAGCTGTCAAAAAAGACATCCGCTAACCAGTGTCATTTGACTGTATCGCGGGCTCAGGTATACAACAAATTGAGGTGACGTATTTTTTAAAGTTATCAGCTGACCAAGTTTTGGTTTTCAATTGATCGTGGGCTCAGGTCCATTTTTTTAAAGGTGGAATTCACTTTGCTTTCTGCTTACAGCAAAAGTTGAGTTACTTGAGAAAGATATTTATCAAAAGATCTCCCGTGAGCTTCGCTTTTGGCCTTGGCTTAATCTATATATTACATTAGAACACTGCATGCTGCATGTTAGGTCTAGTTGGAGATGTGGCAACGTAATACATGCCTAACAGGTATATTTTAGAGTTAAGTTCATGTATTTTGTTCTCGGGGCACCACAGTTACCAGATGGACACATTGTTACTTTTCTCGATAGGCTCTATGTTTCAAGCAGAAATGCGCTCCTGGGAAGCTTTGCAGGTACTCAATCTTGAAGGATGGCATAAGGCTGCGAAAGTTGTTCAAGAGGCCAGGGAGTTGCTGAAGAGGGTCCCGAGAGAGAGCAAAAAGACTGAGGTCTTCAAGTTCGCGAAAAGCTCTTGTCTTTTTGTGGAAGGCGAAGTCTTCAACCGAGCAGGAAATTGGCCAAAAGCACTTAAACGTTTGAGTAGTTCCTTGGAAATAATGGAAGACCAATTAAAAAATCACATAAGCACTTGTAGATGTTTGAATGCCATTGGAAATTGCTACAGCAATCTCGGGAAACCAGAGGAAGCGATTAAGTTTTACACAAGAGCATACGAAAGGCGTCAAGATCTTTCGGGTTCAAAGGAGCACTTTGACTTGCCTCTTTTCAGAAGTCAAACTGGAACAGCTTATGAATCTATGGCCATTCAAGAGTACCTCAAAAACAGAACCATGACACCCCAGGCCGAAATAAACTTTCGCAAGGCTATAGAATACTATCAAGAGGCTTTAGATCTTGCCAAAGAACTTAAACTCACTGGGATTCTATACACAGCACTTTATAACAGAAACATTGCTAACGCTCACTCATGGCTTATGGAGTTTGAAAAGGCGAAGCCGTTTGCTTATAACGGGTATCAGATTCGGAAAGATATCCTTGGCAAACATCCATTGACTGCGCGTAGCACTTTTCAAATGGCAGAAATTTCTCGTAGCCTTGAGGATTATGATGAAGCTGAAGAATATTACGAAGAAGCATGGGAGATTGAGAAATCTCTGGGACAAGGGAACCACAGTGAAGTACGGGACAGAATCATTAAAAGCTACGAGGAAATGCTTCCCAAAGGGAGAAAGAGGGCATTTCAGAAGGAAGTCTTGGAGTTTTATCAAAGATCATGGGACGAGGAGAAAAGTTTTGAAGGGTTTCAATTCTCTCAGGCCAACATGAAGATCATCGATGCTATAAACGAACGACTTGGGGAAGAGGCTGATGTCAAGACAAGGAGAAAATATCAAAGCGAAGCTCTTTGGTTTTACGAAGGAGCATGGAATTCCCCCGACACCAAGAGCTTGCCTTACGAGCAGAGAGAACACATCTTGGCAACTTTGTTAAGGTTGAGAAAACAGGCTAAAAATGAGGCACTGTTTAACAAATATCAAGAGGATTCCGTTAGATTCTGCGACAAAATGTGGAAAAAGAACAGTTCAGAGATGGAACAATGGAAAAGAACTCAGCTGCTCACCGTACTACAAAATACGGCCACATCACTTGCAATTGCGTACACAAGGAAGGCAGACATGTACAGAAGTCTTGAGCAGGTAAGACAGACATGCTTAAGTTCAAGCAGAAAACAGTCACTTCTGTCACGTTTTAGCTCACAGCTGTCTCTTTAAAGAGCTCGTTCACGAAACTTTGAGATGTCTTTCAACGTACAAGCATATCTTAAAATTGAAGAACACTTAAAAATATTAGTTCCGTTGGTAACATAGACGTACTTAATTTAATAGTTTAAGATAGAGGATTAACATGGATTACAAACAAAAGTAAACAACACACTTGAAAAATCAAGCCTCGATCAATTTTTAAGGCACAGAACCATGACGTTGTTTTAAAGGCTTTAGAACGACATTTTAAAGAAATAAAATCCATGTGCTAAATTAAGAATATTCTAAAGAAATTTATTTTGCCTTTCATTTAGAAATTCAAGACGGGAACATTTCCGTTCGTGGCATCAGGTATTATATTATGTATTATTATCATCATTGTAAGTTTATGTAATTTGTTTTGCTGAAGTATAAAAGCTTCATTTAAACATGTGGCACAAACAACACTTGGAGGCATGGACGCTTCGGTTAACCAGGCCCATGATATACTTTATTTACTCATATAAATCCTCCCTTGTTACAGAAATTTCAATATGTACGACCAGAAACTATTAGAAAAATATGGACCGTGTACCCTCAACCTATCCTATCGCCTCGGGTTGTAAGGCCAAACTAGTGAAAAATAGCCGTTATAACATGTATAGAACGCGGAATTAAAACAGCTAAGAAGCATAGTTACTAGTCCAGCTGGAAACGAAATTCAGGCTGATAGAACAACTTACTGAAACTAATTTTCACGAAACAATTTGACTTGGCGAGGCTGACCTTAGAAGACACAATTAACAAGACGGTTACTAAATCAAAGCCCCGGACTGCGACCCCTCCCACGCAACAATGGAACTCGTGCTGGCAAAATATTGATTTATACAAATTCTGGTGAACACACATTACATTTGTAATCTACCCATCATTATAATAATCATTTCATTATTTCATTGTTTTTTTGTTTTTTTTTAAGAAGAAGACGTTGCCTTTGCTTTACGATGAAAAGGAACCTTTATTATACCTGCTAAACTGTTTCAAATGCTTTTTGTTAGAACGTGCACTAAAAAAGAAAAGTTAAATTCTGGCCATGTTGACCGATTCAAATTTTTCAATAAAGGATTTTATAGCAAAAAATAAATAACTAAACAACAAAATCTATCGTCAATCTGCGTTTTTATTGTATTCAGGATTTCCTTCTTTCTAATTTTCACACGGCTCCTTAATTGCTAAAAACACTGCAGGAAGATCTTTTACCAAAAACCCCTTTAACGAAATTGTTTTGGATTTTAAATAGTTATTTCACCTTCACCTTTAATTTCAACAGAACAGTGTCCTGACGATGATGGCAACAACGAAAGAAGTGATGATGACGATGATGATTCCGATGATTTTAGCGATGATGACAGTGTTAGCGGTCAAGGTGGTTGTGATGGTGCAGGTGATGCCAGCGGTAAAAATGAAACCAATGACAATATCGGCAGCACTGAGGGAGATGAGATCACAAAAGAACGAGAATCGCCACGGAAAAGCAATAAACGTAGCCAGCAGGGACAAGTAGTAGGCTTGGATGGAGAGAGGAAAAGGCAGAAGTAAGTAACTAGGTTATTACTATAACTAGGAGTAATCATGAGATAAATTATGATTCTCATGAGTAATCATGAGATAAATTATTCACGATGGCGCAAAAAATGCAGACACCGACGAAATGAGTACCACAGGAATCCCAAGATTATGTGTTGCGTTCTCCTAACGTCGAACGCAATCACTTGTAAGAGCTCTCTCTTAGGGAGCAGTGATAATAGTAGCTAGTGCTTTCAGTTCTTTGTTCTCTTACTTGGTTCAAGGGTATTCTACTGACTCTTGGGTGCTCCTCTTTGGGGCAAGGTTAGTAATTGTGAGATCACTTTCCTAAAGGCAGTATTGTCTGCACTCGTTCCAACCCGTTGTTATTATGTGGTATTAAGTAGTATGTTTGCTCAACTGTCCTTCTTATTTGTGACCTAAGTATAACATTTATGTTATCTGCTCAGGAAAGAGATTGCTTGACAGCTTATTTGCTATCATTTGATTTGCTCTCACAAAGGTCTAGCGCCTTCGAAACGGCAGCGTTTAAATTTCCTTACAGCGACAAATTAAGTTTATCAACTAGTTGATAAGACAAAATTTTTTCCATATAATAAATATGTCGAGTGCTTTCAGACATCTTAGGTGCTTAATCCTTGTGACGCCGTGACCTCACTTGCAAACTTTTAAGTTTGCTACTATTATAGTAGCAAGGTGTCGCTTGTTGCCGCCTTTGTTGAAGATATTGTAAAGTACATGAAACATTTAGCTTTCTTAAAAGCTATGGAAGCCGAATATCTTGCTCAGCTGGTAAAATACCACCACCGAAGTTTCTTTTGAAACAAACCCCTTTATTCATTATATATGAGAACTTTAAGAATACCACTTGAATATTTTTGTTTTGTGTTTTAACAGCCCGTCAGATGGCAGTCTTCCTTCTACGTCTGAATTCCAAGTTCCTTTGGTGAAAAATGAAGGCCTTGTTGCAGTCGAATTTCCCAAACAGTTAAAATCCACAGGAGGGAATCTTTCGCTGTATTCGGTAAGCCGAGCGTAATATTTGGGGTGTGGGCATTTATTTGTTTACTGTTTCGCCCTTTGATTGAAAAGCACATTAATTTTGTTATGCTAAATCGCTGCAATAATTCAGATTTGACAGGAAAGTGATCATTTGTTTCTTAAAATTTCAGAACTGTATTGGACTTCACAAACTTTTTAGTATTTTTGAAGCTTTTCTGTTATCACGGTAAACCATCAGAAAACTGACAAACTGAAGTTTATTTCCGTATAATTCGTCAGGGTTTTTTTTAGCAAATGGCTGCCGATTAGATTTTTTTTAAAAAATTCAGTTACAGCTAGAGTGATTATACGACAGTGGTTTAGCACAGATTATTTGAACGTCTGTCAGATCGTAGACCATTTTAGCATAGGAGTAGCGTATGCTTATTAGTATGCAAGTGTACCTGGTTAGTAGAGTATGGTTGTTGTTAATTAGATGGGTTTCTGAATTTACACAGAATAAATAATTAAAAGGATAAAAGTTATAAAAGCCTGAGTATCAGTAATTGGGTAACGGTGGTGGTGGTGTAAGAGTGGTCGGGTCCGACAGAGTATGCCCCCTGTAATAGATGGGAGCCATTCTGTTAGTGCGAAGCAAGCACTATTATTTTCTACATCATTCTATCTAATCAACGATAAGTACCCTTGGAATTCACGTTTGCTCTCTCTGTGGTGCAGGCTATTCCTACAATAATTGAGCAAGTGGCTTTCTACGGAGCAAAAATAACTCCGACTGACGTACTTCAACTTCAAATTCCATTTCGCCCAAGCAAATTTTGGTTTTATAACATTAATTATAGCTGCTCCATTATGTTTGTTAATAGTTGGCCAGTGCTGATACAGTATTACCTTTTCTGTTTTAGGATAACGCGGATGGCGGAGCTTCAAATTCTGTGCTGGCAAGGAGACCTTTGAGGGTAACTTCTGTGGGAGACGAATGGGGTTCATCAAAAGGTGGACTGTCTACGCTGAACAGAGAATTAGCAAAACACCTGGCACGTCAGCCTGAGGTAGAAGTAACCTGTCTCCTGCTTAATTACAGTGAAAAGGAGGAGCAAGAAGCTGGTGAGTGTAATGTGCGTCTTGCCAAACCACAAGCGATGCCCGGGTCGGATCCCATTATGCGGCTGTGCTTTCCCTCAGATGATCTAGGTATTGACGTCGTCATAGGCCATGGTCAGAAGCTCGGAGCACCAGCTCAGATCATAGCTAAAAGGCGCAAATGCAAACGAGTTCATATAGTACACACTGCCAGTGAAGAGTGTGCAATGTTTAAGGAAGGCGAAACAGCAATACCTGAAGGCGAGGAAAAGCACCGAACTGAAATAGATTTGTGTAAGGAAGCTGATGTCGTCGTGACCATTGGACCAAAGCTGAAGGAAGCTATCTCAGCCTCCTTGCGGCCGCACGGCAGAGATGAACACGTGATAAATATCACACCTGGAATTTTCTCTGAGTTCGCGAAGTTGGAGCAAGCCAGACAGGAGATGGAACAGTTCCGTATCTTGGTGTTTGGTAGTGGTAACGTGGAAGACACTGAACTAAAAGGATACGATATAGCTGCTGAAGCTGTAGCAGGCTTAAAAGACGAAAGCTACCTTCTTCAATTTGTCGGGGCACCAAAAGGTAAAGAAGAAGAAGTTAAAAAAGAGTTACTTAAGTGTAAAATTCCTCGCACACAGTTAAGGGTTGGACGATTTGCTGAGAGTCGCGACGAAATAAAAGATCTCTTGCTCACAGTGGATCTCGCCATTTTGCCTTCACGAACGGAAGGTTTTGGCCTCACCGCTCTCGAAGCACTTTCAGCTGGCCTTCCTATTTTGGTGGGTAACAATTCGGGATTCGGAAAAGCTATTCGCGATGTAAAATTCGGATCTTCATGTGTGGTTTGTTCCGATGATCCTGAAAAGTGGGCTGAAGCCATCAAACGTGTAAGACAGACAACAAGGAAACTCCGACTAGAGGAAGCTTGCTCTCTCCGAGAGGCCTATGACGAAAAGTACAAATGGGAAACACAATGTGAAATGCTTGTACAAAAACTGCGACATATTTTAGAGTAAACTCTGGGTAAGATAGGGATACTTGTGGAACCTTTGCATGGGTGCTATAACCACTGGGCCACCAGACTCACAACAGCCTACTGGAAGCCAAATTGTAAGGATTTCTTTGGGAATTTATCGTCTGATCGAGAAAATGGCTAAACTTCACCTAAACAGCCATTAAATGAATATACCTTATAACGAGTTGTGTTTAAGTGTGTTGTTTTCTCACTGTTTCCGGCCCTATAAACGGCATTTTAGCAAGTTTTGGTGTCTCAAAACTCGCTCAAATGGCGTTTGTAGGGCAGGAAACATCAAGAAAACAACACAAACACAACTCTTTATGAGATATGTATACTTTATGGCCGTTTATGTGGATTTTAACTGGTTTATCGAAATTCTTGCAATTTGTCTTCGAGTAGGCTGTTCTGAGTCTGGGTGTCCTGTGCTAAAACCACAAATGACTGTTAGTGTTACCTTTCGAAGCCCTTTGTAGGAGCCAGAAAAAAAGAGTCGATCACCCCGTGGAAGGGAATCCGGGTTCCAGAATCTGGGAAAATTTTGCTTATGGAATCTCGAATCCTGCCTGGGCTTTGAAGTCCGGAATCATGTCTCAAGGAATCCAGAATCCCACTGACGATTGGAATCCAGAATCCAAGTTACAATGCCAAAAACAAGAATCTAGAACTTAGAATCCGGAATCCGCGGCCTGGAATCCAGAATCCAAGACTGTCCTGGATTCTCGTACATGGGGTGAGATCGACGTATTTGTCGCTGATCTAACTAATTGTTGCAATAGAAAGCTTTAGATTCTGAGATTGCGTGAGCACTGGGGTCGAGTTCGGGGATTTTCTCAATACTGAGTATTGCGCACGCGTGAACCAGCGTTATTTTGGCGCGGGGAAAACGTGGCAGCCGTCGTCATTCTACTACACGAGTTCTAGCGAGACTGTCGTAGTGACGGGAACAAGTTATCAAAAGTAAGAAGTTGTATTATTTTGCTATCGGGAGAGGGGTTAACCTCCTTCAGTATAAATAACCGGACTAACTTTTTTGGTGAAAAAAAAGTAAAGTGAAGCTTTCCGTGGTGTCTTTTTTTTGGTACACGTGCAAAAACTTTAAGTTTAATCTCGTACTCGTACTCGTTGTCTTACTCAAATTTAAAGCTCTCTAATAGTTGCTTCGGCGTTACAAAAGAAACCACTTCTATAGATTTTATTCCAACACCTTTTATTTTATTTTTCATTGATCAGTTACTCGCTATTCATTACCCTCTACAATTCTAATATTTTTCTTTTATATTTTACATATTTTACCAAGACTCGGCTGAGAATTGACCGCTTTATTTCTGCTTGTGACAAACAAAGTTAAGCAGGAAAACTTCACAGTAATCGCTATTCCACTGTCCTTACGAACTTTCTTGAGGAAGCATGTACGCACATTTGTCATCCCAGATTCTGTCAAGTTAACCTGCATTCCATTCAATAAAACAATTCGCCACTCACAGGGGCAACCATATTAATGGCAATCCATTCAAGCCACGTATCACCATGATCTGCGATCAGCAGTGAAAACAGCAGCTGTTTTGATAACGAAAAGAGCTGCCCCTAATTGTTGGCATTTCTGTGTGCCTTGGTGCACGTCCATATTTGCGTCGACTTTAAAGTAGCAAAAAGATTCCATCCCTCTTGACAAACTTCCCTTTGCAAAATACGTTGTCAGCAGCCTGACTTGTATATATTGTTTTAGAATGTACTAGACTATTCTAGGCCAGCATTTAGACATTTATTTGTCTTTCAGTCTCTGATATTTTTTAGCAGTATAATTTACTTATGGAATGAGATAGTTCACGTGAACCCCAGCTGCAAAAAGGCCTATACATTAGACCCTGACTCGCGCTATACTAGTTACCTTTCCCTTGTGGTGCGCAGGCTGTTATGGGAAGGAGGAGAGCGAGGAAGGGAGATGACGTTTTCTTCTCTTCTCCCTTCCCAACGTACCATTCTCCCGCAGTGCGCGTTATGAAAACGACTGACAACGGTTTAGTAGTCATTGGGATAATTTTTTCAAATTTTAGCGTCGGGCACGGCCGGAGTATCACTGTAAAATAAAGGAAACATTGTTTTTTCAAGATCTTAAGCCAGCTTTTAATGTCAACATCAGAAGAAGCTGATGCTTTATTTATTTTCGTTGTAAAGATTTTTCTTAATCTTTATCACTTTTTCATAAATAGTCATTGTTTTATTTTTTCTGATTTATTTTTGAATGAATAAAATTGATAAAAAAATATCTGCAGTATATGAATAAAAGTGATTAAAAATATCTTCAGTATATCTAAAACTTAAATTCATACTTGGTTAATCAATAAAAGTAGCCCAGAGAGGTTTTTAGTTTTTTTTTCTTATGTTGGTCTTTGCTCCGTCGAAGCGAATTCTGGGCTCACTGTTTGGCCCAAAATGGAAAACGCGCGTTTGAGGATATTATTACGTTTGGCTTGTCAAATGACCACGCAGACGGAGTTTAAAATCGCGCGTGCGTGCATCTAACGTTTTTGCAAACGCTTTTCAAACGCTCCCAACAGCGTTGCCAAAGCGGTAATGATCCAACCTACACGTGATTGAGAGAAATTTTCTGTGATGTTATAGTAGGAAAACTGAAGATATAAACTTGATCCAGCATCTAACAAGAGCCTCTTAGATCGACCAACAATGTTCAAACCCGCGTCAAAACATGTGAAGTCCAAGACGTCTTTATGATAACTTAGCAACAGAATTTGGGCTGTTCAATTATTTGTCTGCCAAGTGGTGTATGAATTTTTTCTAAGCACGTCTGGTCAAATAATAGCAGGTCCCAATTGAACTCCAATTGCCATTATTAATTAAATAAGCCAGAAATTTTAGACAAGTCATTAATACTTGTACAGCCTGCCTGCATGTAAATTCCATGGCTGTTTAAACAATTTTCTATGGCTCAGATCACAGCCATTACTTTTTGAAGTACAGCACTGACATCTTGAGGAAAAGAGAATAAATGAGATTCAATTAAAAATGAATCTGCTGTAGCATGCCCAAGGAGTCAAACACTTGACATGAAATGTGGGGCAAAGGCGAAGGTAATTATTTTTGAAAGAATACTGCAGCTGAAAACCCTGGGAACCAAAATCCTGCTTCCTTTAACCACCACATTAAACTATTTTAAATAAGCTATCTTTATTATTATTATTTGTCTTAGAGTATACACCCCTTGTTGTTTAATTATGATCATGATCAATTCACTTCGTCTTTTGGGGATTGGCAAGTTTTTATCACAGGAGGAAGCCAGCCCCGCAGCAACGAATGCCAAAGAAACTCGTTCCAAACGTTCAAGAAAAGGTATTTGAACTGGTAATTGCCACTGACTACGACAAATAACTTACGTTATCTATAAAAATTTGTTATTTCAATGTAAAATTCACAAGATTATCGAAAATTCGCACACAATTATTTCAAATATTTTGCAAAAATGTTTTAAGTTATAAGAGGCTGTTTTTACATAAAGACAAAGGAATGTCCTAAAATATCTCCTACTACGCCAGCAGGTTACAAAAGGCTTTGACGTGTTTCCAATCTTAACACAGTTGATTCTAACAAAATGTATCCCCTTAAATCACAAAATGACCCCTGAGCCGTTTTACCGAAGTACGTTCACTGGTAACCATAGAGATACTCTGACTTGGAAAATGCCAAAAGCATTTTAATTTTTAACTTAGACATCTACCCCCTTGTGAAATGATTTGCATGATTATTGATTCTTTGGAGGCTCATCAAGTTTTAATTAGTATACCGTCAGGAAGGAACAAGCCCCAAAGCCACAAATGCCTCAATTCATTCCTCCTATTCAAGGAAAGTTCTTTGAATTCGCAGCTGTTGCCACTGGTTACGACAGTACCTCTTCTTATTCGTGTGAATGAGTTATTTCAGTGTAAAATTCACGGAACCTACGCTCGCCATCATAAAATAAATTTTGTGATAGTCATAAAGACTTTTTTCTATAAAGGGCAATGAATACTTCAGGATTATATCGTAGTGTGTAAACAGCATCTGTCGTCTTCCGTTATCTTTTCATTTTTATTAAATTGCTATTAAAAACACCGTCAACAGTCACAACGAAATCGTAATAAATTGCACAGTGTTAACTCCAATATATAAGTACTTCATCCGAACTGACTGATTCTTTCGTGAGACTACCCCATAACTTCAAGAAAAAAAGAATTCATAGGCAATTAGTATGGAAATGTAGATCGCAATTAAACTTCAACTCTACCTAAAATAAAATTAGTGTGATTGGTTCTTTTGGGAGGTGTGGCTATATCAGGAGTGTTCAAAAGAGTGGGACACTTCAACGTCGTTCAGTTGGTCAAGAGTTTGGATCAGCGCCTTACTTACGTGCAAGGTAAGTCCACATCTTTAAAAAGGGAGTTGTATTTGATCATTTAAGTGTTTCAGGCTATTCTCGGTTGCACAGACACTACTTTTACTATCATTGTAACTTCAGCCCAAAGAGATGTCGGTGTTTGCGTTGTTGTTTTTTTTTAACGGCTGGCACATGAAGAAAGAAAATTAAATTACTGAAAAATCTAGAAAAAAAAATAAGTCAGCTAGAAGTACTTGTTAGAAGATATTGAAGTAGATCGAGAAGTCATGCTTTGTAAAAGACCTGATTCTGTTTCCGAACAAACAAATTCAAGACAGGGAGACAAGGCGGGTAAACGTTGCAATGGTATTGGCGGTGGTATTGGGAAAACAATAGAAATGTGGTGGTTAAAAACTTGTGTCCAGTTTTGAAAGGTTTGGTTGGCGGAAAGGGAAGAAAAACACTCGATTCCCAACGTCAAAACTATTTCAAACAATGATATATGTTAACAAGTTGTGTCTCGTAGCTAAAACCTCTTTAACATACGAACTCGTATAATTACAAATTTCATTTTACCTTTTTTAATAGCTAAAATCTTTCAGGCCATGCTGACACAAATATAAGCTATAATAAGATAAAGACAGGATCCCCTCTCGAATGAAAACTAAAATGTATAAAAACTTCTTAATAACAAATGGATCACGAAGTTCACCTTTAAAATCATCTCCATCTCCGCGAGACGTAACTAGTGGGATGATAGACTTTTCCATACCAAACAGAT